TCTTCATAGCAGTAGACAGACACTGAAGAGTAGTATGTGTCAGGGGATGTTTGAGCAAACCTCCCTTAGCTGGGGCTAGTGGTGGTGGGTCAGTTTCTTTACCCAAATGGGAGGAAAGACAAAGCCACAGGGGAGAAGTAGTGAGTTAGGTCCCAGGGTATGTGCTGAATTTATACTTGGAATATGTATTCAAGCCCCAACATCTTTAGTATTAAAAGACATGTAATTGACTTTTCTTGGTCCAATATGGTTCCCATAAGTATTGCTAAAATTTCAACCCACTTCATCTGAATTGCAATAGCTGTCTACATGTACGGTAGCTGTAATGTGTGAAACTACTTCCTCCTGTGGGAAGCAACAGAACCTACAGCAGGTTTAGAAATCCCTTAGGCAGCTGTCTGGAATAGAATGAATACGCATCATCTCACAGTGGGCTATGCAGGGACACTAGCCATAGATTCAGCTCGCTTTTGCTCTTCCCATCAATTGCAGTAATTAATAATTACTGCCACACTTGTTAGCACTCCTCCTTTAAATAACACTAGCCCACAGTGAGTTCAGTTTGGAAGTTAAATCTTGCTCTTGACAAATTTAGTAAATATATGTATCTATCTTTGCTTTGCAAGGTACACTAGATACATTACTGGACCAGTCCACTAACAACAGGAAAAGAATGGAAGTTAACAAAGGGGTCGGGAAAATAAGTATCAAAGTAATTAATTCAACTAATGTTACAGTTAGTGTCTCTGTGAAGATAATGGCTTATAGGATCATAAAAACTCTATTAGTGCTACCTAATTGGTCAAGGAAAAATGGTGTGCATAACAGGAAATACAGTGTCGAGTTAAAACTTCTAAGGGTCAAGTATGTAACTTGGATCCCATGAACTGAGGTGAATTGGGACCTACTTCAGTTTGTAGATACTGAAATTGAATAATTCATTCAAACAACAATTCCGTTGAAATAATCCAGCATAAGGTGATAGATTACCATGGTGAAGAGTTATAGTTTGACTTTAAACAAACCCAGCAAGGCAAAAATAAGATAAAAACCCACTTTTGACTGAGGTCTCTCCCTTTAAGTTCTGAACATTTTTACTTTCTTATAAAGAAAAGTGTCTGACAAGAATAATGGAGTGTCTCCTGATCTTGGACAAAAAATTTCCCTAAAACAGAGCAATACAAACACATTTGCTATTTAAAAAGATCACGTGGGCTGCTTTATGATGAATGGATTAGAAGCAAAAAGTGTAGAAGTGGGGATACCAGTCTTCCAGGTGATAAATAATGCAGGAAAGCAGACGGTTTTGAGAGATCCGTAGGAGTTATAAACAAGAAGACTTGGTGGTTAGTCGGATGTCAAGGGTAAGGAAGAGGAAGATTCAACCATAATGGTCAATTGTGGCTAGTTTTCCACAAAGGCCTTAAGTAGACATAAATGGAAAACTTGCAGGATTTGCAGTACAGGTACTAATAAAGGGAGCTTGTGCAGGTGCTGGCACCATAAGAAAGGCAAGGCCTAAAACCTGGTCATTACATGGGGGTGACATGGCTCACTGAGTGCGTTGACAGGAACTGATACAAAGCAATGTGTTTTGTTTCAAGAATCTTCCAATCTGGAGAACACTGTACTCAATGTGGCCACTATGCCCACTGTACATTAGACATGCCTTTATGAAATGTGAGGGAAACAACGGGAAGATGAGCCTACCTAGCTGCCTATTTGGTTCATTTTTACCCTTTACTCAACTGATTTGCTGCTTTAGAAGTAAATCAAAACAAATATAACTGAACTGAGTTCGAGCAGTTATCTGTATCCACCCCCAAACTTAAACCAGTGAGCTTCTGGCTTGGGCACTTGACTAAGTAGCTGGGATTGCTACTGTTTGAGATGGGGAACATAGTGGAGGAGGACCCGGCTTTTTATTCTGTTGTTGAAATTGCTGTTGTAGCTGCGGAGACGTAAAGAAAATAAGTTTAGTTTTGGATATGTTGACTTTAAGGTCACTTTGATATTCTAAGTGGAAATAGGAACTAGGCAGTTGCCTATGGGCACAGATCCTAGAAGAAAGTTGTGGGCTAAAGATAAAAATGTGAGAGGGGCCGGCCCCATGGCCGAGTGGTTAAGTTCGTGTGCTCTGCTGCGACGGCCCAGGGTTTCACTGGTTTGAATCTTGGGCATGGACATGGCACCGCTCATCAAGCCATGCTGAGGCGGCATCCCACATGCCACAACTAGAAGGACCCATAACTAAAAACATACAACTATGTACCGGGGGGCTTTGGGGAGAAAAAGGAAAAATAAAATCTTAAAAAAAAAAAGATAAAAATGTGAGACTCCTTTGCTAAACAGATAGAAATAGAAATTGAAATTATGGACATGAATGAGCTCACCTAGGGAGAGACTATAGTTAGAAGAGAAAAGGGCCAAGAGCTGAACCCCGAGAAAAACACCTATTTGTTAAGGACCGTGAACAGGCTGAGAAGACAGACGTATACAGCAGAATAGGTAGGAGAAGCATGGTAGCTGAATACCAAGAGAAAGAGTATTTCAAGGAAAGTGTGACCAACAGGGTCAAATGCTACTGAGAGTCATGTAAAATGAAAACTGTCCACTGAATTAAGCAATCAAAGGTTACTGCTGGCCTTGGAGAAAGCTGTTTTGGTAGAGTGATGGTAACTAAGCCCAGAAATAGTTTTAGGAGTGCCTGGGAGGTGAGGAGAGGGCACCCCTGACAAGTTTAACCTTGAAGGGATGGAGAGAGATAAAAGGAAGGTTTTAGGAAGCCAAGAAAGCAAGCCAAGAAAGACGAGAGAGTAAAGTGATAGTACGGGCGTTAAACGTTACTCAAATTTGAGGCCTCAAGCATTTGTGGATCACATGAAGGGTACAGGGCAAGGAACTGAGAAGTGAGAGATGAGTAGGAAAAGGTCCCCCCACTCAAGGTGCTCAAAGTTTAATAGAGGAGAGAGAGATGGATCAATAATTATGTATATGGTCAATGCAGTAACAGATGTACTTACTAGATTCAGCGGTAGCATATAGGTGAGAGTGGAGAGTATGTATGTTTATTAGTAATGAGATCAGGGAACACAATAGAAGTGACAGTTAAGCTGAGTTATGAATTCTTAAGTGTTTGCTAGGATGACTATGGGAATGCCATTCCAGGCAGAGAGAAAAACAGAGTTTATTGGAAAACTACACGTAGCCTTTAAAGACCATGGGTTCTTCCAATCACATTGTCTAGATACAAAACCTGACTTCAATCTTACCAGTTCCATGACTTTGGGTAATCACCATATCTTTGCCAAGCCTTGATTTCTGGTAATTCCTATCTTGTAGGATTTTAGGGAGGCTTCAAAGCTGTGAAGCACTGAATTCAGTAGCTGATACACAGCAAGTACTCAATACATGTTAACTCTTGTTATTACTGCAGGCTCTGAAATGCAAAAAGAGTGGCAAGGTCTTAAGCTAAAGAAGAAAATCAAGAACCAGATAATGACAGATTTGTCAGGAAAGTCAGCATTGTTCCCAGCAGTAATTAAAATAAACTAGTACAATTATTACAAAGCAAACTGGTCAGGCTTAATTCTACTAAAAAAAGTCTTCAGGAAGCATTTTAATTATAATCTCCTGCTGATGAAGCCTAAGGCAACAGGTATGTACAAGTACTTTACAGGCTACTAATTAGGAGCCCAACTGCTAACCTCTAATTGTGCAATTTGCAAATTTTTTTACTTAACAACATCTTGTAATACAGTGCATTACTTCCTATTGACTGTTGCTAAACTTCAGTTTTCTGATTTTTTTATGTTTCGGTATTAAAAAAAAAGAACTGCTAGTATGGTAATACTTTGACTTCAGTAAAAATGCTATTTTAACTCTACCACCAAAACAAAACAAAACAAAACACACCGGAATTAGCTGATAACATAGTGTGGCTGACCTTGAGAGTGTGGCTAAGAGTCTGCCTCCACAAACAGCTGCAGGTGGATCTAAGGAAATTTGCATGGGAACTTCAGTGGCTTCTTTCCTTTTGTCATAGTTTGAATGGATAAAGCTTTCTCTAGTCCAACAAGTCAGAGGTTTATATTTTAAATTCTTATTTTGAGGTAGCCTTTTTCTTTTCTTTTTGGGAACCCAACTTCTCACTTATGTGAACAAGACTTCCACAGGAGAAGGAATTTTTGCCTTGAAAAGAGAATTCTGCGCCACCAGTGCCTGGACCACTTAACCTGCTGAGTCATTGTTAGAGTTAAAAAGATCATCCTGATACCTTCATTCGGGAATTTTCCATTCCTGATGAATCCAGTGGCATAATCTTCCCACCGGAATTTTAATGCTGATTTTGGTATTTGATATGGCATGTATTGTTAATGCTGTTTTTGATATTCGGTATGGAGCGATTTGTGTTACGTCCTGTGTGTGTGCCTCAGTTTCCCTAATCTTTTTCTCACGGCCTGAGCCTACAGATTATGCCTCATTTTAGCCCTTTTATGTATATATATATATACTTGGGTCGATTCTTCAAGATGTTTAATTTAGCTCATCTGGTCCATTTCTTGTAGTTGACCATAATTTCCTGTAGTAGGAGATCCTGAACTCCTGCCAGCACCGCTGGTTTTTAACTAAAGATAAAGCTTGTAGACGCTTAATAAGCACACTGAGACCACCTAGGAGCACAGGGCAAACTCCTTTAAGCGGTGGCTCTGAAATTTCAAAGTTTTTGTTTTGCCCAAGCCCTACAGCAACATCTGTAACCCAGTGCACAGTACACGTGTATCTGACTGAATACAAAATGTTACTCTAGAGCACTTATTCGACCATCCGAGATGTCCCTGAAATTTCTTCCTCTATTTCATATAAAAGAAAAACTCCACTCCTTCCAGGTAGAAAAGTTAAATTGATTTTAATAACCACTAATGGGTCGTGAAAGGCAGATTGAAATAGGTCCTCTAGCAGTCTCCACGGCTGCTTCTTCTGTCACAGCCCTTCGGAAACGCGTCGCTGGCGGGTGGCGTGGCAGCGGCCCGCGGAGAAATCACTGAGCCACACCAGCGCCTGGTCCCGGAGGACGGAGCACGTTTTCTGCAGGGCAGCAGGAGACTAAGCTACAGCCCCGACTCGGTGGATGATGCAGGGCTCGACCCATTTCCCTGTCCTCCAGCTTCCTCGAAGTCCGCCCCTCCCCCTAGCTCTTTTCTCCGCGCATTTCATTTCTCCCCCGCGAAGGGGGCCGAGCGCCGAATGATCGATGCTTCCTCCACGCCCCGAGAGCCGCCATCTTGGGGGGAGGAGAAACACTTGTCTGGGCGGCAGACGCTGAACGGGATGTTGACTGGCTTTTGCTTCTCTTGCCAGCATTGTGGGACCGGGGCAGAAGAATCCACCAGGGCCACTCGTCCGGCTGCCTCTCCGGAATGAGGCCTCGGCTCCCGCGCCGGACGTCCCCCTTCCTCCTCCGAGGGTGAGTGGCCGCCGCCGGCGCGGCGCGCCCCCGCGCGCCATCCGCTGTCAGTTACCCCGCGCGCTCCCGCCGGCGCGCGCCGCTCTCCGCGCGCTCCCGCCCCTCCCCCGCCCGCTTGGCGCTCGGCGCAGACTCGCTTGTTTGTTTCTGCAGGAGCCCAAGGAGAGGCCAAAGCCGAGACGATGCCCGGGAAGCTGAAGGTGAAAATCGTGGCCGGGCGCCATTTGCCCGTGATGGACCGAGCTAGTGACCTGACTGATGCCTTCGTGGAGGTTGGTGCAAAGTCCTGCCCCTCAAAACACCAGGAGCGCCAAGCCCTGTGAAGGATCCTACCCACCTGGCCCCAGCCCCTCAGCCCATTCCCCTTGACCGCCCCCCGTATGTGGTGCTTGTCCAGTCGTCCCTCGAGGGCTGCCTGCCGACACTGCAGCCCATGCGATGGGTGCACGGCTCGCAGGCGTCCGCGGCACTGTCCGCCCGCGGGGAGGCTGTTACTGCTCTGCATGCTGGGGTGACCCTGATGTCAGGACTCTTAACAGGCCACCTGCCAGTCAGGAGATCCCAAGGCGTGGCCACGCGGGCACTGAAACACACACACATCCACACGCCCTTCTTTTGGGGAGGGGCGGCGCTTCACGCTAGAGTGATGGAGATGTTTAAGAATGTAGATCCAGTCCGTTATGGGCAGTTGGAAACCTACAAGGCGAGGAGATCCACGCTCTAGGATGATGTTTTCTGAATCATCAGTGCAAGTTCTAAAAGGCAACTGTAACACTTTCTGCTCTTGTATTGACTGGTGGGTCTGATGAGCTGTTTCAGTGTAATTTAGACCCTTGCGGTAGGAAGCCAATTAAGTGCCATGGATTTAAATTGCAAAATTGCTTTTTAAATCTAATGATTAGTTTAAGACTCATGCAAATTAGCGCATGCCTAGGGCCCGGAAAGTAATAATGTGGTCTTAAAGAAGCCAGGTAAAAATTGTAGTAAAAATTGACATGATGAGTCAGAGCATTAGAACAATAATCATTTGGGCTGTTAATGCTTAAAGTTGATAGATACGTGATAAGATATAGCCAGATTTCATCTCAATATAGAATATTCTTTATGTTCCCTAAGGGTTCTCTGACCTAAAAACTGAAGTTTTCCCCCCAAACATTTCCATGGTAATTCTTAGTCACAAGTTCATTGTCAGTTGAGAAACAGTTACTGGGTGGGTTCCTGGACCAGATGTTAGGTAATGTGGACACAGAGATTACCAAAGCATAGTCTTTGCGTTCAGGTAGATCAGAGACTGACCACACAGGTTAGGTTAATAACTAATAGCCAGCGTGCCTTGGTTCTCATTATTGCCAGGTATGTACTAAGTACTTTGTAAATCTTAGTCTCCACAACAGTTTTGCTATTGTGTTGTTATTATCCAGTATTACACTTGACGTAACTGAGGCCTAGGAACAGTAAATAATTTGCCTCAGGTTACTTAACCTTGTAAATTTCTATAGCCTTGTGGTCTGTTTTCTTAACCACTGTGCTAATACTGCCTTGCCAGACAAGAGGATGAATGGTGTTGTAGAATATGGAAGCTTAATTCTGTCTCTGAAGGTTTAGGGAGGCTTCCTAAAAAAGTGATATTTGAGCTGGGCCTCGAAGAACAGCCAGGGTTTTACCAGGCAGAGGGAACATCAAAGGCGCAGAAGGAAATACATGGTATATTTAGGAAACCATGTTAGTTTGGGATGTGTCTGGAGTCAAAGGGGATGTGTGGGTAGTGAAGGTTGTAGGGGATAAGGCTGGAAATGTAGGTTGGAACCAAACCTCGTTTTCTGTGCTAAAGAATTTCTCCTTCTATAAGCAGGAGTAAGACGGGGGAGCTTTTTAAATAGAAATGAAATAAGTGGTGTTTGTATTAGGCTGTTTCTTTATAGGATTACTTGAATGGTGACATTATTGACGGGCTGGACAGGTGAGAGATCCGACAGAGAGATCACTTCAGAAGGTGGTAAAATTATGCAGGTGACAGGTGCACATTGAGCAGTGGCGTTGGCAACGGTTGAGAGGAGAAAAATTTGAGGGACGTTTCTTAGGTAAAATTGTTAGACCTTGGTATCAGATGGTTTTTGCTGGTGAAGGAGGGGTCGGATTCAAGAGTAACTCATTAATTCCTTCTTTGAACAAATAGTTACTGAATGTCTGCTATTTGCCAGGCCCAGTGCTAGTCACTGGTCTAGCCATGCATATACAATGGTGAACAAAATAGACTTGGTTCCCACTTTTATGGAGTTTATATTTTGATGGGTGAGACAGACCTTAAAATGTAAAGAAGTGATTAAATATATAATTACAAATTGTGGTGAATGCCATGAAAGAAAACAGTAGAAAGAGAGTAACAGGGAATATTTACTTTAGGTTGAGTAATCAGGGGAGGCCTCTGACGATGTGTCGGTGAAGGAAAGACCTGTTGGACAAGAAGGACCTGGCTGCTCAGGGAGTGTATTTGTGTGTGTAGGCCAGGGGTGGGGCAGACGAGAGGCTGGAAGAGGAGGAGTCTCAGCAGAGGGCAGATCCCGAGGAGATTTGCTCTGTTTTAGGAAGAGAAAGAAGACGTGTGTGGCTGGCAGGTAGTGAGTGAAGTGGTGTAAGATAAAGTGGGAGAGTTAGTCACGGAGCCAGTCGTGCAGGACCTCAGAGGCCTTGATTAGGAGTTTGGGTTTTATTCTGAATTGAGTGGGAAGCAGTTAAGATGAGCACGTCTGTTGCTCTCTGGAGAATGGACTGAAGAGGGGCAAGAGCTGAAGCAGGCAGCTAGTTACGAGATTCGATAACAGTTCAAAAAAGAGGTGGTGAGGGCCAAGGTCATGGTTTTGGTAATGGAGAGAAGCGGATGATTCCAGATACACTTTGCAGATAGACTCGAGGGGATTCGTTGGTAGTTTAGGATAGGGGACCAGGGAAAGGGAGACTAAAAGATGACTCTTAGTTTTCTGGAGTCTTTGGGGTAATTTCTGAGACTCCATGGGAGTGACAGACATTGATTGAGTAGATGGAGAATGAGTTTCCATTTGGGCATGTTAAGTTTAAGATGTCTTTAGGACCTTTAATTGGAGTTGGCAAGGAGGAAGTTTGGTTTGTGAGTATGGTGTTCAGAAATGGGGTGTGAGTTAAAAATGAACTCCTACAGGCCAGTGCTTCTCAACTTTGTGAGACCCAGTGTCCCCTTTATATAGCAGATATTTTGAAGTCTACCCTCTACTATCTTGGCATGTTATTCATAGCTAATATAAACCATCTATGCTCACAGTTTAAAAAAAATCAAATACTCTAGGGGCTGGCCTGGTGGTGTAGCGGTTGAGTTCGCATTCTCCGCTTCAGTGGCCTGGGGTTTGCCAGTTCAGATCCTGGGAGCAGACCTATGCACCGTTTATCAAGCCATGCTGTGGCAGGCGTGCCACGTATAAAGTAGAGGAAGATGGGCACAGATGTTAGCTCAGGACCAGTCTTCCTCAGCAAAAAGAGGAGGATTGGTGATGGATGTTAGCTCAGGGCTAATCTTCCTGAAAAAAAACAAAATCAAATACTCTAATTGTAATAAGGCAGAGAAAGGAAATTTTTTAAAGTTTTATTTATTTATTTTTTTGGTGAGTAAGGTTGACCCTGAGGTAACATCTGTGCCAGTCATCCTCTATTTTATGTGGGATGCCACCACAGTGTAGCTTGGCAAGTGGTGCTAGGACTGCACCCGGGATCTGAACCTGTGAACCCCAGGCTGCCAAAGCGGAGCACTTGAACTTAACCACCATGCCCCTGGGCTGGCCCTGAAAGTATTTTTTTAATATGTATTTCAGTATGGAAGCACTTGCTCATGACCGTAGTAGAAGATATGAAGTAATCAGATTGAATCCATGCATACGTATTCAGCCTTTGTGCATGTCAGGCACTGTACTGGATATAGTACAGTATGCTGGGCATATAGCAGTGAATAAAACAAAGATTTCTGTAGTTATGGAACTTAGATTTTCATGCGAGGAGGGAGTTCATAAAGAAGAAAATTAAGTAAAAGATAAAGTATACTAGATGGTGAGAAGTGCTCTCTGGGGAGAAAATAAAGCAGGGGACCGGGGTAGGGAGTGCCTCACCTAGCTGTCAAATCACGTGAATACGACTAGTCTTACACAAAGGGAGCCAGTAGTTCTGGCATCTCAGGTGGGTCCTCATTGTCATCGGCTATCTGATTGTCCAATATAGTCAACTTAGGGGAAAGAAACAGAGTTGCCCCTTACTTTACATAATGGTTGCATTTCTTGACAATTATGTATTTTAAAACCCCATCACAACACTTTTGTCTGTAAAACTGAGTTAAGTTCTAGGTAGGTTTTTTACCCATGTGACTGGTCGGACTTTTGAAAGTCATGACATGGGATAACTTTGCATTGCTGGTGCCTGTCTCTTGCATTGCAGGACACCTAGCATCTCTGGCCCTTCCTCACTAAATACTACTACGATTCCCCCAAAAAACGCCCCTAGAAATTTCTAAAGCTTCCTTAGGACCTGCTTCTTTCCTTTCTGCAAACCTCTGGCTTAGGGGGAGAGAGAGAAGAGGGATGGATCCTTGAAAAAACTTGACAGTAAGAGGTCTGTTAGAGGAAGAGGGGAAGGAAACTGAGATTGTCAGCTAAAAGGGGGCAGAAAAATCAGGAAAGTAATTTCTCTGAAGGCAAGAGAGGAAGTTTCTAGAAAGAGGAAACCCTCAACTATAAAATGACACTGAAAGGTCAAGTAAGAGGACAGAAGAATCACTGTATTGGGCAACATGGAAGTTGTTACTGATCTTGAGGAGAGGAGTGATAAGGACAGAGGCCCATAGGAGTGAGTTAAAGAGGGTTAAAGTACACGGGAGGCGAGGAACCACAGGAATAGCTGTTTCAGGAAATAGGGCTCTGAAGGGCAGGGGAGAAATAGTGTGGTATTTGGGGAATATGTAGCTTTTAGTACTTTAAAAAAAATATGTTAGAAGCTATTAGAACATATTTGTGTGCTAATAGGAATAGTCCAGCAGAAAGGGAAAGATTGATGCAGGAAAAAGGGCATAATGGAGGATTACAATATAACAAAGGGATAAATTGTGTGATGGAGACGGTGAGTACTGTGGAGGCTCACAGGAGAGGGACATGGTGAAGCCTGGGCTAGTCAGGAGAAATCTTTGTGCCAAGCTTGAAGGATGGTAACAGTTCCATAGGCAGAGAGGAAAAAGGGGCATTTTTCAGATGAATAGGACAAACTTGGTAAAAGCAAGAGAAAGGATAGAGCATTTGTAATTGAAGGGAGGGTTCTTGTTGAATAGAAGTGGGAAGCAAAATTTGACTAGGTAAGGGGGCGTTACAGATTACCAAGTGGTCTGAAAAGCAGGGGGAGAAGTCTGTACAGTAGAAGCTCTTAACCAACTTTCATTAACTGACTCGTTACAGTCCCTGGGGCTCTGCATTCCTTCCCTCAGCACAGTCCTGAATTCCTCATGTCTTTAGATTATTTTCCAGTGTGCCTGAGTGGCTGCTTCTCCTGTCAGTTGGCCATTATACTTCACCAAGAGGCAGTTGTGTTTATTCCGAACTTGTTTATGCCAACTGTTTGTTACTGTAATTTGTTTAAACCTTATATAAGTTGGTGAAATAAGCATGAAACTGAAGTTGATAATGCTATGTAAAGACTTTTGGATACACTCACTAAAAATGACTCTTCAATTAGATGAAGATTGTAAAAAATCTAGGATTCTATGTTCATAGTTTTTTACAAGTGATTTTGAGTTCTGCCACCACATTTTAAAGAAACCCAAAGTGGCAATCACGGATGATACATTATGGGCATGTGGTTTACACAAAAAAGATGATGCAGCACTCTACAGAGTGCCCCTTTACTCAAAGAAGAGGCCTTAGTCTTTCATTAAAAGATAGAGGGATCAATATTTGTTTATATCTTTTATCTTAAAATGTTTACTGTTTGTATCATTTTTTTTTTTTTTTTTTTTTTTTAAAGATTTTATTTTTTCCTTTTTCTCCCCAAAGCCCCCCAGTACATAGTTGTGTATTCTTCGTTGTGGGTTCTTCTAGTTGTGGCATGTGGGACGCTGCCTCAGCGTGGTCTGATGAGCAGTGCCATGTCCGCGCCCAGGATTCGAACCGACGAAACACTGGGCCGCCTGCAGCGGAGCGCACGAACTTAACCACTCGGCCACGGGGCCAGCCCCTGTTTGTATCATTTTTAATGATTTCTCTGATTTAACCAAATGACTTGATTATCTGATCAAATACTGGTCCTGATTGCATTGGTTGAGGGAATTTCTACTGTATGTGATGTGAGGCGTTTAGGAAGCCATTGAAGATGACCAAGTAGTATTTGAAGATGCTTATTCTTGCAGGAATCTCCGGGATGAATGGGATGGGATTCCGTACAAGGGAAGTACTAATGGCAATATATCTCCATATTAATGTGCATGTTACAAACTCTTGCCGCTAACCTACATTTTCATTTTGTGTTTATCCGGGAGCCTTTGAGGGAACGGGGAGAAGAAAAGAAATTAATATTTAATGAGTATTTTCTATGTACCAGCCATTTTGCTGGGTCTCTACATGCATTAATCTCTTGTAAGGCTCACAGCAGCCCTGCTCTTCAGAGAGGAAGCAGCCTTAAATAACAGGTTAAATAACTTTCTCAAGGTAATTTAGCTAATGAGTGGGGAGCAAGAATGCTTTTACTTTACTAGGGAATCTCATTAAAATCCCTGGTGTTTAACAAAGTTGTAAGGCATTCATTTAATTGCTGAGTAATAAAATCTCCTTTGAATTAAATCAGACTAAATGAACAGTGACTCTTGTTTAGAAGGAGAATCACCACAGTGTTGGCAAAATACACACTCCAGCCTTTTTCTTTTTCTAAAATCTTGTTTCTCTTTGTTTAATGCAGTGTGGAGACTATCAGGTGTTTACTCTATCTAGAATGGACAGTTGACCAAAAAAAGAAAAAAAGGCACAATATGGCACTGCAATATAGTGGGACAAAACTGAAGAGGGCTCTGAAATCATAACTTGAAAAATGGTATGCTGTTTTTAGCAGTTGAGCCAAAACCCTTAAGTACATTTGGCTTTTGAACGGTTTTAAGTTTTATAAATACTAACAATATTTTACTTCAAATTAGGCAATTTTTAGGTAAATTAAACAGTATTTCTTTGATACTTTGAATATTGAAATGTAGTGAAAATTAGGTTAGTAAATGAGCAGTAGCCTCTATTCTCAAATTTCTTTTCCCTCATTAAATTTTCTTATTTTCTTTTTTTTTTTAAGGAAGATTAGCCCTGAGCTAATTGCTGCCAATCCTCCTCTTTTTGCTGAGGAAGACTGGCCCTGAGCTAACATCCGTGCCCGTCTTCCTCTACTTTATATGTGGGATGCCTACCACAGCATGGTGTGCCAACTGGTGCTATGTCCACTCCTGGGATCTGAACCGGTGAACCCCGGGCCGCCGAAGCGGAACCTGTGCACTTGACTGCTGCGCCATTGGGCTGGCCCCTAAATTTTGTTTCTTTAACATCTATGATTTAAAATAAAAAGAAATGGGGCTGACCCTGTGGCCAAGTGGTTAAGTTTGCTTGCTCCGCTTCTGCAGCCCAGGGTTTCGCGGGTTTGGATCCTGGATGTGGACCTAGCACTGCTCATTAAGCCGTACTGAGGCGGTGTCCCACATGGCAGAGCCAGAAGGACCTACAACTAGAATATACAACTATGTCCTGGGGGCGTTGGGGAGATGAAGAAGAACAAGAAGAAGAAGAAAAAAAAAAGATTGGCAACAGATGTTAGCTCAGGGCTGATCTTTAAAGAAAATAAAAAAATTATGCAAGTAATCCATGAATAGCTTCCATTACAAAAGATTTGAATACTTAGAAATATAACTTGAAAACCCCACTTCTTACTTTCTACACTGTATGGTATTGCTTAACCCTGTCAGTCTTCTTCAGAGACAATTGTCAGTTTCTTGGCGTGTGTTCATCTACTCTTTCTCCCCTCTTTTAAAAAAAAAATTTGCGTATCATATTTTTAGAAACAGATGTAATCTTACATTATATATTCTGCTACTTGGTGTTTTCAGCTATTATGTCACTGAGATCTTCCCCTAACAGTACGTCTGACTGACTTCCTTCTTTAGTAGGAGCATGTCATTTATTCACTTTCCTGTTGAATGACTATTTCGGTTTTTGTATATTTTTGGGGAGGGGGCCTTATGTGAAAGTGCTTTTCTTAGGATAAATTCCCAGAAGTAAATTGAGAATTTTATAATTTGAATCAAAATAAAGTTTTTGCCATTTGAATTTTGTTTTAGTTTTTGATGTTTTTGAATTTTAAAATAATATATTTAAAAAATAGTTAATATATATGCATGGTTCAAAATTCAAAAGGTATAAAATGAATCAGGCTCTCATGGCCTTTCCTTTAACCAAGCTGTTCTGTTCTTTGTCATGGCCACTGTTAACAGTTCTTGTCGGGGCCGGCCCCATGCCCGAGTGGTCAAGTTTCCTTGCTCCGCATTGGCAGCCTGGGGTTTGCTGGTTCGGATCCTGGGAGCAGACCTATACACTGTTCATCAAACCACATTGTGGTAGCATCCCACATAGAAGAACTAGAATGACCTCTAACTAGGATATACAATTATGTACTGGGGCTTTGGGGAGAAGAGGAAAGAAAGAAAAAAAAACAGAGGAAGATTTGCAACAGATGTTAGCTCAGGGCCAATTTTCGTGACCAAAAAAAAAAATTTCTTGTATATCCTTCTACAAATAATCTGTGCATATATAGGCATTTGTTATATACCTTATAACATTTTGTCCTTTTTTTTTTTTTGCCGCGAAGAATGGCATACACACTGTTCTGTAGTAGAAAGATGTATCTTGGATGCTGTTCCACCCTAGTGCATGGAGAACTGCTTCAGTCTTCTCTTTAGCACTTCGTTGTGTGGCTTTATTTACTGCATTTAACCAGTTCCAAACTGATGGACATCTGGGTTGTTTCCAGTCTTTTGCTACCATAATGCTGCTTATATATGTCTTGACCATCTCTGTATGAACTTAAGAGATATAGGCATTTAAAATTTTAATATGTATTGTCAAACTGCACTCTATAGAAATTGTTCTAATTTACACTCCTACCAACAGAGTATGAAAGTGCTTCCCTAACATTGTGGTTTCAAACTTGTTGATCTTTGCCAACCTGATAAGTAAAAATGTTGGTTTAATTTGCATTTCTCTTGCCATGAATGAGGTCGATCATTTCTCACTATATTTAAAAGACATCTTTATTTCCGTTTCTTTGAATTGTCTGTTCATGGCTTTTGCCCTTTATTTTGTTGGTTTGTTGATCTTTTTCTTATTGCTTTGTACGAACTTGTTAGAAATGGAGGAAATTAGCTCTTAAGCTTCCTGACCACTTCTCAAATCGAGTCTGAGGTTTCACAATCTCCATTCGCTGTTGGAAGCGAGTCCCAGGGATTAGCCTGCTCTCTGCCTTTCTTTCTTTCTGATTTACGTAGTTTTGGGTCTTCATGATTTAGTGCTTGCCAAGACTGGCTATGAAATAAGATAGTCTGCCCATCCATCCCCTTTCTTGCCCCCGAAGGTAGAAACATAAAACCGCTAATGATCCTAGTTTCGTGCTGGTCACCGTGCACTGTAAGAGTAGAGTAAGAGTCAGCTGGCCTTTTACCTTCTGATTTTGTTTTTGCTGGTCATCTGCTCTTAAGACTTTCTGCTTTCGTTTGAGGTTGTGTTTAGTAAAGGCCATACCGACTCCTTCCTCCGTGCTGACATAATGGTCTCTGTTTTTAATTTCCCTGTGGAGCTAGTCAAGCAGAACAGTGGGTAATCTCTTGTTCCAGATGTATTCTATAAACTTACCTGGACCCATCCATACTTTCTTCCCTTTGGTCTCAGGATAGTTGTCTTTTTTCCCCTCCGTGGCTAATCCTCCCATTGGTGGCTGACATTAAATTTTATTTTTATTCACATTTTGGATATTTATATTTGAATTGTTTCTTATTTGTTTTTAGGTAAAATTTGGTAATACCACCTTTAAAACAGACGTGTATCCGAAATCCCTCAACCCTCAGTGGAACTCTGAATGGTTTAAATTTGAGGTAAGTTTTTAAATGTCAGCATTTGTGAGTGTATTTTTTTGAGTGACCCTTTTCCCCAGGAACGATGAGTACCTTTTATTTCAAGTATAGGAGTTTTTCTACAACATAAAAATATTTCCTAGGAATATTGAGTTTTTAAGAAATTGTGTTGCAGTTAAGAAAATATAATAGATGAATATGGGAACCCAGATTAAAAAAAATAGAATTCCTCAAAAGTATTATTACTATAGCAATTTTCTCTGGGCTTACTTATACCAAAAATCGCTTAAGAACAATGTACAGATTTAAAAAAATTTTTTTAATTGTGGTAAAAAATATATATCATAAATATTGCCATTTTAACCTTTTTTTTCTTTTCTAAAGATTTACTCTTAGCAAACAGCTGTTGCCAGTCTTCTTTCTTTTTTTGCCTCCCCAAAGCCCCAGTACATAGTTGTATATTCTAGTTGTAAGTCCTTCTAGTTCTTCTGTGTGAGCCACCACCATAGCATGGCTACTGACAGAAGAATGGTGTGGTTCTGCACCCTAGAACCAAATCTGGGCTGCTGAAGCGGAGCACACTAAACTTAACCACTAGGCCATCAGGGCCCACTCAACCATTTTTAAGTGTACAATTCAGTGGCATTAATTACATTTATAATGTTGTGCAGTCACCACTATTTCCAATTTTTTTTTGATATCACTGTATTAAATGGTTTTTTAAAATTTTTTTAAAATTATTTATTTATTTATTTATTTTTGAGGAAGATTAGCCCTGAGCTAATGTCTGCTGCCAATCCTCCTCTTTTTGCTGAGGAAGACTGGCCCTGAGATAACATCTGTGCCCATCTTCCTCTACTTTATATGTGGGACCCCTACCACAGCATGGCTTGCCAAGCAGTGCCATGTCCTCACCCAGGATCTGAACCGGTGAACCCTGGGCCACCAAAGTGGAATGTGTGCACTTAACCACTGTGCCAGTGGGCCGGCCCCTATTTCCAAAATTTTTTTATCACTCCAAACAGAAACTATTCATTCAGCAGTAAGTCCCCACTCTCTCCTCTCCCCAGCCCCTGGAAACCTTTAATCTACTTTGTATATCTTTGAATTTACCTATGTTAAATATTTCATATAAGTGGAATTATAAGTATTTGTCCTTTTGAGTTTGGCTTCTTTCATTTAGCATAACATTTGCAAGGTTCATCCATGTTGTAGCATGTATCAGAATTTCGTTCCTTTTTATGATTGAATAATATTCCTTTGTTTGTATATACCACATTTTGTTTATCATATTTATCTATTGATGGACACTTGGGTTGTTTCTGCCTTTTGGCTATTGTGAATAATGCTGCAATGAACATTGCTATACAGGTATCTGTTTGAGTCCTGTTTTCGCTTCTTTTGGGTGTGTACCTAGAAGTGGAATGGCTGGGTGTTATGGCAAATTCTATGTTTAACTTTTTGAGAAACTGCCAAACTGTTTTCTGCAAGTGGCTTTACCATTGTGCATTCCCACTGGCATGTATGAGAGTTCCAATTTTTCCATATCCTAGTCAACACTTGTTATTTGTTTTTTTAAAAGATGTAAGCCATCCTAGTAGGTCTGAAGTGATAGTCATGTATAATTTTAATTACGAATGAGGCGTTTTTGTTTTGAATGAGACAACTTATGACTTCTGTGGCTAAGGACCATTTGCATTTCTTTTACTTTGAACTATCTCCTCGTATTTTAACCTTCCAAAGAAGACATTTAGAGATGACATTATGGTGGTAGACTTACCAGGACTTGGTGGCCAGCTTAATATGAAGAAAGTAGATGTGAGGTGGTATCTCATTGGTTTTAATTTGTGTTCCCCTAATTAATAATGTTGAGTATCTTTTTATGTGCTTATTGGCCATTTGTATATCTTCTTTAGAAAACTATCTGTTCAAGTCCTTTGCCCATTTTTAAGTTGGGTTGTTTATCTTTTTGTTGTTGAGTTGTACAAGTTCTTTTTATATATTCTGAATGTTAAACCCTTATCAGATATATGATTTACAAATATTTTCTCGTGTTCAGTAGGTTGTCTTTACTTTCTTGATAATTTCCTTGGATACACAAAACTTTTTAATTTTGTTGAAATGCAGTTTATCAATTTTTCTTTTACTGCTCATGCTTTTGGTGTCAATTAAGAGAATCCATTGCCAAATCTGAGGTCATGAAGATTTACGCCTGTGTTTTCTCCTAAGAGTTTTATGGTTTTAGCTCTTACCTTTAGGTCATAGATCCATTTTGGCCTAATTTTTGTAATGGTTTGAGGTAAGCATCCACCTTCATTCTTTTGCATGTGGAAATCCAGTTGTTTCAGTACTGTTTGTTGAAGAGACTTTTTTCCCCATTGAATCGTCTTGGCACCCTTGTCAGTAGTCAGTTAGACATAGATGTATGGGTTAATTTTTGGACTCTCAATTCTATTCCATTGGTCTATATGTCTATCCTTATGCCATTACCATACTTCTTGATTACTGTAACTTTATAGTAAGTTTTGAAATCAGTAAGTGTGAATCCTACAACTTTGTTCTTCTTTTGGGTTGATTTTTTTGTCATGGGGCATTTCGATTCCCTTTTTGTTTTCTTTTCTGTATATATAAAGTTTTTTTAGTTGTTTCCAAAAGGACATGTATTTTGAAAGACCCATAAATTATTGCACATGTATTAAATCTATTGTGCTATTAGTGTAAAAATGTGAAATATATGAGTCACACATGTAATTAAAGTAACTTGCTTAGCTCATTTCAGATGGAATTAGAATTATGAAGTACATCTTCATTACCCGAGCAAAACAGTTAAATACTTATATAGCTTCATTTTCATGGCTTTTTCTTTTTTCCACAACCTAGAAATGGCTAAAAACGAATGCTCTTGGTCAATTACATTGTTATTGGAATGGTAGGAGGGGCAGGCTTTATGAATTAGTAATTTTCATGATAATAGGACATTACTATTTAAGAAAATGGATATTTCATTTTATTGATGACACAATACTAATAAGTTTGAAAGCTACAAAGTACTCAAGTAGCTTAAATAACTTTAAAAAATAATATATTTGTACTTCTCTGAAATGAGATTTTTATAATATTAATGAACTTTATTAACTAAAGTTACCAGCCATTTCCCTTAACATTTACTATTTTGGCTAGTACTTGTAATAGTAGTATATATTGTGTGAAAAATGTTCTGAAATTTTACGTTTAGAGTTAACAGTAATTATATACTTCTTTTTTGACCCTGTTTATCAGCTGTCAGTTGCATTTAGTTATATATGTTGTAAACTCTCAAATAATATCTTAAGTGAAATAGATGTTTACTTTTCTTTCATGTAGAAGAAATGTTGAGCAAGGCAGTGTAAGGGTCTTTTGGTAGCTCCATGCAGTCATTTGGGACACAGGATCCTTCTGTCTTTCTCCTGTGTCATCCATAGCCTATGGTTTCCATACTCAAGGTCACTTTAGCCTCCAAGTTAACAGCTGGAGTTATAGTTCACGTCAGTGTTCCAGGCTGAAGAAGGAGCTGGAGTGAAGGGGGGTATAGGAGGAATGGTGGTGAATTAACATATGCTTTTCAGCTAAGCAAGCCCTGTTTAAGTTTTTCCCCACCCTATCTAGCTACGTAATGACTTACACTTGTATCTCATTAGTTGCAAAGGAGGCTAGGAAATGTAGTCTTTTAGCTGGGCATCTTGCTGTGCAGCTAAAATTTTTAAACACTTGAAACATCTCTGAGAAACTCTTAATTTATAATATTTTATGATTGAAATTGGTTCAGTTTATTGGTTTGAAATTGGTTCATTTACTCTATTAGATGTATATGTATATTTTTTGAGGAAGATTGGCCCTGAGCTTATGTCTGTTCTCAATCCTCCCCTTTTCCTTGAGGAAGACTGTCCCTGAGCTAACAACATCTGTGTCAGTCTTCCTCTCTTTTGTATGTGGGATGCTGCCACAGCATGGTTTGATGAGCGGTATATAGGTCCGTGCCTGGGATCCGAACCCATGAACCCCAGGCTGCTGAAGTGGAATGCGTGAACCTAACCACTATGCCACTGGGCTGGCTCCTCAAATATTCATAATTAAAATTAATTCCTAAACTTCTCTATTCAGATTTTTCATATAATTAGTTATCTATATGTATCATGAACTATTTCTAGTCACCCAATCGGTATGGAGCCCTATAATATCAGGGAAGGGATACCGTAGTGTCTCATGAGATAAGAATGGTAGTACTCATAGGTGGATGTGTAGTGGCTGGATAAATGTACACAAAAATATTATTAATGGAGTTAGAAATTGGAGGGACATCTTTGGAGGAATGGTTAATGGCTTAGTTTATGACCCCCTTTTGTTAAGCATATAGTAGTGCAGTAGTGGTAGAATGCCGTTGATGACGGATGATTCAGAATGGATTGGAATTCAAAAGAATTGTTTTATTTTAACATTTCATTATGGAAATTTTAAAAAATGCATGCAAGTAGACAGATGAGTATGTTGAACCATCTCATGGATCTGTTACCTACTTTTTACCTTTACCTCCCAAAGTTGTTTACATTCTTCTGCACTTGTTTCATCTGCTACCCTATCCCGCATTTTTTGTGGGGGGAGGCAGGAATATTTTAAGGCAAAGTAAAGATACTATGTAATTTTATCTAGAAAATTTTAATTATATCTCTTTTATAGAGAAAGACCCCTTTTTTAAATCATCCATTATGTTATCACATCAATGATATCAACAATAATTCCATTATGCACTTTAATTCTTAAAATAATCTTCAGGGGGCTGCCCCCATGGCCAAGTAGTTAAGTTTGCATGCTCTGCTTCGGCGGCCCAGGGTTTCACTAGTTCAGATCCTGGGTGTAGACATGGCACCTCTCATCAAGCCAGGCTGAGGCGGCGTCCCACACAGCACAACCAGAAGGACCTACAACTAGAATATACAACTATGTACTGGGGGGCTCTGGGGAGAAGAAGAAGAAGAAGGGAAAAAAAAGAAGATTGGCAACGGATGTTAGCTCAGGTGCCAGTCTTTAAAAAAAAAATTCTTCAGAGGCTGGTTGTTAGCCTAAAATCAACAAGAAATTAAACAGGGAATGGGGAAAGGCATAATGTTTCAAAATTCAGTTAAAAAAATTTAACCAAAGTGTAAGGATTACAGAGATACCACTTGACCAAAGCATATGTAAGGAAGATAGAGAGATTTTAGTTAACCACAAACTCAGTCTTAGTTAACAGTGTGGTATGTCTGCTGTAATGGCAAACATTCATAGACTGCATTTAAAAAGTATAATATTTTAGTTAGAGGAAAAAATAATCCTTTTGTATTCTGTCCTCGTCTTATTGCTGTCTATCATGTTGTGTTCCATCTAGCCGTTATATTTGATAAGGAGAACTGGCAAATTAGAGGATGGCATGGTATGCAGAGGATGGCCGCCAAAATAGTGAACGTGTCTTCAATGAGGCAGCAATCTTTTTTTTGCCTTGTTCTTTGTCTCAGTCAATTTGGGTTGCTGTAACAGAATACCAGAGACTGGTGGCTTAAACAATAGCAATTTATTTCTCACTGTTCCGGATGCTAGGAAGTCTGAGATCAGGGTACCATCATGGTTGGGTTCTGGTGAGGACCCTCTTTTTGGTTTGCAGACGGCTGTCTTCTTGCTGTGTCCTCACATGGTGAGAAGAGAGATTATCTCTCCCTGTCTCTTCTTAAAGGATACTAATCCCGTTCATGAGGTCTCCAGCTTCATGACCTAATTACCTCTTAAAGGCTCCGTCTCCAAATACCATCCTATTGCGGATTAGGGCTTCAATATATGAATTTTGGGGGGACACAGACATTCAGTCCATTGCAGTCTCTCTTTTGCACAGTGCTTGGCACATGGTAAGTACTTGATAATAAGTAAATAAAAGGAGAGAGGGTAGACATTTATTTCATGGACTTAAATTGTTTTCTCTTACAAATAGTATGTTAGTTTTGCTTACAGTTTTATTGTCTGACATTGTCCTTAGAAATTATGGTGTCATTGTGCTTATTAGCATCCTTATTCTCTGTATATGATATGTGGACTCTATTATGACATTCCTTAAGCATTTTTGCTGGATACCATTGGTAGAGTAGTAAAACACAGGATTATATGTAGAAAAAGGAATTAAAACCTAATACTTTTTGTGTGTTCATCGTCTTAATTTTGTGCTTGGAGGTAAACTATAGCTTTTTTTTTTATAGCTTTAACTGTAGCAAAGAGTTATAACTTTTTCTATGTATATTAATCCCTCTACCTTTGTGCTTAGAGATAAATCTATAAGGTTTTCTTTTTTCCAGAAATAAGTAATCCTTTACATTTGGTGTGTGTATACATTTATGGTAGCGAAGATTTTTAAATGATAAGATTTAATGTTAAGGTATACTTTTAGGTGGATGATGAAGATTTACAGGACGAACCTCTACAGATCACAGTTCTTGACCATGATACCTACAGTGCGAATGATGCCATTGGTAAAGTCTACATTGATATCGATCCTTTACTCTACAGTGAAGCTGCAACTGTCATCTCGGGATGGTTTCCAATTTATGACACCATACATGGTAAGGAGTGTATTTTAAGAAGATAAATCACCACCTTTTAAATTTATCCTAAGACTTTTGTGTTACGCTTAGTGGTTTTGAAGTATGTATCTTTAAAAGATGTTGTCTTTTTAATAGACATGTAGTAGTAAAATATCATTGGTAGAATTGTTGCACTTCTCAACATAATTTGAAATAATGCCTGCTAAATTTGTACAATATAGTAAGTGAATCCATTATTTAAAAATGATCTAGTATTGGTACTCTGTGTTTGTAAAACACATTTTCAAATAGACAATATTGATATTTCTCTGCTTAAAATTCTTCAAAGGCTTTTTGTTACCTGAAGCAGGGTTTTCAAAGTGTGGTCTGGGGATACCCATGGGTCCCTGAGATACTTGCACATATTCTGTGAGGTGAAATGAGAACTGTTTTCAGCAGAATACTTATATGTCATTTGCCACTCTTACAAGTGTACAATGGAGTTTTCTAGAACTTTTATGATGTATGTTACCATACACTGAATGTAGAACAGAAATGAGAATCTAACTGTATTCCATTAAGCTAGACATTATAGAGATTTGCAAAAAGGTAACACAGTGCCACTCTTATCACTATTATCACTAAATTTCTTTTTGTTTTTCAAAATAGTTTTTATTAAAAAATATTATTTATATTAACATAAATGGATTTATTTAAATTAAGTAGTAAGTAAATATTTTTTTCAATTTCAATTTTAATTTATAATATGGTAAATATTGATAGATATCATCCACATAAACAAAAACTCTTTGAAGTCCTCAGTCATTTTTAGGATTGTAAAGGGGTCCTGCGATCAAAATGTTTGAGAACAGCTAGGCTAAAAATATGCTGTCTCTTTAGAATGGCACATGGACCCATAAGGAACAGGCAGGCGCTTCTCTCTACAGTCTTGCATCTTTCTGCCTATTTTACATTTTTGACCTGGCAATTCCATTGATAGTAGTTTTTTATAAGAAAATAAGATATTTGCTGAGATTTATGTATATTTATTGTGACATTATTTACCTTCTGTTATTATTTACTAATGTCTAAAATGGAAAGCAAGATTTACTTACATTAGAGCATATATTGACCATAAATTATACAGCCAGAGCAAAAAGCATATTTTCAGAATACAGTGGCATCAGGAAATGTGCATGATAAATTAAGAATTGCAAAATTCAGATTATAAAACATCATAAGATGATCCCGAATTGTTTAGAAACAAAAGAATTGCATGTATATGATGTTATTGGGTAAATGGGCAGAACACATACTGAGATGTTTATCCTTGGATAGTTTCATTTCTGGACTGTAATACTAATTTTCCTCTTTTGCTTTTTTCCATATTTTCTATCGTATATGTATTATAATATATGTATTATCTTTGTAATCAGGAAATAAAATCCAGTCAAATGTTACATTACCAGTAAAAAAAAGCCACTGGAGAATTAATCTGGGCTTGGATTAAAGGCAGTGGCTATAAGAGTGAATGAATTTTCTGAACCTTTTATATTAAATATTGTTTATAGTTGGTTTAATATGTTATATGGGCCCCTTGTTAGTAACATAATTTTCTTGTATTATTTCAGTGGGTAAATGAACAGGTCACTCTTCTTATAAGATCTTCCTTCATAAGCATGAATCTGACATGAAGTCAGGATGGTCAAGCGAAAATGTTTAGTAAATGTTTAGAGATAGGGCCTGGGTCATTTTTATTTGTTAGGATATTTTCTGATAAACTTTTATTCTTGGAATTTCTTAGTTAGCTTACTTTAACTGATTATATTTGTTGTAAAGAATAAAACCTCTTTTGTGTTAAATTGGGTTCTTACATTAGTTGTGAAGAATATTTACTCTGGGATAATAAAGATCTGACTTTTAATCCTGGCTCCACCACTTACTAGCTAATGATACTATGTAAATTAGTTATCTTTTATTAAACTTTAATTTCTTCCTCTATAAAATGGGGATAATACTACTACAGAAATTCCCTTCCTGGGTTGTGTGAGCACTGTGAGATACTAGTGTAAAGCACTTAGAACATCATCAGTGCTCAGCAAATGTCATTGTCATCGTCATCATCATCCTCCTCAATTTAAATGGGACTCCTTTCCGGTTAGTCTTGGTTCAAATAATTGGAGACTTGTTGTAAAAATGAAAATTATTCATTCTCTAATGCATACATGTTCTTCAGAAAATGTAATAAAGAAACCCACTTAGAATCAAAGTAACTGGGAAGCAAGTTGAGCATTGCTGTTATGATTGATCCATTATTTTGAAATCATTAATTGGCACTTATTTGCTTGGTTATTTAATTGTACTTTATTTTCTAACAGTAGAAACTTGATTTTCCTTTTGTAATTATAGGTATCCGTGGAGAAATCAATGTAGTTGTCAAAGTAGACCTCTTTAATGATTTAAATCGATTTAGGCAGTCGTCCTGTGGAGTCAAATTCTTTTGCAGTAAGTAAATACATTTTATTACTCACTTAGAAATTTAATAATTGTTAAATATGGAAAATCAAATTAATATTTCAGAAGGCTAATGGAAAACCTATTATACTTTGGTTTTAATGCCAAAGAGAAAATTGTTAATTTTTCAGAAACAATTACTGTAGCTCTAGGGACCATTTATCTGATTTTAAAGTAAATGATATCTAATTTTTTACAAGTTTATAGAAATTTTTCTTAGAAAAATCCAATGGGGCATGCATGCATGTGGTTGTCATGACAACACCACCAGAGGCCAGGAGGAGGCTGTGCCAGGCTGGCCTTTCCCCCTCCTGCCCCTGGTGCTGCCCCTTCTCCAGCCCCTGCTGCAGCCTCCGTCCCACCTATGAACGTGACTGGAAAGAATCCCATGAAACGTTGCTGGTAACAGTCGCTTAATGCCAGTAGAAAGAGTAAGAAGTGGCGATTTTTGGATTCTTTCCAGGCTTTTATAGAAGAGTCTGTATATTAATAAAACAACTTAATCTCATTTACTTAAACCTTCTGTTTAATATTATTGGGTCTGAAGCTGGAGAATTGATTAAAAATTAAAGCATTCCTTAAGAATACCATTCTGAAATACCCATGAATGACTGGAAACAAAATGAAAAATAAAGGTGGGATTTTTTTTTCCCTGTAGTGCTACAAATTAATTCATCCTTAGAGAAATGACGTGTCTGGGTGACTGTGATCTGGGAATGGAAAGTGTGATAGCATTTGCTACAGTCCTAACTCAAAACCAAACAATTAAGGGCATAAACCTAATCTACCTATACTATGTGGCAAACAAGAAGAGCCCAGTGTTCATCTAGGCCACATGTTGAAAGAAAATCACTGCCTTGTGGAGCTACACGTGTGTAAGCATGATATAAAAAATTGTGGTACGAAACAGGTGATGTCCTGTATCTGAACAGTGGCGGGCACTGTCTTGATGTCAGCTGGTCGTCAGTCATCAGCCACAACAGAGAGGGAGGAGGACTTGTTGCACTTTCTTAATCAACGGAAACAAATCCCACACTCTCTAATGTCTACATTTGGGGAAACAGATTTGTTGAGGCTACGTTTGTAGCAAATTTAGACTTAATTCAAGTGGGCTGTCTAAAACCAGACAGTACAGGTGTGGAGCCGTTTGTGGTGGATGGGTTTGTAACTTGCAGAAGTCTCCGGTGGCCTTAAAAAAGCAGAATTATTGGGCACCAACTTACGGAGAAGCTTTACTCATCTAATGCAAACTTCACTTCTGTACCAGTAGATCAACAGCAATGAAAAACAAGCTCTAAGACAATTTTCACATATTTGTCGTATTACTTTCACAGAGATTAATATTTTATTACTATTAAATTTTTCGTTCATAAATTAGAACAAACTACTTTTGTCAAATATGTAAAAGATGTAACTATATTAAACTTTGTGTGGCTATCAAAAAAAGAGAAAAATCCAGTGGTATATCCTCTAGTATAGGACACTGAAAGGTAGGAGCAGAGCATGATAGCCAGGCACTGTGGTGCTATCCAAAATGACATAAGCTCCTACAGGTATGGAGTCCCGAGAATGCTGTGAAATACGGGTCAGAATTGGGCAGATCTGGGCAATTCATAGCCAGCCTGGATTAATAGGGTTGCAGACTCCTAGGTAGTTGAGTTAGCTTCAAGGCACGAATGTCTATTATAAGAGACTAGTTTGGTGTAGGTGTTCTCGGGTTCTCCTCTTTTTGAATGTGACCAGATCTTATATAAATCCAGTGACATTTGGGGTTTTTTTGTGTTAAATGAGTCTGTTAAGTAGTAACGGCTGAACCAGTTGGCCATATACCATGGATTATTAGAAACTGAGGGCTGTATGGCTCCTCAGATATGTCAGAAAGGTCATTTGATTTTTGAGGCTGCAGTACGTGGTGTACCGAAGAACTTTTTCAAAGCGCTTTGAATAATTAAAGTTTTTTGTATGCATTATCTGCCTTCTACCTATTTATGTAATAATCATCTAGCTGACTGATTTCTTAAACTTTGTGTTGAAAGGTATTTAACATAGTCTATAGCTGTTTTCTAAATTATAAACATGCAATTTATGTCTACTATGCTTACATGAGAAAGGTGAGAGTCTCCATGAGAGAAAATGATTATTTCTAAGAATAAAATGGAACTTAGACGACTGTTTGATTGGAAGTATTATAATTATATTGAGATTATCACAGTAAAAGATGTTCTTGTAACTTGTATCCTAAAGGTAAGAGCTTAATTGTACATTTCTTAAAAATTGAATTTCACCTTGTGATAAGTAGAAGCATAACAGACTTTTTTTTCTTAACAGCAACATCTATTCCAAAGTGCTATAGAGCTGTGATAATTCATGGGTTTGTAGAAGAACTTGTAGTCAATGAAGACCCGGAATATCAATGGATTGATCGAATTCGTACACCAAGGGCGTCAAATGAGGCCAGACAGAGACTCATTTCTTTAATGTCAGGTATTTAAAAAAGATAGTGTCATTACTGATCGACTTAATGTTCCCAAATTTTTCGCTTCCTTTTGACATGCCACCTGAAATTTGACAACGAAGACTGAATTGTAAGCGACTGATTCCTTACTTCTGGCCCCATCCCCCTGAATTGCCATTTTAGAACAAGAAGAAATCTGAATCAGCATCTTATAGTTCCTCTTAACTAGGTAGTAAAGGAAGTTGTGCTCATGAAGTGGCCTAGTGGAAAGTGCCCAGAGCAAGGAGGTTGGAAATGGGCTCTAGTTTTCTCCTCTCTAGCATTTATTTGTGATCAGAACTCAGGTCATCACTCTAATGCTTTTTGTTCTAATGTTGTCTTTTCATGGTCCTTCTCTGACAAGTTGTAGCTCCTTCTACCCTTCCCGCCACTCTTACCTCATTACTTTTCTTTGTTTGTCTTTGAAGAACTTATTTACCGTGTAAAATTTATATTTATATATATGTGAGTGTGTATATATGCACACACACTCTCACACATATATATCAGACAATAAATAAGTGTAAATGTTATATTTAATAAGTATAGATGTATTTATATATAATAAATTTATATATTTTAAATAGAAAAATATAAATATCTTAATACTTATATTAATTATATTTAATATTTATGTCATTATAATGTCATTTAATATAGTATATTTAATTATATGTTATGTTTGTAGTCTACATATTTGTATTATGTGATATCATATATAATGTATTATATATTACAATTAGAATATATTATATGCTATATATTCTATATGTTATATTTATATTATATGTACTATTTATATTGTTTACTTGTTTTTTGTCTGTTTCTCCAACTGTTATGTAAACTCCACTAGAATTGGGGCTGTATCTTTCTTGTTCATCTCTGCATCTCTAGCACTTAGAAAGGAAGAATGCCAGGTACAAAGTACACATCCAAAAATTACTTGGTAAATGAATGCATGAATGAGTGAACCTTACTTGCCACATTGGTAAAATGTTGCTCATAGTCTTACCTCCCTAAAAGTAGAAGGCAGATCATCTTTTAGCTTCCTTTCATGTTCTAAAAACCTATGATTTTTTGGACTCTTTTCTGTTACTGCCATTTCCAGCTTTGTATTATGTTATGTGGCAATATGAAGCAGAATGAGTTTTCTTCCCTTTTTTGCAGGTGAACTGCAGAGGAAGATTGGCTTGAAAGTGCTTGAAATGAGAGGAAATGCGGTTGTTGGGTACTTACAGTGTTTTGATCTGGAAGGCGAATCTGGGTTAGTGGTACGAGCCATAGGAACAGCGTGTACACTGGATAAATTAAGTAGCCCAGCAGCGTTTCTTCCTGCATGTAATTCCCCATCCAAAGAAATGAAGGAGTAAGTATGAATCAATGAATTGTTCTTATGGAGCTTTTTATCTTTTAATCTATACATTTTCATTGGATTTGAAACATTTTAGTAGATTTGTTCAATGTACATTTGGTTCTCTGGTGATTGTTCTTATCAGAGATGACTGTCAAAACTGAAAGCTTAAAATTATTTAGATATTCCTAATATTTTATTTATACTGTCTTGATAATGAAATTCAAATTAAGCAATGTAAAATTAAACTCATTCCAGATCTTTAGAACTGTATATCTAAGGCATAAATGAATGTTTATGCATTGTGTGGAATTTTACTAATTCTCTTGGAGAATGCTTAAAACTCTATACCTGATAATCCAGTTAGGCTTATTATTAGCAACATAGTATAGAAGGCCGGAAAGATTGACTTGTGCAGGGGTTTCATTCTCAGATGTCTACAGAGGCCAAGCTGTTTATATAAATAAAATAGTGGGGTATAATTAAATAGGGAATACTGGAGACTGAGTAAAGCTGGTTTTACAGACGTTTCTATAAAAGGCCAGATGGTAAATATTTCAGGTACTGATCATATATATAATCTCTATCTCTGTTGACTAAAATAAGCAGTTTGCTACTCTTGATCTAAAGGAATTTAGACTCATACATTTTTTATTTTTATTTATTTACTTATTTATTTATTTTGTGAGGAAGAGTCGCCCTTAGCTAACATCCATTGCCAATCCTCTTTTTTTTGCTTGAGGAAGATTAGCCCTGAGCTAACATCTGTGGCAATCTTCCTGTGCTTTGTATGTGGGATGCCTCCACAGCATGGCTGATGAGTGGTATAGGTCTGCACCCAGGATCCAAACCTGGGCCCTCGAAGTGGAGCACACAGAACTTTAACCACTCGGCCACAGGGGTGGCCGCTGACTCATACATTTTTTTTAAAAAGTATGTGTGATCCAACAGAACACTTCTGTTGACTGGATTTGGCTTATGTGTCATCATTTGTGTCTAAGGCAGGAATTCTAAACGTGGTGGTACTGTCAACAGGGAATGTTTGAAACGAAGATTTTCTGTCATGAGTGAGATGAGAGGGACAATCCTGCTGGGGACTGGAAGTGCTGACTATCCTATACAGCAAGGGACAACTCTGTATGGTCATGCACCGCATAGCAACATTTTAGTCAACGATGGACCGTGTATACAATGGTGGTCCCATAAGATTAGTACCATAAAGCCTAGGTGTGTAGTAGGCTATACCATCTTGGTTTGTGTAAGTACACTCTGTGATGTTCCCACAATGACGATATAGCCTAATGACATTTCTGGGAACGTATCCCTGTGGTTAAGTGATGCTTGACTGCATAAGACGACTTGTTCCATACTCAGTGCCATTAATACTTTCATTAAGAACCGTTGATCTGGAGATTCTTCTAGATCAGAAGTCAACAAACATTCTGTAAATGACTAGAAGGTACAGGTAAAATAATTGTCTTTGCTAACAGCAACTACTCAACTCTGCTGTTGTGTGAAAGCAGCCATCAGCAGTATGCAAATAAGAGTGTGGCTGTGTTCCAGTAAGACTTATTTACAAAACATGGCAGGATGGATTTGGCCTGTACTGTGTAGTTTGCTGACCCCTGCTCTGTATCATCAGAGAGTCAGAATTCTGTAGTCAGAAAACCAGAAATGTTTCCCACTTCAGCAGTAGTCAGGAGAGGTTGACTAGAAAGCAATCACCATCTTTTTTTTAAAACAATCTTTTTTTTTTTTAATAGCACTAAACCAGTGATCTTAATTAACAAAGGAAATACAGGATTCTTGGCCATGGAATGTTTACAAGACAACCCTTTTTTTTTTTTTTTTAAAAAGATTGACATCTGAGCTAACAACTGTTACCAATCTTTTTTTTTCCCCCTGCTTTTTTCTCCCCAAATCCCCCCAGTACACAGTTGTATATTTTAGTTGTGGGTCGCTGTAGTTGTGGCATGTGGGACGCCGCCTCAGTGTGGCCTGATGAGCAGTGCCATGTCCGTGCCCAGGATCCGAACCAGTGAAACCCTGGGCTGCCGAAGCAGAGCGTACAAACTTAACCACTCCGCCACGGGGCCGGTCCCATTAAACAATCTTTTTTAGAATGAATTTTTTCTGTTTGTCTTAAGCTTTTTGTTTTTGTTTAATTATTTCCTTTCTGCTGGCTTTAGTTATTTGGATTAAATTTTAGTCGCAAGAAGGAGTACAGGGTTACATATGTTGCCTAATTTTATTTGGAAATACATTGACAAGTGAAATAATTTTTTAAATAAATTGAAGAGTGAATTTGCTTTATATTCCATTTAAAATATGTCTTAAAAAGATATGAACTGCCTGCTGCTGTGGGTAAAGTCAGATTGCAGGTAACTTTTTGAGGGATTCAGATTTTTTTTCTCTTAGCATAGCAAATTTAAGTAAAGGCCTGGGTTCCTCCTTCTCCTGCCCCCCTCCAGCTTTATCTGCACTGCCTCAAGGGGCCTGGCTTTTGCAGCTGTGTTGTCTGAAGTTTTCCTCTTTTCACAAAATTACTTAGCAGAAAGAGAAAGCTATATTACGTGTTGGTGTCTCAGAATGCTGTGTGGATAGTAGGGGAATACATTTTGCCTGCATTCAGGAAGAGTTCCATTAATGTAAATCTTCTGAGATTGTGTAAGTTTTCTCCTTTTTCATTTTGTTGTAGCCATTGCCTTAAACTGTCAAAGATTCACACCGTGAAGCATTTAAGTTGCTTCATTAAGATTTTCTGAATGGCAGCTTACTATCTAAGTCATGTTATTAAAAAAAAACAAACCCTCAATACTCAGGCTGCTTTATTTCAACCAGCTTCTTTGTATTGTTGATAATGAATCAATTTGGGTGCTAGTTTAAAATTGTTTTATGATTCAGCTGATTATAATTATTCTGGTATTTAATTATAACATTGTTGATTCTAGACAGAGATTTGATAAAAGGTAGTCTGGATTATGTTCCCATCTGAATGGATTTAATATTAGAAATACCACTAGGGTATTATTGTAAGGCAACCTTTCCTGCAAGGTTGATGAGAACTAGAACTCCAAGAATTCATTATGGTGATGCTCCAGTGTATTTGGATTTTAATTTGATATCATAATGTGAACAATTTACAATGTTCATTTTATTTTACCTTTATTAATGGTACGTTCTACTCTATCAGTTTGTTTTTTTTCTTTTAGATGTTTAGTAATGCATAGTATAAATCTCTTGGGTGTTTCGTAGCTGAACTATCTTGATGGTAGAAGTGCTTTTAAATATGATTTATTGCTTCTCTACTTTAAAAAGAAAAGTTCTTCCTAATAGACATTAGGCGTAATTTCTCTTTTCTACAGCATTGGTCCTTAGACTTTTTAGAAACTCCATTAGTCACTTCAACAGAGAAAGAAAAAACAAAAATGAAAACCTCACTCAGTTGTTTGAATATAAATGTCACCAATGAGATATTTGACTTTCATCAGTTATATTAAGCACATTTTTAATTTAAACTAGCAGCAAAAGCAGAAACATTTGTCCTATGTAAAATCAGTGATATTTTCAGAAAGTAGTCTGTGGACTCTATGAAAGACCATTACTGCCAATTAATGATAGCTTATGTTTGAACCTTGACCAATTGTGATTGTTGGAAATGGCCACTGGGAATAGAAAAGAAAAGGCCAAGAAGAGTTGGGCTCTTGGCCTGCTTTTAATTTGAATTCTAAAAAAATGGGGATATGGTAGTTTTTCAGAATGTATTCACATGTGATTCTTTCCCCCTCCTTGTATGTAAGCAAAGGCATTGCACAGTGAAATAACTGCTAATATGAAGTCCAGGATTCTTAGTTATATAATTGACCTTTTTTTTTTCCCTCCAATGTAACTATGCCCTTTAGCCAGATTTCTTTGTGAAAAATTTAAATGTTGTGTATGAATATTTATTAGTGTATCTGATCCAAATATATCTACATGTGCGTAGATATGGTCCTTGTAGGATGTGTAAGTTGTATCTTACAAAATTTCAGTTCAGAATGTAGTTTAAATGGTAAGTTCTATTTATGTTTAAATAATATATTCTGTTTGAGAGCTGGACAAAAAACATGTACATTGGTATTGGTGTGTTTTTAAAGCAGTGTCCCCTTGCTTTGTTTTGTTCCCAGTGTAACCTGGTTTTGAGCTAAGTACTTGGTGTCCGGAAATACTGGAATGTTTCTGTCTGCTTATATCCATTCAGTTCACTCATCTCTCTTTATGCTGTCATTTTTCATATTGTTAAGTGCCCCTGTGTTGAGATTCTAGACAGAAACAGTCCTGTTAGTTAAACTTTCTTCATTGAAAAATATAATTAATTATATCAGCAATTATTCATATCTCAGTTTCAAAGGTAATATAAGAACTTTATATGTGGCTTTTCCCCTTTATGAGTGTTTTCTCTCTAAAATACCATCTAGAAGCTCTATGGTGATCAAAATAATAACATTTTAAAGCAACTTAAAATCCGAATCTTAGTCTTTTTCTTATTTAATTCCACTGACTATTCTGCTTGCTCTTTTTCTTACAGTCCTAATTTATTAATCTGGTCCTTTAAAACTATAACTCTATCCTAACAAATTAATATTGAGCTATTCTTTTTTAATTGCAACTTGTTTTTTGCATGCTAGGGATTGAGAAATAATTCCTCTTCCTTAACTAAAGGTCCTTTGAAATTATTTTAACATAACTTTGCTCTCTGTTGTATGTATTGTGTTCTTTTCTTCCACTTTGACCACAAATTCCCTCAGGTCTCCGCTGGTTCACCCTCCAAGCCATGGATGCCGCTCGACTCACAACAGCCCAATTCACACTGCTACTGGCTCACGACTTACTCAGAACTTCTCTGTGTCTGTTCCCACTCTCATCTATACTGGTACGAGACTGCTCAGACTCCCGAGCTGGGGAAGGCAGACCACGGGCAGAGTGGCTGCCGAGGGCAGGCAGGCAGGTAGTGCAGGCAGATACCACGAGTCTTTGCTTCCTCCTTTTCTCACTTGAAGTCCAGCCGCAGTGAAGAAACACTGTATTTAGGTGCCACAGAGGCTCTAACTACGTGGAAGTGAAAGTGTTCTTCTGGCTTCCAAAGTCTCTTCCATAGACCCTCTAAGGACCCTATCTTGTGTACGTGTACTGTGAGTTTTTAGGAGACTCCTCCAGTGTGTGTTTCTGCCATTATTTCTGCATTTGGCTAGAAATGAAATTGATCATTGGATTCTAAATGAAGTAGATCCCAAAGCTTCTGATTTGCTCATTTTCTTTATGTACAAAACCTATTGCAGTAGGGTCTGTTTGATTCTGTGGAAGAGAACTATTGGAAAACAGGTAAGCGACTATTCTGCATCAAATGCAGTTGTTTCTGTGTAGCTGTATTCATTTTCCACTCTGCTCTGTTTTTAGCTGTGGCACTCTTGTTGCTATAGGATAAGGAAACATATTTTTCTTTGGAAGATTATGTGTGTGTGCAAATATAAAAACGATTGTGAATATTTACACACACCATTTACAGTCATCATTTTTTCTTTCGTAACTTAAAAGAGCATTGTTTATTTGAAAATGTTTTTAGTCACGTATTTATTCTTTTTGTTTATTTCTCCTTTTAATATTTTTTACCCCCTTAGTCTGTCATTTCATGCTTTTTTGCTTTTTAACTTGGCTTATTAACTGTTTCAATGCAGATAATTATTTATCTGGAGAATGATGAATGGTTAAACAGCATTTGGTTGTCTTTGGCCTCAGACCCAGCTCCACACTTAAGAAATGACTGCTGGCCCTGCCCCAATACTTTCCTGGTGTTTGGATCATGCTGCCTTCTGTCAAGTCCTTGGCACATGATTGCTTAATATTTCTCCACCTTCTTCTGGCAGGATTCCCTTCAATGAAGATCCCAATCCCAATACTCACTCATCAGGACCCTCAACCCCTCTGAAAAACCAAACCTATTCCTTTTCACCTTCCAAGTCCTACAGTCGACAGTCCTCTTCTTCTGACACAGATTTGAGTTTGACACCCAAAACTGGTAAGGCGCTTCCACCCATCTTTTTTTTTGTCTTTTCTTTTCAAATTTGTTTCTGTTCCTTATTGGCTTTCCATCCAAGCCTTTCTTCCTGTTTTTGGCATTTAAGTTAAAAGATAATGTAAATGCTGATCATTTTCAGTTACTACAATTAAAATATGAACATTTTGTACAGTTCAGAGATTTCCTTGCTCAGAGATCTACATTTGTTGATTTAATGGTAGGGTAGATGTAAAGTCAAAGATGTTTTTTTGCATGTAGACGTTTTTCATTTCATGCTCACATTAAAAGGAATAACGTCTTAAAGCATTTGAATAGAAAGTAACACTGGTAGCTTGCAATCCGCTTCCTCATACAGTATAAGCATTTTTGAGTTCATTGTTTCTTTCCATTTCTGAATTTAATTCTAAGATTTTATTATGAAAAAAATCTTAAGAACTACTGAAATGGTTATATTGAAGTACATATATCTATTTATTTACTAACTTCTTGTTATTTAAAATGTTTGGTTTTGCTAGGCTTACTCTCTAGGTTATAAAATAGCATTTTTACTTATTCTTGCATATTTCTCAGTGTATTAAATTTATAATTTTCCCTTTCTTATTTGTATTTTGATAATCTCTGTGAGTTTTTATGTTTTATGATAAAAAAATTGATAAAAAAGTCAAATTAGTTTCCTACTCCTGAAAGCAGAATTAGCTTATTTAAATCAATAAATTATTATTCTTAAGAAAAAATAAATAAAATGTTTAAAAATTAATAGTTTGCAATTTTTGTAAATGATTTTGTCTGGCAGTTTCCTCTCCAGATTGATGAAAACATTTTGCATAGTTCTTGTTTGTGTTATTTTTAATTTATCATCTTTAATAACCTTATTTTTGTGCTAGACAAGAAGTTTATAAAATGACTCCAGATTTTATGAAAATAATAAAAAGAAATCTAATTCTAGAACCAGTGTTACTTCCAAAGTAAAGAAAGGATGTTAAAAAAAAGCCTGTAGATTTAATATCTATTTTTATAAATGTCACAAAATATAAAGAAGATAATTATGAATACCTAATTCTTTGAAGAGAAAAGCTTTATTTTTACATATACGTGATTATGAATAACATCTAAAAATAATGTGATATTTGATAGTAATGGATGCTTTGGAATGTGGCATCTTAACCATATTCATGTCATAAAAACTGAACCATTCAAATTGTAGTGAAGTGTTTGTTTTTTTTAAATAAAGAATGAGATTCTGGCCTTGAAATTCATGACAATCGAAACAAGAAAGACAGGATAGTATTTGAAGAATAATTTTTCTTGAAAATATTTTTGAGACTTTGTGCACTGGCTGTTTATTTGTATATTCCAGGCCACTTTCCAATATTCTTGCCTTTATTTTTCATTGCTATAGCACAGACAAATTTTTGAAAGTATTTCCTTGGTCTTTCTATTTCTTTTTCTTTAATTCACCAAAAAGGCCAAACCTAAAGAAGATTGTCAAGTAATAAATTAACTCAACCAGATGTTTCTTCCCTTAGCTTTCTAGTAGGCAATCAGTTGTATTATCAGTGAAAACTTCTTTGCATTTTATTTTGTAGCTCCAGATTTTTAGTTTTTAAAAATTCCTTTAGGGGGCTGGCCCTGTGGCCGAGTGGTTAGGTCTGTGCGCTCCGCTTCGGCGGCCCAGGGTTTCACCGGTTTGGATCCTGGGTGCGGACATGGTGCTGCTCATCGGGCCACGCTGAGGTGGCGTCCCACATGCCACAACTAGAAGGACCCACAACTAAAAATACACAACTATGTACCGGGGGGCTTTGGGGAGAAAAAAGGAACAATAAAATCTAAAAAAAGAAAAGAAAAGTTCCTTTACAATAGAGGCATTATTCTCATGTATTTCTGTATTTATAAGCTGCCTCTAAATAAATTATTTTGTTTTGCCTGTAATTATTCACTACCTCAGTAGCATATTTATAGGATATTAGCAATTTTTAGTCCTTTGACCTTGTCATGAGTCCCTAAATATCTTTGAATACTCCTGAGCAGCATTCCTATTTCTTGTAGAGATTTAAAATGGCAAAATTATGATTGTTCTAAAATTTCTCAAACTGTAATTCATCATATGTTTCATGATTCTCTGCCTTCTAATTTACCTGTGTACGAAATCAGTCTCTTGAGAAATCCTGAGAATAGAGAAGCTGTGTATGATTGATTTATTATGTGTAAACTGGGGAGCCAAAAATAGAATAAACTTAATCAAGCTGAGACTGAGAAAGTTTTTCTATTTGTGGTTAAAACTATCACTTGTTTTTTAACTAGGTCTCGTTTTTAAAAAATTTCATACTGAGTTATTTCTGTAGATTTTAGTTTTTGCCGTTTTACAGGGTTTTACTTTCCTTTTTTTTCCCCAAGTACTCAACTAGTAGAAGTAGGATTTTAGAATGCTCGTGTTAGGATATTGTTTTGACACCTGACTCAAGCTAATTTTTACTTTTTTTAGTCAGGCTTTTAGCCATGTATAGTTTTTGTGATCCAAAGGGTATTTGACCCTTAAGTACTCAAATCTGTGTAAAATGCAGTCAGTACTGTGTCAGATTTGAGTATTGAAAATGTTAGAGAAAAGAGAAAAGTATTAACATATTATCTCGAAGCTGAACAGAAAGAAGTTAATATTTTATTTATTTAAAATTAATAATAACAACTGCTTAATGTGGTACTGTTTGTTTTTTTGTTGTGGATATTCAGTTAAAATACTCATAAGTGATATGTGTTTTACCAGTTCAAATAAGTGTTGATATTTGAGGCAACAAGTTTCTAGCCTTAAAAATGTGTAAAATGTGTTACATTTTAATCTTACACATTCTTAAGCAAAAAAAGGAGGGTAATTTAAGTGTTTTTAAGAAATCAGCTAGAAGTGATTAGAATTGAATAAAATCCTATTTAGTAATTTAAAAATTTTTAATGAATGCAAAATTTGTAAAGGTTTTGTTAAATTTTAGACTGTGCCTTTTATTTATATTATGCTGAATAGATGGTCTTGCTAATGACTTCATATGCTTAGTGTAATTTGTGTATGCATTTTAAAATTCATTTTTACTGTTATGTTTTGCTTCATCATTGCTTTCCTTATCCTGCATTTTCTGGTCATCTTCTGAATCTGCATCTTTTCTCTGCTACTTTCCTCCACAGCACCTTACCCACAAGGGCCTAGGATTTACCTGTGTCCCAGCTCCCCCTCTCTCTCTTGTGGGTCCCTTCATCTTAAAAAGTCCTGTCTCCTCCTCTCGGAATCTAGCCTCCCCCCTCATCATTCTAGCCTTGTCAGCCCAGTTCTGAGGAAAAGTGTTTCTTTCAGTGAAGAGCTGTTCCTGGCTGCTTCTGGTAGGATTACATTATGTCAGCTTTTTAATCCCTGTATTTTAAGTCATCTTAAAAGAAATTAATTAGTTCATACTATAAAGAAATATTGGGTATTTTACACAAGATGTACTCTTGTTTTCTTATTGGCAGACAGAGTTAAATGATTAGAATTATCATGAAGACATGATTGAGGATTACTTGATGGATAATTATGAATATTTTGCTAAAATTATTTTATGTATTAAAAAATTATATATCTGAGAACATAAAGCTGTATATTTCCATTAATTATTAACTTTTTATTACTAGAGTTTCTGTTTTAGATACTTTACTTTCTTTCCCTTCACACCGGCTCCATTCACGTTGGACCTGTACCATTATGTTGCTAAACCATACGGTTACGTTAGTAAATTATTCTGTTTGAATCAGTTTAAGTCTCATTTTTGTGATATTCTTTCATTTTTCATTTTTTTATGCCCATTACCTTAATTTACAAATTATTCTGCTGTATTTTCTGATATTTCATTTATCTCTGCCAAACTACATTTTATTTTACGGCTTTCAATATGCTTCATATGAAGATCTTAGTTTCATTTCTGTTTAGTATTGTATAGTCTCTAAAAATCATGTGTAGGTTACTACAAGAAAAATTTCTTTTTTATTTTTAAAGAACAGAATGAGACTATACACATGCTAACCTTTGTTTCCTTATCCAAGAACAGCTAAAAATGTAAAAGTAAATTAGTTCCTTTTTTAAGCCACTGTAGTAAATCTGACTGTATGTAGCTTCAGTTTCGAAAGGGTGGGATTGAACTGTTAACTCTAGTCTGTGGAGCACTGACTTCTCACCTGTCCCCTGCTTTCTATAATCCTTTGACCATAGTTGGTCTATTGGTATTATCAAAAGAATAAAATAAGGTAGGGAAAGAAATTTAAAATCAAGACTTTAAAAAATACATCTAAGAGCTTGGGAAATATAATTCTTTCATCCATAACTTTGTACATTTGTGGTGTGTCTTATCTGTCCGTGATTTTTAGTTTTTTAAAAAAATTTTATGTTGATTTTTGCAAATGAGTGTTGAAAACTATGAAAATGAATACTGTTTTTCATGAATCTTACGTGTAGGGATGGGAAGTTATCAGAAAATAGGTTTGACTATATTTCACACTTGCCTAAAATTCATGCTATTTAGAGAATTTTAGAATATTTTAAGAAAGCACAATTAATGTTTTCCTTTCTATATTTACTTGTAAAAGAACATTTAATATTTCTCTTATTCTTAAATTGTTAGCATAGTAAGTAATTGGTGTTATCTTGATTATTTTTTGTTAGAAGACTCAACTTTCAAAAACTGAATATTATACAAAAATAATATACAACATAATTTTTAAAATAACTTTTAGACTAAGTCTAAAACTAGCTGCAATCAGTAAGACTTTGACGTCTTGCTTCTAAAGAAAACTTTGTGAATAAAATAGAGTAAAATATGTGTTTAGTTGTATCCCGGATGTTTTAAATGTTTGGATTATAGGAACAGATTTTGACTCATGATATTTGTGAAGATGAATGCAATTCAACTTTGTTTCTATAGTTGTTTTTTGGTTGTTCTTTATGTACTGATGTTCTGTAGGAATGGGAAGTGGTAGTGCTGGAAAAGAAGGGGGGCCATTTAAAGCCCTTTTAAGACAACAGACCCAGTCAGCATTGGAACAGAGGGTAAGAGTCTCTCAACCTTCTTTATTCTTACACTGTTAATAGGATTTTATTATCACGCTTCCGTGTTATTTATTGATGAATATTTTATTATGAATCATTATTTTTAATTTGGAGTAATTCTATAATCATTTTTGTTTTGTCCTCCAATCTTATTATCTATTATTATCTATTATCTATTATTAGAAACAGTTTATTTGGAAATATCCTGTGCATAGTAAAATCATTTCTAATTTTACATTAACGTTATATAAAAGGAGATACTTTTTCCAGAAAAACATTTTAGTTGTAATATATTAAAAATAATTCCTTACTTTATTAATATACTTATTTGCTGAGATTATTGTCATCACTGGCCAAGAAATGCACAGATTCCATATTTCTACAGATTAACATAAATAATAAGTTATTCAGTATGTGAATAAATCTCTTTTAATTATTGTAAGTTTAATGTTTAGTTAAATATGTTACATGGGAAATGAATAAAGTTTTTGGATGATTTTTCTTTTTTTTTTTTGTATAAACTTCATTGCTAAGGGAGGATCACCTCATAGGTTCTGTAGAAGGCGGGTATGTTTCTGAACATGTGTGAAAGCCTGTTGTATTGGTAGCTTTTCTAGTTTTAATCTTGATCATTTAAGTTTTATTTAAGCTTTTAACAAATGTTGCCAGCTTTTTTTCTTTTCGTAATGTGTTTTTTTTTTTTTAATTTAGTAGCTCTATGAGGCTCGTTTTCTTTTTTCTACTTAACTAATACAGTGCATGATTTTATATGTCATGTTAGTTATTTTAAGGCACAGTTCCATAGCTTTCATTATGTCTCATTTGGAAGTTATAAGCGTTTACAGAATTTTATTTTACATACTGCATTTTACACTAGCATTTACAAAAAAAGATGAAACATAGCAAGTACCTGTAAAAGAAGGCATTTCATAAAACAAAAGTATTTCTTTTCTAGAGGTTGGCTTTTGAGAATAGTGTTTTTCAGATCCTATTATTATAAATAATACAACCATTTTTTTTATTAGACTTTCTTTCCTTCTGCTCAAAGTATCTGTGTATGCACTCCTGGCCTTCTAGACAAGGCTGGGGAGAGCAGAGCTGAACTCAGCAGAGTGATGATTTAGCTGGTCCCAGGTCTTTGCTTTAGACCCTATCAAGCAGTAACTGCCTTTCATCTGCTCTCGCACTTGCAGGCATGCCAACTACTGCCATCAAAAAGCCCCGCTAAGCATTCAAACCCTCCATTGAACTCAAATACAGAGAAAGACTAAAAACATGAAGAAGAGGGTAGAGTGAAAGTGTGTGTGTCCAGTTATTTTTTAGGTCAGAATGCTCTTATCTCCTCCCTCCTCCCAGTTTTACATTTTCTACAGAGTCCCTTATACTAGGAATATTTCCTGTAATCTAATTAGATTGTTCGAATTCACATGAACAGGAAAACTTGGGTTGTCTTAACGTTTGATAGAATGAGATTTTGCCTGTATGTTGTGCCTGTGACTTTACTCTCTGTACTAAGAACTTTTAAAAGCATCCAGCTTTAAAAGGAAAAAATACTAATCAGTGGAAATTGTTTTGGATTTAGTATGGATAAAGTTTATACTTTCAAATATGCTTTTAAACGTTCTTAAAAGTTTGGACATGTTAACGCATTGGGCATACATTACCAGATAATCTTCATGGAATTAACAGCAGAGGTGTGGCAAACTACAGTTTCCACTTACAACTTTGTAAAACCTGAGTGGGCAATACATGTAAGTTACCTAACCTTGCAGCAGCAGTTAGCTGAGTTTCTGGGACCACCTCTCTACCCTGTGTACATAATAAATGGAAAAAGCATTATCATCTTTGGCTTCCCCATTCGCCTACGGCTGCCATTAGTATGGCTTTGTTTTGGAAAAATTTTGTACAGAACTATGAAGAATTCTTCTCATATATATTCAGATATCCCTTATCTCTGCCAAGTTGAACACTAGATCCAGCTGAACACATGATCTACTTATATCATTTAAAAATATTTATATTAATTTTTTAAATATTTATATTCATTTTTAAAATACTCATTTCTACCCCTTGTCACCCTTAATAAAATTCTTTGGCTTTTTCTTCCTGAGGAAAAGAGAAACTATTTGTCCAACATCTTTTATTTAAATGGGTTATTCACGTAGCAGTTCTCAAAAATAAATTTTTTTTTTTCTTTCACAAAAACATTAAAAAATAAATTGACAAGATCTTGGTAATAGGTGTTAGATTATTGGGAGATGAGAAATGGAGATAAAAGTTTTATTTAGATTTAGGTTCTGCCTATGAACTATTTAATGTAAAGCAAATAGATTTACTTTTCAATGATTCTTCTTTCACCTGTAAGAAAAATGAAGTTACTTTTTAAATTCTGGGATGTATATTTTTCTTCAAGAGAGAAACCCAATTGACATAATTTAATCTAGTATTTTCCAAATGTATTTTACCAGGGAGTTTTCCATTTAAAAAACCTGTTAGTAAGGAACACACTTTGGCAAACATTGATGTAAAGCAAACTCTTGATAAATTATGAACTTTTTTAGAAGTGGGGTAAAATTATACAATAAATCATGGTAGGAATCTGGCATGGAGTTTCTTATCTAGGAAGTTTACTCTGGTCTCTTGGGATAATAAAAAGAATATTTGATTAAAAAATAAACTAAGTATCTTTGAGAAAAATCCTATTTAAACCTTAAAAAAAATATTCTCATTGTGCTCTCAGATTTTTGTGTTTTTTTTTTTTGAGGAAGATTAGCTCTGAGCTAACATCTGCCACCAATCCTCCTCTTTTTTGCCAAGGAAGACTGGCCCTCAGCTAACATCCATGCCCATCTTCCTCTACTTTATATGTGGGACTCCTGCCACAGCATGGCTTGCCAAGCGGTGTATAGGTCCGTGCCCGGGATCCAAACCAGCAAACCCCCGGATCGCCAAAGCGGAACGTGCAAACCTAACTGCTGTGCCACCTGGCCAGCCCCTCAGATTTTTCAACTAGCCTGTCTCTGAGCACATGCTATTAAATGGATTTATGCTGCATGCACTTGGCTTAATGTCAAAGCATCAAGTTATGAAGTCTTACCTTGGTAGCAGAAGGCAAGGTACTTTAAATATAAGGACTTCCCAGAGAAAATGTCTTCTACAGTTCCTGAAATTCTCATCTAGGCATTGAAAGTAGTGTGTGCTTGGGCTGATCTTAAGGAAGCTGTCCTTTTCAATGGAAGAGAACCTATGGATTCATCAGGGATAGTAATAGACTAGAGATTAAAATTGACTTAACTCAGTGTTTTCACCAGATGATAAGTTTATTGCTGAGAAAGACTCTAGGCCCTCTTGACCTCATTTTTTCACCTAAAACGTGGAGATAATAGTACCTCCCTCTCAGCGTATGGTAAAGATTATGAAGGATAGTTTCAAGACACTGCACAGGGCCTGGCACATTGTAAGTATACCATAGTAGTTGCTGGTGTTGATAGTGGAGATGGTAGGAGTTTGAACAGTGGGCTGTAGGTGTCGGTAGTAGCCCTTCTGAGAGCGTTGTCTGAAGCCGTAGTTTTGGTTGAATAACTGCTGTTTTTATTTACTCCAGGTTAAATTTTGAGTGTTAAAGTGTGTGGGTGAGCTGTTAGATAAACTGGGGACATGTAGGGCAGAGTTGAAGTTGGCAGAGTGGGCTGCTGGCTCTTTTTCTGTTACTTCTACCCCCAGTGGGATGCTTCCGCTCTCGTCCCTTTATCCCATCTTCTCAGATTTGGGGAGAGGAGTCAAGGATTCCCAATAGAGAGATCATTTAGATTTGATTTTTCATACTTACCTAAAGTCTTATATGAGGATATTTTCCAATATCTAATTTTACCTAATTTATTTCTCAGTTTTAGAAGGAGGTACTGCTTTCCATTTAGCTTTAAAGAGTTTTATTTTCAGTGACTTTTGTCCAGAATATTTAAAATGTTTAAGTATAAAGATTAAATGTAAAATGCTTTTTTATAGTATGCTTCAGTATTTTGAGGAACTTTTAAAACTTGTGTTCTTAAAATTGAAAAAAAACTTAAAGACCAGACTTATTAATACTTAACTTTCTGAGAAGATAAGCTTACCTGTACATTTCTCATTTAAAACTTATATTTAAAAAGTTCACATGGAAATAAGGAGGCATTTTGACTAAACATTTTATAATACATCTAAGTGAAATTCCCCTCCCGTCCTCTCCCTTCTCCTCCTTTCCCTCTGCCTATCAGCTGGACCAAACTTAACCTTTTTTTTTTTTTTTTTAACTGGGGAAGATTCACCCTGAGCTACCATCTGTGGCCGATCTTCCTCATTTTTCTTTTTGTTTGGCTTTTCCTCCCCAAAGCCCCAGTGCATAGTTGTATATTCTAGTTGTAAGTCCTTCTCTGTCAGCCACCACCACAGCATGGCTACTGACAGACAAGTGGTGTGGTTCTGTGACTGGGAACCAAACCTGGGCTACAGCACCAAACTTTAACCACTAGGCCATCAGGGCTGGCTCTGCCTATCCACTTTCATAGACTGCTTTTTTACTTTTTTTCACATAGCCTAGGTTTTTCTTGCCCTTGTTAATTTAAAGATTACTTTTAAATTCTAACTGAATTTATTTCTAAATATATGTGTGTGTATATATTTATACACATATACGTATATATATTTTATAGTGTATCTTCATGGGTTACTGAGGTGTGCAGGACTGTTTGCTTTTGTGTTAAATGGCTCCAAGTTGCTATGCTTTGTGAACTATGCTTTGGTGAGTTCGTATTCTCCATGCTTTAAGCAGCCAGTCAGTAATCTTGCTGCTTTTAATGTGCCTGCTTCTAGTACTATTCAGTATCTCTTTATCTCCCAGCTTTTATTTGCTGCATTTAATCTGCTGTGGTCCAGAAAAAAAGATAATGATAGATTTTAGAATATGTTCCTAAAGCTATATATTTATAATTACTATATATAATTGTATGAATATGATCTGTGGGGATCTTTTATGAATGAAGTACATAAACTTTAGTACTTGGAACTGTAACAGTTCTTTTGACTGCTGAGAGCCCTGTTTTGCTTATTTTCCAGTTCTCAGTTATGTTCTGAATAGCTGAGGCTACTGGTAAGTGACTTCTGGTTAAGTGGGCTACATTAATCTTGCAGCCAGACAAGTCAGATACTAAGTTTCCCTTACTTGCACCCAATTTGTGTAATTTGAGAGGCCTCTATATTTGTACAGCCACAGGAGCTCCCCTTTCTTCCTGGCTGCTATTTCAGTAAATTTCCTTTCTCTACCATTTCTCTCTTGCATGCTTGTCTTTGTCTTTAAATTGATGGGATTGATGTCCTTGAGAGAAAAGGGGAGAATAAGCTTGGAAGAACTTGTGGAATTGTATTCCCTCTCCCCTTCTTAATATACATTTGTGTGCTTACATTTTCTCCTGCTGGCCTGATGTTGATAGAGTAAATAATCCACACAGCGATTCTCTACCCACCTCAACTTGGTATTTGCCCTTAGCTTCACCTTTCTACACATCTCCTAACCCACAGTGCTCATCCTCCCCCCTTCACTCCCTCCGTCCCACATTCTTTTAGATCTCTTGCCCCAGGCCTTCAGAGTCTTTACCAGTAGCCTGGAGTTGGGTGTGTATGTGAGGGGGAGTCTACCCCATTGAGAAGTAGATATGGGGTAGGGGGCTGGGAATCCCTCATCTCATTGTTAAGTTGCGTCAGAGTAGGACTTTGAGAGAGGAAAGAGGAGTGTGTTCAGATATCTCAAACTGGAACTCTGAGAACTTTTTTTCTCATTGAGAATTGATAAAAAGAGTGTTCGGATTTTGAATAACATGATTATATATGGGAAAATGGATTTAGAATTCTCAACATCCAAAGAAACTTTTAATTACAGAGCATGTATAATATATAATTGGTCACCTATTGTTAAGGGATAGAATTCGTTTCGTTATGACAAGGTTTTTAATAAGCATATTTTTTGTACTCTGCACATGGTGAGTTGTATTTTTCCCTCGTTCTTTCTACTAGGAATTTCCATTTTTTACCTTGACGGCGTTTCCCCCTGGATTTCTCGTGCACGTTGGGGGCGTTGTTAGTGCACGCTCTGTGAAGCTTTTGGATCGTATCCACAATCCTGGTATGTTCTTTAGAAGTTTGTTTTCCGTGTTTCATTTACGTAAATGGTGATTATTAAACATGATTTTTATAATGTTGTTTTTTTAAGCCAAATCTATCTGAAAAGAGAAATGAAAAAGAAGATATAAACTGGCACATGTTGCTTTAAAACATTTGCAGTAATCTTAATTAAAAATAATCAAACTAAGTAGAAGTAGATTTTAGTTACTTTTTTATACAAAACAAATTTTCATTCGTTTTTGGCTAGGGTATCACTTTGAGGGATCCTTAAGAAACTTTTGGGTCAGCTGTTTTCTTTGACCCAGGCAGATAACAAATATTATAATTTGACCATTGTGGCCATTAAGATGTTAAGTTAATTTGTTTTGCTAGCAGTAACTCTTTATAGATTATTTGAGTAACTTCCTTGTTCCTAAAAGAAGCATTCTTTTAAAATGTAATTGTAAACATTGTGTAGAATATCAAAGAATTTTTTAAAAAGCTGCTGTCTGTGGTTCCTCAGTTTCTTTTATGTAGCTGTGTGTTCTATATAAGTGGACAAGTAAAAATAGTGGCTCTCTTCTTTAAAACAGGCTCTCTTCTTTAAAACATGGGGCCATGTTTGTAAAGGAGGAAAGGCATCAAAGTCCCAATAATTTCAGGCCCTTGGATGAGAAATGCTTTGGTGATTTTTCTAAATCTAAAATAAGCGTGATAAGTGTAGTAGGAACTTGCTGTATGGAATGTGCTCTTGTATCTCTCATTGATTAGATGCCCAGTAACTTGCTCCGGTCACTTACTATTTTCATGACATACCTTAAACCTGAAGTTATATTAGTATTCTTATTTGGCATAGATACATATATACATATACACACATATATATTTAGTTTTTAAAATTTTAAATTGTCACTTCCAGTAACCTCTTCCTGAAGCTTGTACTAACAGCTATAAGAAGAGTAAAATGCTTTGAAATTACTGTATGCAAAACATTGCGGATAGTGATTTTGAGGATACAGAGCGTTACCATTTAAAAGACTTAAAAAAATTTAATCTATGCCCTGTGGTTTGATGTCATTTGAGTTAATAATTACAGAGAAACAGAATGGAATTTTTCTAGACCCTGAATGGGATTTCAGAAAAGCGGTACTAGCTAGGATTATTTCACTGAAGCTGAGCAAATGCATCTTGTGAGCATCAGTCTTCTCTTTTTCTTCTGTGGTTTATTATTTTTTTTCCCTGTTCCTTATTTTTCTGGTCAATTTAAGATCTTTTCTTCATGTAGTATTTGTATATTCTGTAGTAATTAAAGACAAATTTACACTGTTCGCAGTTTAATGTATTGAGACCTTGAAGGCTATACCAAGTTCCACAGCTTTGTGTTTAGGAACTTGAATTATTTGGAAAGTGCAAGGAAATACTGCTTTAAGATACCTGACATTAACTGTGTGACCCAAGGCTAGTTACCCATGTTTCCGTGGACCATTGACTCAAATATTTTGATAGATGACACCCACTGGTATAATAGCTCCAACAATAGTTTCACAAATATATTCAATTGTTGGTGATGTCTTCTGTTTCCTGAAAGCATTTCACTTTTATTGTTGCTTCCATGTACTCTGAGTAAGCTGTAGAGTCTGGGAGAACAAGTGAAGGTTACTTAAATAAGTTTAAGTAGAGAGCTGTATTTAAAGTTGCCTTACTTTTTTAAAAGCGACTTTTGGGTGTTATTCATATTTGCCAGTTTATTCTAGCTGTGTAAGAAATGTAAGAATCCAGGCCTGGGAAGAAAATAGGAATCCTTATTACAAACTACGTTTGTGTATTGTAATTACCAGCTTTTCCATTCTCTTCCTTTCTTCCCCTTTCAGAATATTTTTTCACTTCACCTGTAGAAATTCTCAGTTACTAATGGACTATTTCCCAAAAGATTATGGTCATATACATGTAAATGCTTGTAATGGTGTATAAGTTATATTTTAGTTTTGTTTTATTTTCAGTTAAATACAAATCAATTTATATGTTCTAATGGTTCCGACATTGCATTATTTTGATATAAATATCACATTCTTTAGATTGTTTTATATATGTATTATGCATTAAAAAGGAACATTTTCTTAAGGACATTTTATTAATCTACAAGCCCCTTAAAAATTATTTGTGGAAAAATTTCAATTTGTTGAGAAAAGTTGAACATTAAAACAAAACAAAGCTCTCGATTAGCATCTACCATACTGATAATGTGTTGACTTTATGCCACCGAGTTAACTCTGCTGAGAGAAACTTATGGACTGAGATGCATGTGCTAATGTTAAAAGAGCTGTATGTGCACTTTCAAATGAATCTTACAGCTATTTTTTGACTACTGAATATGGGAAACTTTCATTTCACACTGAGTGTAGAAGGAAAAAAAGTCTTATTTTAAAACCACTACCACCTGCTAACTCTATGGATTATTATTTTGGAGTTATTTGTTTTAGAACTTCCTTTTTTGTTAAGTATTAAGCCAACAGGATCATATAATAAGGGAAAGAATGGGGTAGTTTTAAAAATCAAGGTAATTTATCTTAAATAATAGACTTTAGTTAATGTTAGATTATGATAGCATGCTCCTCCTTTCCTTTCTATTTCTACTTCTTATTAACTCTGCTGTCTGTGTCTTTCCAGTTCCTGTCGAGTGGTGTTGTCAATTGTGTTCTTGTTTGTAGTGCTTTTTGTTTTTTTTCCTACTATTCTGCACCTAAAACTGATCTACTAATTTGCTGTTTTGAACTCAGCCTTTGTCGGAATTATGGGTAACACAAGATCTTACAAACTGCTAGACTGGAATAGTTTCAATTCAGGTATTTTAATGGTCATTCAGTACTACATATGCTGACAAAAATTATGGCAGCTCAGTGAAGTTTTTAGAAATGTTGTAGATTAAATAGTTTTAATGTCAATTCAGTTATACAGCTACATTCTGCAATACATGTAATTTGTAATTTCCATGGAAATGCAAATATTAAAATGTGTTAACTAAAGTGAACTAATCAAAACCATAGAAATATCCTAAATTACAAATGGCTTTTGTTAGATGATTAACTTTCAGAATGATAATTTTAAATAGTTTTGGACAGTTTTTTCGTGTCAGGAAAATGACATAGGCATTAGCTTTACGATTAAGGAAATACTAGTTGTTAAATGTATTATAAGTATTAAATAACTCGTTTGATAATCTTAAAGTATACTTAAACTTCACTTTAGATTTGAATATAATGCATTTAGTGTTCTATAAATACTCTAAAAGCATAACTATTAGAATTTTGTGTATAATTCTAGAAGTGTTCCAAAATTTGGTAAGTAAAAACGACTTTTGGGAGATTAATAGTTTTCATAAGCTTTCTTCCTTCCCCTTCCACACGAAAATACAATTATTCTTTTTTAGTAATTTCATATGGATATAGTTTGTAGCTTTTAAGGAAACTAAACTAAGATAATGTTACAGCTGATGATGTGGTTTAGAGTCAAAGCCAATTCTTTTTTTGATAAAAGCATATTCTCTTAATAATATAAATGTCTGAACTTTTACGTTATTTGCATTTTAGAATTTAGAACTTTTTCAGTTCTTTGTGTCAGAAAGTATATCTATTTACAGAAAAACAAGAACAGAAACTCCAAGAGGCTCTGCGTTTTAGATAATATCTCATAATCTTTTCAATATTATAAACTTTTTGTTCTTAGGAGTCCAGGATGTAAGTTCTGATGTAAGTAATGCATGCTTGACTATGAAGTAACTCATGTTCATCATGCAGATTTACCTGAATTCAGTCTAGTAAACACTTGCATCAGGCCCCAACTTGGCAGATTTAGACCAACATCAATTGGTAAATCTTTAGGGAAATCACCTCTATTTCCTATCCAAGTTTTTGCCAGCGTGTATCACATTGCTTAGAAGGAAAATAATCCTTTTTTTCCAAGGAAGATAAGCCGTGAGCTAACAACATCTTCCAATCCTCCTCTTTTTGCTGAAGAAGACTGCCACTGAGCTAACATCCGTGCCCATCTTCCTCTACTTTATATGTGGGACGCCTACCACAGCATGGCTTGCCACATGGCGCCATGTCCTCACCCGGGATCCGAACCCATGAACCCCCGGCCGCCAAAGCAGAACGTGCGCACTTAACCGCTGCACCACCGGGACGGCCCCAAAAGAATCATTTTTAATGTAATGCTTTATACTTGATTTTTAGTGATAAATTGAAAATACCTTACTGGATTCATTTAATAAAAATAAATATACTTTTAAAACATAGGCGGATTATTGTAGTGGGAAGAGAAAAGTAATTATATAGAAAAAGGACATTGAGGGCAGATTGATCATTAATAATTTAAGGAGTTGAAACCTTGATCATTAATAGTTTAAGGAGTTGAAACCTTGTTATTTTAAATGATGGCAAGATATACTACTTCCTCAACTATGTTTCTCCTTGCCAAATTCTGTACTTCTGCTTACGTGGACAAAGTCTTTACTATGTCTATAAGGTTTAACTTTTGCCTTTTCCACTTTCCAAGATTGTTCTATCATCTGACTAACACACATCTCACTCTAAACCTTTTCTTATCTTACTTCTTAGGTTTCAGGCCTGGTGACAGGCTTTGAGAAAGATAAGATGAGTCTTGCTGCTAGGAAGGAGGGTGCAGGTGCAGCATTTACAAATATCGTGTGTGACATGGCAGGCGTTGGAGGGGCATAGGAATAAGACCGATAGCCCGTTGTCACATTTGCATTAGATCATTGACTATAGGATAGAGAATGGATTTAAAGGCAGCAATACTAGAGACAAGGAGACTAGTTAGTAGACTGCAGTAGTCCTGGCCAGATAAGTGACCTAGGATTTGGTGGTGATAGGAGAGCTAACGTTTATAGAGCACTTGCTGTGTGCCAGGCACTTTTCTAAGTGTTCTGTGGTACTAGGTCATTTAATTGTCAGAACACAACTCTAAGGTACACCCTGTTCCTATTTTGTAGATTAGCAAAACAAAACAGCAATTTTCCCAAGGTAAATTAGGAAATGGCTGAGCCAAAATTTGAACCTTACTACTCTGGCTTCAGGGCTTACAGTCTTAACCATAAATTTACAAAATATTTAGAATGTAAAATCGACAGGTAATTACTTGGTAATTACTGGAATGTGGCGAGTGAAACAGGCTATTGGCAACTTTGAGCTGAGAGAGAGAGAAAGATCATGATTATTCCACATATTCAAAAGTTTAAAATCCCAGCGAGCAATCGAGTCCTCTCTTTTGGAAACTCAAGTCTCTTTGAAAGTGGAGTTGTAAGAAATATTTTAAGAGTAAATTTTAATAATGCTAGCTCATTGTTTTCCACATGGCTATGATCTTCTTTTTTTCCCTGAGTTTATCAGTAAAAATATTTCTGAATGGCTCGTACATAGATTTTTTAGTTAGCAGTAGTCTCAGTGTAGTTGAGGAAAATTTGTTGTTCTTTCTTTGTATAGGATGCTTGTCAACTTAGATATTTTTTCAGGAAGTGACAAGGGGCAATATAAAGTAGTTATATAATACAGTTTGAAAAGCACTGGTTTGAAATAGCTTCCAAACTCAGACAATATTTTTAAGAGTGAATGTTTGAAGTCCCAAGTTAGTAAAACAGGTTGTTTAAAACTGGATAACTTTTCTTTTGTTTTTGAGAGTATTTTAAAAAGTTTTTGTATATGTTTTAGACAGATTGTAGATTTTATGACACATACTTAAGATTTTCTCAATCTTATAATAAACTTTTGCTAGTGATAAAGCAAACTTTAGATTAGTGGTCCGAATTTAGAAAATATTCCTCCTTTTAGTTAGTTATCAGAATTATAGTTGTTTAGAAAATTCAAATTATTTGGGGGACAAAAATTAATAGCTAAAACCTAGAAAAATGAATATAATTATTACTTTAAAATATTTAGTTTTAACAAAATGTGTCAGGTGATGTGTAAGGAAATATTTATAGAATATACATATCAATCTGAATGTCCAAGGTGGGGTTTTTTTCTAGTTTTAAGTAAAAACCTTTTATTCGGTGGATGTTTGTGGCATGCCTACCATGTGTTGAGCACAGTGTCGGGGATCGGGAACACCACTGGTCAGCCAGGCAGACACTCTGTGTACATCCCCAGTCTAGACTATTTGTTACATGATTTTGCAGTGTTTGTGTGTGTGTATTAGTTAAATGGAGATAAGCTTCCTTGGAACTTGAATTCTACTGATGATCTCAGCAATTGTTTTTACTCCATCTGAGAGGTACTCATGAGAGATGTGCAAAACTAAGCCTAAAGTAGTTAAGCAGTTTTTGGTTTTCAGCATTTTAATAAGGTTTTCAGGAAGTAGATACATAGAATTCAAGAAGGCATAAATGTAGCATATATGATATGTGAGCTTTTCTTTCTATAAAATATAACATGTAAATGTAATATATAATTTTCTCTCTTTATATAATGTAACTGGATATTCATTACTACCCATTCTTTACTATCTGTACAAAGAAGTCAGATATGTAATCTTCTTAATTGTGAAATTTCACTCTTTATTATATATAAAATGTAACTGGATATTCATTGCATTATTATAACGTAACATGTAAATGTAATATATAATTTTCTCTCTGTCATGTAACTGGTCTCCAGATACATCATATATATATAAAGAGTGAAATTTCACAATTAAGGAGTAGATTACATATCTTACTTTTTTCCTAAATAGTGAAGACTCCAGTTTGATCCAACGTGGATTATATTCCAGCTACCATCCTAACATCCCAAATTACTTTGTCTTGATGTCTGTTCTGAATTTGCACGTCACTCCCTCTGTGATGAAGCTCTTCTTCCTGGTTCTGGTACTGAACCCCCACCCAGTTTGAGGTTGTATACTCCCTTGAACCTGAACTGTCTAATTTCTATTTCATTAGGGGAAATTTATCTTCTTCAAAAGGTTGTTTTGGGCTAGAACAGTACTTTCAGGTATTTGAGAATGTAACTTTTTATGCTGTCCATTAACTAGATAGACTGTCATTGTGTTAAAAACCTTCATTTGATCCTGGTTAACACTTTATCTCCTTGTTCCTTTGAAAATTAGATTGAATAACTATCCATTTCCTTTTTTTCTTTCACAGATTTACAGATTCTCGAGGGCAGAGTTATTCTCTCCCAGAGCTATTTAAAAATAGAACTAAATTTAACACTTCAGGTAGTCAGTGTTTCTTAGTGACAAGTGTGTGATTGCCTAAAATCTCAACGGGATTAAGTTTTATAAAGGCATATTATGTTGAGTTGTTTACTTCTTTACTTTCTGAGATATAGACTATTACAGTCCTTTTAGGCATCTTTACCAGTTCTACATGTATTTCAGAAGCAAGATAAAATGCTAAAAAGATGGCAAGATATCAAGCTATGGCCATGCTCTAGAAAAGTAACAGTAGTAAAATAAGTTAATTGTGATGTCAACCCAAGCATGCTGATGTTACCCCTAAAAGAGGCACCAGTGAGGTATTGATGGAGATCTCAGTTCATGCCTACAATTAAAAAGAATATATTAAAAGATTTGTGATATTATCTAAGAAGAGTTTTGACCCATAGAAGAAAAACATAAAATAGTGTGAAATATAATTTGTATAAAATAAATTTTAATCTATCCTAAAATATCTTTTTATAATTATAAATAATTCTATAGGTTATTGGGAGGAGCATGGTATTTTAAAGGGAAGATATTTTTTTCTTGACGTCTCTGAAATATTTATTAATTGGGACCCTCACATCTCAGCTGTCTATCTTTCAAATGACTAAATTGTATCCAGTTTCATTATGGCATGGACTGTTGCCATAAATTTTTAAGCCAGACTCTTTGTTTTGCCTTTTATATAAGTGTCGTAGATCCTCAGTTTTGACTTTGTAGGGTGAATAAAACAATTCAAATTCAGTCATGCGTCTCCTATAAGATGTGGTTAGCAGTTTTTAAGGTTCAGAAGTTCCATTATGGAGATTAAATGCTGTGATATTTCTGAATTTTCAGTTGTAACGAGTTAGTCTGAATCATAATTACTACTTGAATGTTCTCTGGCTCAGCTCTGGCCTAAGTATAATAAGGATTTGAAGATAAATTTAATTTTTCTTTAATATTAAATAAATTGATTAATCTTAATTTTTTTTAATTAAGCCCTAAATTTAATAGCCAAAAAATTCATCCTTTGGCTTCTTGCTTACAGTTGTAGATAATTATTGTTAATCCAATTCCTAGTTTGTGATCCAGTGCTCCCTACTGTATGCTTGCCTTGCTTTCACCTAGAATCTAGGGCCATTACTTTCTGTAACTCATTTCAGTGAGCTGCCATAGTTTTCAGTCTGTACTGTCACCTGATCCAAGCATGCGCCCGAATATCCACTGTTTCTGGCTCTTGTCTGCTGAATCTGCTTTGCAAAACCCTTTGTTCTTTGAGCTTTTGCTTTAGCCAAAAACCAAATTTAAGAAATTCTTCAGAGTGTGGACATATGCCATTTGCTTCCCTAGCTGCCATGTTATGTAACTCTTTAGCTTTTATTAATCTTGTAAATACTTTATTACTATAACGATGGCATCCCCATGTGCGGTGTGTGGCTCACGTGTCAAAGGCTGCTTGTGAACTTGTCAGAAGAATATGAATGCTCCACTTGCGCTGCATTCAGCTTTTTTTTTTTTTAATCAGCCACTTATTCTTTCATAGTGTTTGGTTTAATTATCTGATTATTTTATGTGTTATACCAAGGTAAGTTTGATGTAAGTAAACTTTGTATTGTATGTGGTTACATGTATCTCATAGTAATTATTATTACATACTTTTCCATTTAGAACATGCTGGCCATTTCTAAATAAGTATATCTTGAACTTAAAATAACTAGCTTCCTCCATTTTTTTGCTAACTTAAAAAATAATGTTATGGATTACTTCCTGTAAAATTCGTTTTAAAACAGAAAAGCTACCATGTATTACTTGTGGCACAGATGTAGGCAGACCTAACGTGAGAAAAATCTACTTTTATATAAACATAGTATACAGTTATTTGCTTTAGCAAATACTATTTTAAACTTCCAGAACAGTGTAAAAAGTAAATAGCAGGTTTTACTAGTGAATTTAAGAAAAGTTAGACTGCTTATTTTACAGTTTTTCAGGATAGTAATTATTTTCTAAACTGAGATATGTTTCTATTATTTTTTTATGTCTCTTTTCAAAGGATCATAAATAATTTCATAGATTTAGCAACTACTTAAATGAAAGTTTGCTTTATGATATAAAAATTCCCTATTAGGAAAGGATGATGTTAAATAGATGTCCGAATTGGTCTGGAAACATGTATGTCCTAAAAGAAACAGAGAGCATGGATTTGCAAGTGTATTTGTGCTGTTAATGTCTATATTTCAGTTAGGAATATGAAGAAATGCTTTAACTTGAGCGAGTATGTGCAAAATAGGGCCACTTAATTGCCTCACACATTTCTTAATTCATAATATTGATTGCTAACACCGTATTGTAGTCTTTTCTATTTCTCTCTCTTCATTTTATCTCATACTTTGATCTTTTCCTCAGTTTCCTGGAGTCTGCATTTCTTTCTTTTCTTCTGAAAGAAAGTTTTAGGGTAGCTCTGTCTTGGATCCAAAACTTTAATTCAAGAACTGGCTGGCGTCATTTGTAGTTCTGGCTTTTATCTGCTCAATTCTCCCTTTTGCTGATCTCCTCCTTGTGGGGGAAACAAAATCACATCATAGGAATGTGAGCTATCACAAGCCTTGTAACTTTTCTTTACTTTGCTGTCTGCAGTATTTTCCTAGTGAGTATAATTCTACTTATTCTACTTATTTTGGAAAACATATTTGTAAGTGGATATATACTGAAATTCAAAAAAGGAAGTTTTTGGATTGATTTTCAGTTTTAATAGTGCCTTTTATGTGGAAAATTTACAATAAGAACTTAGCATCCTGTATAGAGTCGAGTAAGTTTTTTTAATCTCAGATTCTTCCCAGACGGAATTGGCCACAAAAAAACCAAATTATGATATGCTGATTATAGACTGCTTCTGTTTTTAGCATCTTTGCACATAAAAAGTTACTATAATTTGCAGCTGCTGTTCACCAGTAATTTGCAGCCAAATGCGAGTGATTAGGAAGTATATGTGACAGATGCTCCATTTATAATGCTCCATTACAAGCAATATTGGACTCCTCTATGACAATCTAATACAATTCTGTGATGCTAAGGCATTTTCTTCATTACAGAGCCATACATAGAGTTATAGTCTTCTATCTGAAATTTGTCCTTACATACATTAACCAAAATATTTGTATTAATCTTTTAAATGTATTTGCTTTCTTTATTTTGAATTGGTTAGTCCCTTTATTTCTTGTCACTTTGCTTTAGGACCCACATTTCTTTAGAAGGTTGGGTCCTATAGATGGCTTCTCTTCTTTAACATCGACAAATCTTTGCCTTGGAAAGAACCCAGAATATAGTGGGTTATAAAAAATAGGTACCAGGAAATGAAATCAGAATTTAAATTAAATTATGAATATGACTCATAAAGTCTTCACTCAGTGAGGTGAGACATAAGATATCCTCTCACTTTAAGCTTAAAATCTGGAAACTCTGGGTCTCCATTTTAAGTTGTATTTACTAAAATACATCCCTGTTGGTGTCCCTTAAAGTAATAAAGCAAATAGAACTAGGTGATTTATTTTCTGGCAATCAAGTTTAAAACGTTAAACATTTTGAGAAGTAGCATTACATTAAGATGTTGAAATTTTTGAGAAGGAGCATTTTAAAGTTGTGAAGTTTTAAAATCTGCTGTAGAACAGTATTTCTTTGTCTTCCGGAGTATATTTATTTTAAGCATTTCTTGTTCATCCAGACAATGTGCTGTTGAGTAGTGAACTGATTTAAAATTTATTTTTCAGATGAACCAGAAACTCGAGATGCGTGGTGGGCAGAAATCAGACAAGAAATAAAGTCACATGCTAAAGCTTTAGGCTGTCATGCTGTAGTGGGCTACAGTGAATCAACTAGCATCTGGTAAATGATAATAACAACTTGATTTTCTAGATGGTGTAATTTACAGATTGTCAACTGAAAGAGGAAAAGCTTTGTGCAAATATAGAGAAAAGAAGAATAGTAGAGTGATCCAGGAGCATGGATTTTAAAGTACATCAGACTGAGGTTCATACGCCATTTTTGCCACTTAATTGCTGTGAAACTTTGGGAAAGTTGGTCTACTTCTCTGAGCCTCAATGTATACATTGAAATGGAGATAATAGCCACCTGTCAATTAAGGTTATTGAGGGATTAAGTGAGAATATAATACTGACTCTTCTGACTTCTTCCTTTCAGATCTTTAAAACCCTTGATCTACTGTAAATGAATTGCCATGTGTCTTTAAAGTTTGTCTGTAAACTCTTTTTGCCTTCCTTTACTAATTGTGACTTAACTTTCTCCTGCCAACAAGTCATCCTTCCTAACTTTGTGAAATTAGGAAGAGACCTCATACTCTTAGTTCTCGACTCCTGTTTTTCCTACCTTTCATTTGAACAACCTCTCTGCCTTTAAAGTCCATGCATTCCACAGTTCAGACTTTTCTACCTCCAAAACATTCTCCTGCCTTCCTTAATTACTTCTCTGCCATCTCCTCCAGTTACACGATTCTCTTCTGACATCCTGGCATTGTGCTTTCTCATTCTCAAGTCCTCTGTCCTCACTTGACTTTCAACCATATTTTGTACTTCGTTATTTCTTGAAATAACTGTTCCTCTTTAAAAATTTGGAACTATGAAATTTCACTCTCGGATCACAACTTAGTATTTTTTCACCCATCCTATTTGCTTATTTACAGTTGGTTTGTTTTGGCCCTTAACTTAACCAAGAGGTTTCCCAGTTCCTTACTTGGGTTCTGACTTGATTTGCTCTCTGCCATCCTTGAACCCTACTTTCAGCCTCTTCAAAAGTTTATAACAGATGTCATCTAGAAACAGTAAGAAGATAATTCTTACTGCCAGCTATTACATGGATAATTCTCTTGCACTTGTGTTGATCATTATTGTTAGAGAAAAATGATTTGACTGTAGTAAATGTGGACATTACAGAGCCAAGCTATTTCATCTTCTGAGGGCCCTTTGTTTCCTTTGCAGACCATGTATTATACTCTTGAACTGTTCTGTTCCCATTGTAGCTGTTCTACTCTTGTTAAACTACTACCTTTGTTATGCTTATCCTCAGTACATAGTCTGGTCACATTCATGGATTTAATGTCATACACTTTCAGGTCCTAGAGATATGGGCCATCAGATTCACATTCTACTGGAAAATTATGACAAGTGTAATACATTATATGATAGAGATATCCCAAGATGTTTTGGGATCCCAGAGGGTTGGAGGTTAGAAGTAAGGTTGGAAGAAAGGATTAATGAAGTAACTGAAGCTTGAACTGAGTCTCGGGGATGAGTCGGGATGTATAAAGGAAGAGGCATAGGGAGAGTGTCAAGGCTAAAAGAATAGCACCTGGAGCAGCCAGAGCTGTAGGTTCAGTGTTGCTGGAGATGAGTCACAGATGCAGGAGTCCACAGAGATGAATCCAATTAATTTCACTTAGAAGTGTCAATTAATCTGACACAAACTCCTTTTTTTCCTCTAGACTTCAAAAAATCTTTGTCTTTAAATCCAGTCTTCACTATTTTTTTCTGTTCTAACCCATCCTACATACTATTACTGGATTAAACTTCTTAAAATTCACTTCTGCTCTTACAGCTCCTCGATTCCACGCCTTCAGTGGCTCCCTGCTATTCCTCCTCATGTTCTCAGTGCCCACTTAAACGTTTTCAGCCTGGCCTCTCTCTATTCAGTTACAGATCAAGTGTCCATTTCCTTCATGCCCTCTTAGGCTTCTGGTCCATTTGCACTTTGTTTCCAGCATTTCATCCCTAGGCCCCTACTTTTCTCATTTGCTTTGGGTGATCTCATTCAATAATTGTGTTGATTGTTTAATTTTTTGGCTTTCGGATTGGGTGATATATCATAAAGAGTTTCAAAGAATTCTTTTCAAAATCAGTTTTTATCATATGTATAATAACGTAAACTCCATTTAGTATATTTTGGATATTATTTGTTTCAGATACCTTTTCATTATTGTTTAAATTCAGCTATAGCAATATAGATAAGTGCATAGTTGTGCTTTTAGAATAATTTTAATAAAATTTAATATGAGTATCAAATGGGTTATTGCTGGATTCAACAATGTTGTTTGTAACTAGTTTTATTTGGAAACATTCCAGTCTTTATCAGCTTTACCAATTTTAAAGGAATCTATTGTCATTAATATTATACTTTATCTTTTACAATTTTTAAGTACTAAAGAATTCTTACCCTCCCCATTTTAATAACGTTACATTACTTCTATTTTCTAGGTTTAGGAGGTAAGCCTGTGATATTATTAATATTTAGTACAGTCTAACTTGAAGTTAAATTGTCACCCTTGTAACACTTTGATATTTAACATTTGCCACAGTTGGATTGCCTGAAATTGTTAACGTGTTTACGTTTTTTCTCTTGTAGTGAAGAGGTCTGTATTTTGTCTGCGTCCGGCACGGCGGCGGTCCTGAACCCTAGATTCCTGCAGGACGGCACCGTGGAGGGCTGTTTGGAACAGAGGTTGTCATGGCAGCCTGGCTTGTTGTCCATAAGAGCAGAGAAGGGAGAGGGTGACTGTTTTTCTCCAGAGCTGGGCTAGTTCTTCTCTCGGAGGGTGGGTTCCAGTGGTGCAGGGTAGAAATCAGGACCAGGCGCTTTGCTGGTTTTCACCTAACCCACAGCAACAGAGACGGATTGGGTTCTGCACCGTATGACACACAGTTTGACTTCTGGTATCTTGATAAGTGACATGTATGACTACCAATTGAAGAATTTGAAGTATGCATCTTTTGTTTGTTACACTATAGAAATAATTTCTTTTATTTGCTTTTTCTCTTACTTTCCTTTCCCTTTGTCTTACCTCCAAAACAGAAAAAGCCCATGAAACAATTTTTATAGAGAAAATTCTTAATTTGCAAAACAATCAAAACACTATTTTGTACCGAAATGACATATAAAAAGCTTCATGGAAAGTGAAGTGTGACTTTAATGTTTGGAAAGAGAGCGAGAAAGTGAAAGCATTAGATAAAATGAGATTACTTTTTGATTTGATTATTGGTCCCTTTAATCTGTTAGCTTCTATAAATGTCAAAAATGCTTTCCATAAACAGGTGAAATTATCAAATATAGAGACAGAAAACCATTAGTTTGGTACAAGACTCCACCCAGATAATATAAATTTTAATTACTCCTTATCCCACAGTATGCATGTTTGCTTTTTTTCCCAGTATTACTATATTAATATACATTAAGGAAGAAAGCAAAAAAAATTCTCTATGTGATCAAATTTAGTATAAGTTTGCAAGTCTCTATATAAAAAAGATCTTTTAGGTCTGGTAGGCACATAGAAGACATTGGTCAGTTTCTTCTTTTGTCAGTATTAAAAAGTGGATTTTGATCATAATATATTCCAGAACATTAAAAGTCATCATGAATAGGAAAGCGAAGGTGGGACGTTTTCAAGAATATTAAACAATTGGAATGTTCTCTTGAGAAAACTGACTTTGCCAGTGAGTTACCCCGGTGCCACAATGTAGTTCTCAGCCATATCAGTAGATTTCATTCTTGAGTAGATAGAAATGACCTTTCCCAGGCAGCTATTTCGGTATTGTGCTTGAATGGGTACAGTGAACTCTCTTCCATGGCAGTCTGATGCCGCAGATACCATCCCTATTTGTAAAAGAGGAAAATGTCCTTTTTTTTCCTGCTGTAAAATGATTAGGGCTTACTAGAGAAAATTTGAAAAATACAGGAGAGTAGAAGGAAGAGAGAATTCCCTATGATCTCACTCTTCAGAGGCAATCCCTTTTGTACATTTCACATTTCGAATGCTTTCATACATTTTGATACTTTTATTTTTTAAGCCTTATGATGTCGCACCACTTACGTTCAAATTTCCATGAGGTGTTTAGTTAAAAATTGCCCCAGTTTTCATCCTTTTGTGCTCCCTTGTAACACATGGGCTTTGGATTCAAACAAACTGGCATTAAGATCTGAGGTGTGCTACTTAGTACTTAATGTGACTGAGCAAGTTACTTCGTGTCTCTGGTTGGTTTCAGGTCACGTGGACCTGGTGTTTGTTGTTGTCTGCTGGCATTAGATTGGGAGGGGGGTGTGTGTTAAGCCATAGTTTTCTTACTTAACCTCACAAAAAAACCCTATAAAATTGTGATTCCAGTTTTGTAGAAGAGGCTCTGAGAGGTTAAATAACTTACTCAGGGTCACACAGCTCTACTCAGATCTGTCTGATTTCCCTGTTACTTCTAATATATCAGAATGCCATCTCAACAATAAAAGAGTAATATTTGGGAGTAATTTAATTTGATTTAGAAGGTTATTGTGAAAATTCAGTGAAATAATGTATATAAAGACTCTGCAGAAAGCCTGACTCCTAGTAGGTATGGGGTGAGTTTCCTTTCTCCTCTTTAATTTGTCTGCTTGCCATGTTTCAGCTTCTAAAGGATTGCTTTAGGTTAGAGAGAACTGAGAACCCACATCTTCCAGAACCCTAGGACTTGTGATTGTGTGAAAATCTGGAGTTCTCCATGGAGCTTCCTTCTATTTGCATTCTTATTCTCCCGATTTCCTCAGATTTAATGAGTGAAAAAAGGCTTAATCATTCTAAAAGGAATTCATGAACAGCATGTTAACAACAAACATTTTACAATGAAGGGGAAGGTTGTGGGTTGTTCATTTGTGGTTTAATTATGATATGTGTGTCGTTTATGAAACAGGTGTTTTGGTTTCTAAGAAATATTAAAACAGTCATTGGAAATTAGAAATTTTAGAGTATATCTGTATTTGACTTACTTTTTTGTATTCTTAAAGGATTTATTTTTTAATGATAAATTTTTTTCAAATTGTTAGGTTGTGTAGTTGAAAAATTTTTTTTCATGGGCATTTTTTTGTGATTATATTTGTGGTATATTGGTCAGACAGTAGGAAAATGTCACCCTTATTGTCTAACCATTTCTTTTTGTGCTATATCCCAAAGAAAAAAACCGGGATAATAGTAGTTTTTATCAGGTGCTAAGTCATCAAACATATGAATTGATGCAAGATGACTTTCTCCTTGTATAAGCCTTTTCTCTCATAGGAAAGCGTATGGTTCTGATTTTATGGTCGTTGGTAATTCTTTTTTTTTTTTTTTTCAAGTATGCTTTTTTTGGTAAGGAAGATTGGCCCTGAACTAACATCTGTTGCCAATCTTTCTCTCTCTCTTTTTTTTTTCCCCAAAGCCCAGTACATAGTTGTATATTCTAGTTGTAGGTCATTCTAGTTCTTTTATGTGGGATGCTGCCACAGCATGGCTTGATGAGTGGTGTGTAGGTCTGTGCCCAAGATCCAAACTGGTGAACCCCAGGCTGCCAAAGCAGAGTGTGAGAACTTAACCACTCGGCCATGGAGCCAGACCCTGATGGTCATTGGTAATTTTTATCAGTCACAATAGTACTCTTAGAACCTGCTGTGGTAGAAGTTGTGTCAATTGTATACAAGTACTGTATATGCAATCTCTGTTTTTGAAGAAATGCATAGAATTTTCAAGAATGCTGTATTTTTTTTCTTCATGTATTCATATAGGCTAGAAGAAAATTTGCCTGCAGGCTGTGGATTTTGCCATATCCCATATGATGAACTGAACATGCCATTTCCAGCTCATCTCACATATTGCTATAACTGCAGGAAACAAAAAGTTCCTGATGTTCTCTTTACAACTATAGACCTTCCGACAGATGCAACAGTTATTGGAAAAGGTTGTCTTATTCAAGCAAGGTATGTTTGTGGAAGCAACATCTGGGGTCCCTGGAAGAGGATGGGTAATGGAGTCAAGCAGACGTATTTTCAAATATCTGCTCCACAGTTTCCTACCTGTGACCCTGGGCAGGTTGGACAGTTCCAGCTGAACCTTGCATTTTACTGTACAGAAAATTGGGAGGAAAAATATCCTCTTTATAAAACTCAAGTTTATAACAAATTTATAACAAAGGCAGTTTTAAACATTTAAATTCTGTACAAATGTTTATTATTATGAGGATCATTAATTAACCTGTTGCAGGCTAGAATGTGACTCAGTATGCTTTAATGACATTGAATACGCAAGACGTTTTGGAAATTGACTTTTTTTCTTTTAAAGAACAATGCTATGTAGTGTTTCTTTTACTACTTCATTTAGCTGTTGAGTTCCTTTTAAAATGTACTAAAGTAGGAAACGCTAAATTGTGGTAGGCATACAGGAAACAGCTATAGCTGTCTAGGTCACTAACCACTGCCAGGTTACCAAGTCCATTGAGTATTTCTGTCCTCATCTTACTTGGCATCTCAGCAGTAGTCACATAGTTGATGGTTTTCTCCTTCCTGAACTTCCTTTGACTTCAAATTCTACACTTTCTGCTTTTTCCTGCCTTTATGTATAATCTTCAGTCTCCCTGTTGATTCCTCCTCATTTCTTGATCCTTGAGCACCATGGATCTGGACGTCTTCTCAAAGCTCTTTCCCTAGTTGAACTCATCAATTCCTATAGGTCTGTCTGCTATCTATATGTCTGTGAGTCCCAAATTTATAACTCCAGTCTAGAACTTTCTTCTGAGCTTCAGACCCATATACTTACCTGTCTATTTCATATCCCATTTTGATGTGTCATAGGCATGTCATACTTGTTCCAAATCTAATTGCTGATTTTCCCCACTTCTTTCATATTAGCCTTCTCTATTTTAATAAATAGTACCTTGCTTTATCCAGTTCGTCATTCCAAATATGGTATTCTTTGATACTGTCCTCTTTCCTAACCTCCCCACATCAAATCTATTACAAAGTCGTACTGAATTTTATTCAAAAATATATTTCTAATCCATTTATTTTGCTTTCATTCCCTCTTGCATCTTAGACCTTCCATTTGGGGTGGTTTTCCTTTTGCCTGAGGTATATTCTTTAGTATTTCTTTTGGTGGATCTGCTGGTGGTGAACTATTTTTGCTTGTCTGAAAATGTATTTGTTTTATCTTTAAAAGATATTTTGGGCTGGCAGTTATTTTCTTTCAGCATGTTGAAGATATGCTTCCACTGCCTTTTGCCTTTCTTTGCTACTGTTGAAAAGTAACCTATTAGACTAACTGATGTTCCTTTGAAGATAGCTTATTTTTTTCCTTAGGCTGTGTGTGAGCTATTCTATTTGTCTTTGGTTTCCTGCAGTTTCATTATGAAGTGTTAGGTATGGAGTTCTCTTTATCCTAATTGTTATATATTTGAATATATATAACAATTAAATATTCTTTGAATATATAATTGAAGGTTTCTTAAATCTGTAAATTGGTATTTTTCATGTGTTTTAGGAAATTTTTATATATTAGTTTTCCTGTGTTTCATGTCCTCTCTTCTTGATACTCCGATTTAAAATATGTTAGACTTTCTCACTGCCTCCCCTATGTCTGTTACTCTCTTTTCTGTATTTTCTGTCTTTTTGTTTCTCTGTGCTGTATTTTGGATACTTTATATCTATATTTCAAATCTTTAATTCTCTCTTCAGCTGTTTCTAATAAGCTATTAAGCCTAATAATTGGGGTTTTTAATTTTTGGCAATCTGTTTTTTATTTCTAGAAGTTTTATTTTGTTCTTTTTCAAATCTAATATCATGTGACTGATTCTGTAACTGATGATTTTAATATCTGAAATCTCTTTGTTTTCTGTTGTTTCTGCTGGTTTTTGTTTGTCATTTTGTTTCCTTTGACTCTGATAGGCTCACAGGAAGTTGCAAAAATGGTACAAAGAGTCCTATGTACCCTTCACCCAGCTTTCCCCATTGGTGACATCTCATACAGCTGTAGTTGAGTATCAACTAGAAATTGACATTGGTATAATTCTGTTAACTATACTACAGACTTTATTCAGTTTTTACAATTTTTTAAATTTGCATTCATTTATATATTTGCGTGTACATGTATAGTACTATGCAGTTTTATCCCACAAATAGATTTGTGTAACCACCACTACAGTCAAGACACAGAACTGTTCCCCACCACAGAAGAACTTCCTCATACTCCCTCCTTATGTTTATACCCCTTTGCCCTTGTCTGTGATGCTTTTGGGAAGATTTTTAAAAATATATAATTAATTTAATTTATTTCTGTTTTAGGGAGGATGAGGTTAGCTCCATCAGCGGTTCTCAGAGTGTGGTCCCTAGACCAATAGCATCACCATCCTCATGGGAATTTATAGAAATGCAAATTCTCCTGCCTCACCTCAGACCTATTGAATCAAAAATTCAGGGGATGGTGCCCAGTAATTGTTTTTTAACAAGCCCTCTGGGTGATTCTGATGTAAGCTAAAGTTTGAGAACTACTACTAGCTCTCATTGTCTCTGATCTAAATAGCCTCTTGTCTACCATCCCCACACCATATTTGTCATTTTATTTCATTCTCTTTGTAGCAATATAAATGATGTCCTAAGATATATATTGGATCATGTTACTACTTGAAACCTATCTGGGGTTTCCCATTGCTGGTAGATTAAGATCAAACTGCTTACCATGACCCATATGACCCTATCATGGTCGTGCCCCTTAGCTGCACTCTCACCCTTGTTCTCTTCACTTTAGCTACGTCTCCTTTTGGTTCTTCTAATGTGTGAGCTGCATTCTGTAATTGTCTTTCTCCAACTCTCCCAGTTCCATCATGTCATTAAGACCCCAGCTCACCTGTGAGGCCTTCTCGCTAGTTTATCCCTCACTTTTCCTGGTTTATTTTCTTCAGACACCTGATTCTTAAACACACTCTGAGCTTACTTCATGTCTTTGTTCATTCCCACCCCACTCTCCTCCACTGGAATGTAACCATGAGAACAGGCACTTGGTGTTTTGTTCATTGCTTAGTACCCACCACCCACACCATGCCTGGCATGTGGTAGATGCTCAAGTAAGTTTCTATTCTTTTAATGAGTAAATTAACTTTTTTTTCCTGCTATCCATCCATTATATGATCACATGGAGTTATGAAACCTAAGATTTTAAATTATATTCTCTAGTAATTTTGATCAGTATTTATTTCATTTCTAGAGATTTTGAGATTTTTTTCCTTTTTGTTTATTGAAATAGAACTTTTAGCAAAAGTATAGACAGTAAAAAAATGGAAGATTGTTGATATAACTTAATAAGCCCATTTGAAATAACGAAATGTTTTATCAAGCACACTTTTGGAAAGCTTTATAAATTGGACATTTCTTAAGATGGTACCAAGAACACCATTCACTGTCTAAATTATTTTCCTTAACAGATTGTGTCGCTTAAAAAAGAAAGCACAGGCAGAAGCAAATGCCACAGCTATCAGTAATCTGTTGCCATTTATGGAATATGAAGTGCATACTCAGCTAATGAATAAACTAAAACTCAAAGGAATGAACGCTTTATTTGGACTGAGAATTCAGATCACAGTGGGTGAAAATATGTTGATGGGCTTAGCGGTAAGTTTAGATGTTTCGGTTTTGTTTTGCAATTCCTGTAGTTGTAGTAGATTCGATTTCATTTAATTCACAGTGTTTTCAAAAGACTTACCTAAAGAAACTGGCATCAAGACCTTTAAGGATTGGAGACATTTTAGGAAGTAAAAAATCTGATGATAGGCTTTCAGATATTTTATTTTTATATTTATTATAAAAGTATTATCAATTATATTATTTTAAATTAATTATTATATGAAATTATTTATTTACATTTATATTATTATTATATTTTTATATTCTGACCGTAACCTCAATAGTCAGATTTCTAAAAATTATCATGTATGGTTTGTTTAGTAAGTTGACCTCCATTGTTCTGGACTTGATTATTGTTTATACATTGCTAAGACAGGGTTTCTCCTTGGCACTGTTGACATTTAGGGCTGGGTAACTCTTTGTTGTAGGGGCTGCCTTGTTCATTGTAGGATGTTTAGCAGCATCCTTGGCCTCTGTCCGCTGGGTGCTAATAGCTTCCCTCCAGTGTGACAACCAAAAATGTCTGCAGACATTACCAGATGTCCTGAGGGGGCAAAATCACTCCTGAGGGGGTGGACCACTGTGCTAAAACAATCTTTAGTTTTAATGGAGAAAATAAAGCAATACATGTGAGACACTGTCTACTGTTGGACAGAGAGTTAAGTTTCATCATAACGGGCACCTGTGGTCCGTAATGGAATGTGCAATATGATACCATGTTTCTTAAGTGCTGATAAATTGTGAGGCAGTGAAAAGCTCTTTATCTCAGCTTCATGTTCACCTTAGCTTGTTAGAAAATAAGTTCTGACTTAAGAAAGTTGTCAATGGGGAAAGTGAGATTTGCCTTTATAAGTAGCCTGAAACCTGGGGAACTAGATGCCTGCAAAATAGATATCGATCAGATGAAATCTGATCAATAATATTTATGGAAATCTTCTCATATTCTAGACACTTTGCTAGCCAACATTTTTGTCTATGTCACTCGCACTTTTCCACTTGAAATTCTCTGCCATCTTTCTGAGACATGTGTAGAAATTTCATTTTAAGAAATTTATAGGGAGCTGCCCCGTGGCTGAGTGGTTAAGTTCCCGGGCTCCGCTTCCTTGGCCCAGGATTTCGCCGGTTTGGATCCTGGGCGAGGACATAGCACGGCTCATCAGGTCATGTTGAGGCGGTGTCCCACATGCCACAACTAGAAGGACCCACAACTAAAAAAAATATACAAATGTGTACTGGGGGGATTTGGGGAGAAAAAGCAAAAAAAATTTATGGAACTTGGATTCTTTTTCTCGGTATGCATTTGTAGTATGCTAATATGTAGTATTTTTCTCGGTATGCTAAATTGTTTCCTGCTTCATCTGTTTCTTTCTATAAGAGCAGATATGTAAATTTCTATATGTGTGATGATGATAAACTAATTTGGTAATCACAGTTTTTTAACAGGAGAAATTTGTGATAATTAATGAAAGTAATCTGATTTATATTAAGGTATTTGATATTTAGATTAACTTGTGGGAAAATAGTGTTCATTATAATTCATTCATCTAAAAACTTGCTTAAGTGAAGACATAATATAAATATGTAATTTGGGATGAATATAAAATGATACTTATTGGTAGGTGTCTATGGGAACTAAGAGCTTGATTCAAACTCAGAGGTTTAAAAAACACTGTGCCAACTGTATCAAACTCTTCTGAGGGTTGAGTCCCAGGAAGCTAGTTTGTGATCCTGGTATAATTCTTCCTGCCTGCCTCAAATGCCACCTTTTCTGATTCTTACTAATCTTTTCCTTCTTGATCACTAGTGACACTAATTACAGCTGTTTGAGATTTGGATCTTTGTGCTCTGTTTTAGCTTGTGCACTTAAATCTCAGAGTCCCAAGAGTAGCTTCCATGATGGTTAATCTCTGATGAGTGCCCACTGGGTATCCGGCACATGCTACTTCGGAAGGAATGTAATATCTTCACTTTACAAGAGGAGAAAATGGGTGCTGTGACAGGTTAAGACCTGTCCAGAGTGATATGGTTACATGTACTGGAACTTAATTTCAAACCCAGGCTTATCTAGTCCCAGAGTCTGTGTTCTCAGCCATTCTGGGTTGTTGCCTCTAGTGAATGCAGTTGAGAAAGTGTTGGAGATGGTGCACTAAGGCTTCATGTGGTGCAGAGGGCATTCTGAGGATGGGCATCAGAGACTGGGTCATTGGTGCAGTCAGGGACACTAAAAAACAAACCAAGAGAGAGCGTCTGAGGATCACTTTCATCTACTGTGCAGACTTCATCATAGAGTATCATACCCTTTTTAGGATGAACTTTTACAAAATTGGCAGGTGGTTAATTTAAAAATAATAATAACTCAAACAATTCAAAATACACAAATATCTAGAATTAGGAGAATCATCTTCTCTTTTCCCTGTTCCACTCCTTTGATGTTCACAATTTGATGTTTATGCTTCTATATATATTTTTTGCTTTGCTGGGATAAACATATTTATACATAAGCGCACATAAGTCTGTGTATGTGTGTGTTATCTTGTTTTGTATTTCCCCTAATAGTTTTCAAGCACTAATGGCATGCAGTACTATTACAGAGTCAGAAATTAATAGTCATTTGATTAAATATTTAAAAGAAATCTGTATCAAGTAAAGTTTTCTTCCTTGGTCATTATGGAGGTAGGGTGAGATAGTGAAAAGTTCTTGTGTTTTGGAGTGAGAAACAAGTTCACATCTCTTCTCCACCTTTACTGACAGTGTGATCTTGAGTAAGTTTCCTATCTCCTGAACTTCAGTTTATTTACTTGCTTTGCAAAAAGTTTCCCTTTTATGGGGCCGGCCCGGTGGCGCAGAGGTTAAGTTCGCACGTTCCGCTTCTCGGCGGCCCGGGGTTCGCTGGTTCGGATCCCGGGTGCGGACATGGCACTGCTTGGCAGCCATCCCACGTATAAACTAGAGGAAGATGGGCACGGATGTTAGCTCAGAGCCAGGATTCCTCAGCAAAAAGAGGAGGACTGGCAGTAGTTAGCTGAGGGCTAATCTTCCTCCAAAAAAAAAAAAAAAGTTTCCCTTTTACTTCTGCATTTTAAAGGTAAATTACTCATTCATGAAAAATTTACTTTCTAACAACTTTTTATCTTTTTTTCTAAGCTGTTTTTTCAATGTAATTTATTTTTTACAATCATGAGTAAACATTTTAAAGTGCAGTTGGCTATGCAGTGAAAAGTAAATCTACCTGGGCTTCTAGCCGGAAGCAACTAACCCCGTTCCTGGTTAATGTTTCTCTGTGCCCTTCCACATGTGACCTATGCTTACACTGATGCTAACTCTTTTTCCTATAGGGCAAAGACCACATTAATAAATATGAAAACTTCAGGACTGTTATTCTTCAGATATTTTTTCTGATTATTTCCCCATTATTTTTACAAGTCGGCTACAGGTGTCTATTTAGCAGCTTTACCAACTCCTGGTGGTATTCAGATTGCTGGGAAGACTCCTAATGATGGTTCATATGAACAGCATATATCTCATATGCAAAAGAAGATAAATGACACGATTGCTAAGAATAAAGAGTTATATGAAATCAATCCTCCGGTAAGTAAGATAAGTCTACGTTATGAATACGTAAGTTATTGTTTAGATGTTAGTGTATTTTTAGTTTATCTTATTTGGGACATAAAAGATATTTTTTTACTGTTTAGATTTGCTCTTCTCATTACTCATTCTCTCACCTCCCTCTACGTCTGTGCTCAAATGTCTCTTTTAGGGAGACTGACTCTGACCATCCTATTTAAAAGTTGTAGCTCTCCCATCAATTTTTGATACTTCCTATCCCCCTTCAGTGTTTTATTATTTTCTGTTTCTCTTATCTCTGTATGTGTGTGTACACAGAGATATGTTTTTGCTTTTCGTCTGTTGCTTGTTACACCCAGTAGAATGAAGCTCCATCAAAGCTGTATATTCCTAATGCCCAGAACAGTTCCTCTTAGTAGTAGCCTCTTGATAAATACTATGACTAAATAAATGGCTTAAAATGTTCTTTTTTAGTAAAAAGGAAGATTGCTTATCTATGGTAAAAATGTGATAGAATACAGAGTTTTTCAGTTTCAGCTGTTTTCTTACAATATTCCTACCAGTCATTTCCATAGTCAGTCTCTGCCCAAGTGTCCAGTTGGTATAACAATGCCTCTTACCCTACGGATGCCTTAGAGGTGTGGTCTGAATTGAAAGAAAGATGTGTTAGAGTGAGAAAGAAACTATTTGTTTTAGGAGTCTCTGATAATGAAGTACTTCTGAAACAGTATTTCAAAAGGAAATATTATACAAAAGGAAAGTGTTTGAATAACGTTGTTTATTTTATTTTATATATACTATTGAATTTTGGTCTTCTGGAACAGTGGATCTGAGTTCTAGCTTCAGATTTATAGCTTTCTAGCAAAGTTGTTAAGCTGGGAGGAATTTTAAGGATATAACCTAGAGCTACACTGTTCTGTGTGGTAGACACTGGCTACATGTAGCTATTGAGCACTCGATATGCGCCTGGTCTCAATTGAGATGTGCTGTAAGTAAAATACTGTATACACTGGATTTTGAAGACTTAATATGAAAAAGAATGTAAAATGCCACATGAATATTTTTTATATTGATTACATGTTGAAAATGTAATATTTTGGATATATTGAGTTAAATGAAATATTTTATTGAAATTTATTCTGTTTCTTTTTTTATTTTATTACTTATGAGGCTTGCTTTGTATTTCTATTGTGCTGATATAGAACATCTGAAAAAGTTGATGTGGGGGCCGGCCTGGTGGCACAGTGGTTAAGTGTGCACGTTCTGCTTTGGCGGCCCAGGGTTTGCCGGTTCAGATCCCAGGTGTGGACCTGTGCACTGCTTGTCAAGCCATGCTGTGGCAGGCGTCCCACATGAAATAGGGGAAGATGGGCATGGATGTTAGCTCAGGGCCAGTCTTCCTCAGCAAAAAGAGGAGGATTGGCGGCAGATGTTAGCTCAGGGCTAATCTTCCTCAAAAAAAAAAAAAGTCGATGTGTTAATATATTAATACTTAAATAGTCTTCGTAAAAGCTTTTCACACAACACAGTAGACTGTTTGCAGTACGTTGTTTGCAATACATTGTTTTTCTTGTTTAATTATGTTTTGATATTTGAACATCTACTAACAGTGTTTATGCCTGTTGGGGAGAAGAATTTGCAAAGCTATGTGTTAGGGCTCCATTTATCTGTTCTATTGATATGAGCCGAATGCTTTTGCTCAACAGTGTTTATCAGCTCTCTTCTTCCCTCCTGGCTTCCCAAAGGAAGAATTGACCCTGTTCCATTGTGTTGCTGTTGTAGCTGTATGTGCTTCTGTTTAGTACCTATTACATATTATTGTGCTTGTTTTTTACATGTCTGTCTTCCTTTACTATAGTGTGAGCCCCTTGAAGACAGAGACGTATTTAAATCAGAATGTGAGTTAAATTACTTCATCCAGTAATTTATTTGAACTTCTCCTATTTTAGTAGTACATTTCAGAGGAGGGAATAAATCTGTTATGATTTTTAAGATTTCAGCGTATATGGATTTCATGTGTTGATTATATGACTGTATTTCCGCAAAAAGGACTAATCAACTTATGAACCTGCTACTGTCTTTCCTTATTTCGATACTGACTTATTACAGTCTTTTAGCTTAACATCTCAGAATTTGTTTGACAAAGTCAGTGTACCAGGCCACTACTCAGATTACAGTTCTGTCTTTTCAATTTTCTAAAACAACATATTCTCACCTTGAAAATGTGGGTCAGAGTGTTCCTTCTCTTAGGAAGGTGCCCCAGCTGAAGTGAATGCTATTGCTTGATTATTTTTCTCAATACATTGAAAGATATTTCTTTTTTTTTTTAAAGATCGGCACCTGAGCTAACAACTGTTGCCAATCTTTTTTTTTTTTTCCTGCTTTATCTCCCCAAATACCCCCGGTACACAGTTGTATACCTTAGTTGTAGGTCCTTCAGTTGTGGCACGTGGGACGCCGCCTCAACGTGACGAGCAGTGCCATGTCCACACCCAGGATCTGAACCAGCGAAACCCTGGGCCGCCACAGCAGAGCGCGCAAACTTAACCACTCGGCCACGGGGCCGGCCCCCCAAGATGTTTCTAATGCAGTAGTGTAGTACCACTTAAATGGAGATAATTCTGTCAAGCAGAGGTATCAAAATAAGGTGCAGAACTTTTAGAATAACAGTATCAGAGATAAAACCTCGGTATGAATCTAAAATATATTAAATACCAGAAAGTTAATTTATTAGGTCCATGATACAGTCAACAGAGGCATAACTGAATTTTAAACTACTGTAAAGTTACAAAAAGAAAGGTGAAATCTAGTGGGAAGGACATTTCACTCAGAGTCAAAAGAAGTGCTCTAGACAGGTTCCTCACTTGCTAGTTTTCAAACCCAGCAAACTGCTTTCCCTCTGAACTGCAGTTCTTTCTCATTTTATAGTCATTATAGTAGGCTCCCTGTCAAATTTGTGTAGGGCAAGTTAATTTGGAGTGCAAATAAAACAAATGGATGTGAAAGGAATGCATAGATAGCTGTTATGAAACTCGTGGTAGTCTTTTGTAATGTGTGTACTAGCAGTGAACATTTAAAGCTATGTTTTTGAAAAACGTTTTCTTATAATTTCCTTGTTTTTTAAAAAGATAGCTTTGTTACGCCAACAATAGGCTATGCCTTTAGCATTTGTGCTCACATATCCACATTCTCCCGATATTCCTTGTGGCCAACAGATATTTAGAACCTCTAGTTAGCTCTACTCTTTGGCTGTGGAATAGGTGAAAGCTCACAGACCCATATAAGATTTCATCATACACTTACCTCTAAAAGATTATTATTGTAACTGCCAAAGTTTGTTTAGCTTAGTAAGTTGCACAGCAAATACATGCATAATATATGTATTATGTATACATACATACATATACATACATTTATCATGTTCTATATTTTACTATGTGGAGCTTTGAAAAGTTACCGCTGGATAAGGAAAGATATAAAAGAGTAGAATCCTATTTGGGGACATAAATCTTTAGTTCTTTATGAGCTATTAGGACTTTTAAACACTGAGTAGAAAATACTTCAGAGCTGGAAGGACTGCCGATTCCCTATTCATTTTAGTGTCTTCTCTGTACACTAGATGTCAGTATTGCCTTCTGTGTCTGTGACAGTATGAAGTTTCTGGATTAGTGTTTCAAGGCTGCTATTATCAATCAAAGGAAATTCCTATGTACTCTATAAAAAGTTAGTTAGAGTTATAAAGGTCATCATTATAGACAGTGAATATATTTTACAAACTTTTTTCCCCCACGGGTAATTGTCTATTAATATAAAAATTTAAAACCAAACTGAAGTATACAAATATCGAATCATTTTGTTGTACACCTGAAACTAATATAATGTTATATGTCACTTATACCTCAATGAAAAAAATGAAAAGATTGCAGTTTACCAAAAAGAAAAACCCCAAAAAACAAACTAAAAAAGACAGTCTTATATGGTACAGAGCAATTACATGTCTTTCAGGAGATATCTGAAGAGATTATAGGATCACCCATCCCAGAACCTAGACAACGCTCAAGACTTTTAAGATCTCAATCAGAAAGCTCTGATGAAGTTACGGAATTGGACCTTTCACATGGGAAAAAAGATGCTTTTGTTTTGGAGGTATTATTGCATTGGACTAATTTCTTAGAGTTTTTGGGAGATAAGGTGTACATTTTTACCATCAAATCCTAAATTGATGTGATACTTTTGTATCATTATAACTGCTATAAATATCAAAGAATATTTTATTATAGAAGTTACAGCAAACCTGAAAATATCGATCTTGGTAATATTTTTTTGTAATACCAGTAATTTTTTGTAATATTAGTAATACCAGATTACTGATACAATAATGGAGATGGTTCTGGAAAAAATAATGTATGGGTTGAAACAAAATTAAAATAATGTTAAACTCTTGGAGCTATTTTCGTAAGCCTGAATGAATTTAAATAAATTAAAGTATGCTTCTTTCACTTACTATAATTATTACCTGCTTTATATGTTATAACATGTTACTATAATTATAACATTTTTACATGTATTATAATAATGTAAGCACTGTGACTTCTGGGTGTAACGTTTTCTGAATTCGGAAGCTATAAATGAACTTGCATTATAAAAACACACTCAGAACTAACGTCTCTGGAGAAGAAATGTGGCATGAAAGGTTTATGGAGCCTGCCTGCTCCCTCCCAGATCGGCTCCCTTCCCCTCCCCTGTAGAATGGTGAGCTTTGAAAGAGATAGATGATCTTCCTTTGATATTGAAGGAAAAGAAAATAAATGAGGATACTCAGAAATGTTGTGGTAAGGTAGCAGTTGAGAGAAGAAATCAGATGCTTTGATCTCAGTAAAGCAGGAACTAATGGTAGAATTATATTGGGATGGGATTGGAGGTTGGAAGAGTCTAGAACGGTGCCCATGAATGTGATCAGGATGTCAGCCATGGGAGATACACAGGGCTTAACTGAGATGAGGGTGTTAATTTGTAAAAAAATCTCAAACTGTATGGATTTGTGCCTTCTCATGTTTTTCTACAGACTGAGAATGGAAGGAAGTGGAGGTTGGGGAAAGAATACGTCAGGTTCAGGAGGTAAAGAGTTCCGGGTTACTTGGCTACTTAAAGTGTGCTGTGACTACCTGTAGCCTCAGCACGGTCTGGGAGCTTGTAGGAAATGCAAATTCTGGGGCCCCTACTTCAGACCTAGTAAATGAAAATTTCAGGGTAGGGCCCAGGAATCTGTTTGACAAACTCTCCAGGTGATTTTTAGCATTACCAGAAGTTTGATCTAGAGCATTATTGGTTATTTCTGATCCTGGGATCCTGGCTAAGTAGAGAACAGAAGTGCTGCAGATGTGGGTGAAAGACTGAGGGCAAGGTGCACATTCAGTAAGAGAAGGGACTGTAGTTGAGTATACTTGACATCTGGGTGTGGAGTGTTTTGGGGAATAGTGGGTTGAGGTATGGCTGTGACTGTGGGTAGCTAAAGTGAAGTGGAAGTGGTTCTGGAACATCCAAGGGTGATATGGGGGGGATGCTTAGAGTGTGTGAGTCAGGACTTAGACCCCCAGTGTACAGATGAATGTCAATAATGTCCAGTTGGATATTTTCACTATTTATTATTCACGATGGAATATTGTGATGTAAGAAATAGAGGATTTGGACTTACCGTTTTTAGACATGCTTTTAAATTTATCCCTACTCAATTCTAGTTTAAAGCAGTTCTGTATTTAGTCAAAAGATTTTTTTTTTAAATTGTACGCCTTTAATTTAACAAATAGAGATAATGATTGCTTATGGTATCTTTGTTAAGTCTTTTGAAACATACCCTCATAACAGCTTGAGAAAAGGCTTGGTTTTTTTTTTTCCCAACTCAGTATACTTCATAATGTAAAATATTTCATTTAGAAGTGTTTATAATTATTACTGTGGAGAAATGTACAGATGTTAAAAAGATTTTTTTCAAGTTTTATACTTAGGGGAAAATGGCTCTACTTTTCCTTGACTCTTATGTTTTCTATATAGTAACTAAAAATTATTTTTAAAAACTTGAAATGATTATATATTTACTACTTATGTAGTGGTTTAATCCTTTTATTTTCAGATTGATGACACAGATGCTATGGAAGATGTACATTCTCTGCTCACTGACGTTCCTCCTCCTTCAGGTGAACAGAAGAAAATTATCTTTGAGATGAGACTAGTTTTGCATATCAGTATTTTAGTTCATAATTATTATAGTACTTACTTTATAGACTTTACTTTAAAGACTTTATCAGTGTCACATCCTGTTAGGTGCTTTGCTGCTCCAAGGCTGAGAACATACAGTTTAAAAATATTTATGTTAGAACTTAGATGAACTGATTTTTAATAAATCCTTTTCTGTTTATACATTTAAAAAAACCTGATAATTTAATAAGATGGTCTAAAGTTTCCTGAAGTTATAGAGTTTTAGGGAAAAAGAATGAATGGATCTTACAGTTAGAACTTCATGTAGTAATTGAAAAATGTTATTCTTTAACACAAAACCAAATGAAATATTATCATATATTTTAACTATAATTTATTTTGGCAGGCTTTTATAGTTGTAATACAGAAATTATGCCTGGTATAAATAATTGGACATCTGAAATACAGGTAAACATGTCATTCTTAATTTTAAGCAAATAAAACATACTTGACTTTAGCAAGTTCCTTCTTAATATGTGTTTTCTTTTTGACCTCCTTATTGCAACTGAAATGTTATCCTTTTTCATACCACATTAGTTATTATTTTTCGTTCTTGGCAGTTCTATTAACTGTTACAGTTTTCAGTTAAAAATAATAAAATAACTGCTATTATGTCTCTCTGTATTTAGATGTTCACATCAGTAAGAGTAATCCGGTTAAGCAGCCTTAACCTGACTAATCATGCCCTCAATAAGAACTTTAATGACCTCTGTGAAAATTTGCTCAAGGTAGGAACCTTCTGAATAACTATATTTTGGTTAAAACTCTAAGAATCATGAAATTAAAAGAAGAAAAGTGTATATATTGTCTGGACTACCTTACAGAGTTGTGGGCTGGATTATTTTTATTTACATGTCAATCTTAACTCTGCTATCAGGTAAAATGCTAAAGTTGTCCTCTCCATGTTAATATAGCATACTGTAAAAGAAATATATTTTAAGTGTTATAGCTTTAAACTTCAGAAACATCTATTGCATATGTATGTATGAAAAAACCTTTTTCTTAGATTATTTTTTATGACTTAGTGATAAATATGATTTAATCTTATTGTCTGCTTAAATATGAAAAATGTATTCTTAATATGAGAATAGACAAAACAGAAGTGGACCAGCTTTGTTTTGATCTTTTCAACTTCCATTTTCTAGAATGTGCATTAAAAAATTAGTTTTTATAAATTTTTAAATTAACAGAAGTGATAATACTAATATTTTCTATTGTCTAGAGCCTGTATTTTAAACTACGGTCGATGATCCCCTGCTGCCTTTGCCATGTAAATTTTACAGTATCCCTGCCTGAAGATGAGTTAATTCAGGTAATTAAGATTCAGTCTACCATTAAGGAAGATTTTAGCTTTTATCTGATCTGTTTTAATATTATAAATTTACTGTAATTAAATAAGTATAAGCTGTTTTACTTCAAAATCTTTTTAACTGTATTAGTGTGAATCAGACCGTATGTGTTTCATCTTTCTGAACTCCGGTTATCTGAAGGTGGAGTGACATGTGTGCTCTAGCAAATGTATACATAGGTATACACACAGAACTGCATGTGTCCTCCTGTGGGGTTCCTCGAGTACCATTGTTTAGAGAAGGTTCTTGAGCTCTTTCTGGAATATCTAGATTCAGGTGTAAATATTGGACTTAGTTGTAGTCTGAATATCTGAGTTTATGTGTCGTTCTCCTTGAGAATCTTAAGCAGGAAGGGCAAATTAGCCAATTAGTCTAAGTTGTTCCATGGTGCTGAAGAAGATTTGCGGGAAACTTCTTTGGGCAATGGTTGTTTTGCTGATCATTGTTTCTCTGATTCTAGGTTACGGTCACAGCAGTTGCAATAACTTTTGACAAAAATCAGGCTTTACAGACCACTAAAGCACATGTTGAGAAGTCACTGCAAAGAGGTAAACCTGTGATGGTTGGGAGCATAGTTCATGTCTATCTACATTTATCGTTCAGTGATAACATATAGAGGATAGTGTTTCTTGAAGAGATACTGCCACTTTTCTGCTTATCTTTGTCGAAATAGCTGTGTGGATATGCATATGGCTGACTCGATATTTTTCACACATGAATACGTAGTTGACTGGTATATTTACATAGAGAATGCTACTGGTTTTTAGACTTAGATTATAGCTTAATTCTGCAGTAATTTAGAGGTTCCTATCCTAGGATCTCTGAGGAGGTCCTTAAGGCATTTGAGAACCTACTAATGTATCATGTATTTTTCTCGGGAAAGTTCCCTTAATATTCAGCAGATTCTCAGAGTTGTCCTTTATCCAGTAAGATTTAGGAAGTGCCATTCTTAATATATTCCAAAGAAACCCAAATTATTAGGAACCATTTATCTGTTTTGAAAAAAAGGAGAGGGAAATAGTGTATTTGGCTAAATAGAATATTCATGATTGATCTGAAATTTTTTAAGTTGATTACATTCTAGATGTATAGCATTGAATTACTGTCAGATAGGTGTATTAAATGATTATGTGTTAGGATATTTATCAAAAAAGATAGATAATAACTGATTTAAGTATCATAGAAACTAGTATGGTACCAAGAGTAGGATAATAATAATAATTATTGGGTGCTTATTATTTGCAAGGCACTGTGCTAAGAGATTTACACATTATCCTTTCTAAATCTCACAACAGTCTTGCCAGGGAAGATAGCATCACTCTCAACACCATACAGGTGAGGGGTCCCCATGGAGAGACCAAAGAGAAAATAACCAGAATAAATTGGATTTGGGGGGGAATATGTCTGTTATCCCAGATTCTTAATTTTTAAAAAATTAATAATAGATCATTACTAAATAACTAGTGTTTTTCTTGCCTCCCAAGCCTCTACAGATAATGAAGAACTTCTGCAGTTTCCACTGGAACTCTGTTCAGATTCACTTCCTTCTCATCCTTTTCCACCAGCTAAAGGTTGGTTAAGCAAGGGAAATGCAAACACAAATCCTAGTGTCTGGTTCCTTGCACTTGCTTCTTCATCGTAGGCAGTCTTACTTAATCTTGGGATGAGGATTTCTTCTTCATTTCCTCATTGTATATTTCTTCATGTTCATAACGGGGGGAGAGTAATGTTCGTCTCATTTTAGTTTCTTGAGTAATCTCATCATAATAAGGTGATTTTTCATATGATATTCCCTTCTTCTTCCTCAAATGTGTTAAATTTTATTTTCAAAGGTTTGGATTTCCCAAAGTTCCTGTTCCCACATGGTATAGTTTATATTTACATTCTATTCAGTAAATTTTTTTCCAGCAACAATCAAACCTTTACAAAAATTTTTGGGTTTTCGTAGACAATACTTATTTTCTTCAGAAGATATGTAGACAGGTTTTGGGTGGGGGCAGTACAATGAGAAAAGGATGAACTTTCTGTCTTTTGGTGCCTTGGTTATAATTGAGAAACATTGTTATGTACTTACAGGATGCTGCCATTTTTTCAAATGCAAAATAATTGTCCCTTAACTGAATAGCAGTAAATTTACTTAGATCTGTACAATCTTTCGAGAAAAATGGGAGGTAGTTTTTTCCATTTCTTTTCTTATTTCAGTACAGTTTTTATTATGAAAATTTCCAGAATTGCTGTACCTTGTTTTATAGCATCACATATATAATAAATGTAATTTGTGTTTTTTCCTAAATTCTTTATTCTGAGAAATGATGTATTTGTTATTTAAAATCAAATTAGCTTTTCTAAGTTTTACATTTTATAATACAAGTGAAATTATGATTTCTACTTGTTAATTATTTTATCTTTCTAAGTTATAACCAAATTAGTTATAATACAGAATTGTTTTATATTCACATTGCATATATGTCAATAGAGTCTTTACTAAATCAGCGCAAGGCTCATCTGTGTAGATAAAGATCCTGTTTCATGTTTTCAAGAAGAAAAGATAAGCTACTTTCAGATTCTGAGCTTTCTAACTTGGTAACCTCTTTCCTTTTCTTCTGAGTTAAAATTCTAGTTTAGAACTCCATAGAGAACTTTAGCATACCTCAATTCCTTGAAAGAATGAATAGAGAGGAAAAATCAAATCCAAAGATAATCTCAGTTCAGATTTATGAATTAAAAATAACTTCCAGAATAAAAAGCAGAACTGTCAAGATCTTCCTTGAACTGACTAGACAGAATTTTTTTTCTTTTTTAAAACACCGGCTTTATACAGAAACTTCTGTTTCACACAGAGTTAGTTCCAAACCACTTTTAGGTATCATTGCATGTGTCCTTATCCTGCAAGGGACAGGGCTGGGTGGAGGGGGAGGTCAGGGTTGAGGGTGGAGGCAGGGGGGAAAAAGTTAAAACCAAAAACCCAATTAGCAACAAAAAAGATTTGGTCAATTGCCAAGCCATAGGAATATGTATTTGTGGATTTGGAGCCCCTATTAGCTCAGTTTTACCGTGTTGTTAATAGCTACTGAATTCTGTAGAAGATTAGATTTAAACTCTTACAGTTGATAATTTATAGTTTCTCCAGTAGCTTTCAAAATGTTTTCCAAGGTTATTATAACAAGTGCTTATTGTGGTCATGAGTGTATTTTGTACAAATGATACTCTGTGATCTGAGGAACAAGGAAAGAAGAATTTGAGAGGAATAAGTCGTATGTGAACAATAGTAAAATATTTGCAATTCATTGAAGGAGCGTGGAGAGGGGCCCTGAGCTGGCGTAATAAAGCAACAGACCTGGGTTCTCTTCTCAGTTCTACTACTGATAAAGTCGGAGAACTTGGCCCAGTTAGCCTCTAATTAAGCCAGTTAAGCCTCGGTTCCTCATCTGTAAAATTCAAAAGGATTAAGATTCTCTGTGGTCTTTAAAATTCTCTGGTTCCTTGGGTTTCTATAGTTCATGGTCCTTCAATTATTAACATGTTCCTGTTATTAAAAACATAAAAGCTAAATTATACCTGAGACATACTGAGCTTCTGTTAATTAAATTGATAAAATTTTCCCAATAGCTTCAAATCAGTTAAACCAATAATTTGTGAACTCTGCTCCTCCAAGCCATAGAGTTTCTTCAGAGGTGCCTCATGGTCTTCTAGGAGGAAGGGTGGGAAGGGAGCGGAGGAGGGTGGGGAAGTGCCAGGACAGGTCTTTGGGCCCCTGCCCCAGAGCTAGAGCAGCTTCGATTCAGTGTGCTTTTGCTTGTTGGTCTCTATCCAGCATGTGATTTTGTTGGAAGGAGGGATTTTAAAAAGTTTGAAAACCGCTGAATCAGATCATGCCGCCTTTATCCTCATCATTGCCATCATCTTCATAACGATCAACATCGTCACATCTAATATTAATAGATATGAAACTTTTCATCCTCAGTGTTGAACTACAAAACCCATGTGCTTTTCCTTGACTATTGCATAAACACTCAACAGTTGATCTGTACCTTTTCGTAAATAGTTTTGTAAATTGTTGTTTATGTTGCATGCTTATTTATTGTCTTTGCTCCCTCAAGTCTTTTCAGGAGGACATGGGCTATACTAAATATATATGAAAAGTTATCTCAAAGTGTTTCAGAAGGTTTGACAATAGAATGGGGTTTGAAAATGTCTGAAGAATGTAGTAATAGAATGTTTTAGTATCAATGTAGTAATTAAGCATTGTAACATGAAGGGAGGCTGTGAATAGAGAATAGAAATATTTGGAAAAAGTTAAGCTTAGCACTTTAGAGGCAACAGACAGGAGAGAGGAAGGTAAGAGTGTTAGGAATAAATATTCAAAAAACTTCTCTGCTTTCTTATATGCAACCACAAGAGGCTTAAAAGTCAACTACTGATACTAAGTAAATAAATATATAGTTTTTATAGTTTTGTTAGGTCAGTTAGCTAAGTTGATAGACCCTTTTCTTTTTTTAATTCTGAAAACTTTGAATTCAAATTCTTTTTAATGTTCTTATGACAAGCAGGATGATTTATTAAAATTTTTCATTTCCTTTCATGTTGACAGAGAGGTTTCAAGAGCCATGCACAGTATGTTTAATACTTCCATCTTTTCACTTGTAGATAAACCTTTCCTTATCTTTTCATGTTATTGAAAATGAATGACTATTACATGAAGAAAAGATGCTTCAATTACATGAATCCTAATTAACTGTGTAGAGTAAGCCTGGGCCTGAATTGTCCATCCACGTTCAATTTTTTCCTTCCATCTTTTGTTATATTTGGTTTTGTTTCTCAAGGTAACAAAATAGTTTGATGTATGTCTCAAATTTATGGTTGGTTTGGTGTTACCTTGCTAGTTAGCTTAATTTTTCTGATTTGAAATATTAAAAGATGCTGAGCCTGAGTGATTTCTTAAAGAACAGTATCATGTGAAGGTCATCAAAATTCTTTGATGAATACTATGAGGAACATAGGTGATGTGGCATCAACATAAATTACTTATTTTCATATGAGGCTGTGTTATGAGAAAAAAGGTGGCTATAATAGACTTTATGTACCACTTCCATGCTTTTTCCTCATCATTAATGTCTACACTTCAGTTTTCTGAGTATCTACCACTTTATTCTGAAGTGGTGTTCAAGAGACTTTAAAAAAAATAGAGACCAAAAGAGATATAGCAAATATAGTAAAAATAGGGAATCTGAGTGAATATAATCTGATTAAGAAAATCAGTGTGATTTTTCTCATAGACTGTAGTTAATTTCCAAATAGATTTTATGCATGTAATTGTTATAAAAGGTTAGTATATTACTTTAGATACATGTCTAAAGACCTAAATCTCGAGATAATAGACACCATATTGTGGGGCTTAAGAACTTATATTAGGCAAAGGTGTGTCAATCATATACCCTTATAAATATATATCAAATACTTTATAAATCTAATCTATAATAGGATAATAGTTTTCATTAAGATTCTGAGAATTTAAGGCTTTAAAAAGGCTTAGTTAAGGCAATTTTAGTTTTATATACTGTTGAATGAAACTGTATAGAAGACAAGTTTTTTTTACCCAGCTTGTTCCTCTTTCATTTGCTGTACGCTGGGCTGATAGCCTGACGTTCAATGGCGTAAGCTGTAGGCTGGCAGGAGTACTCTTTTCATTAAGCAGCTGCTGACTGATGTGACAAGCGTAGGTCAAATTCTGGGTTTCAGTATAAAAGAAAACAAATTGGCTTATCCCCTCAATGCATTGTAGTACATAATTAGGTATCTACATTTGAAGTTTTTTATCTTTATTTTTATTGTAGGTGATATGAGTTACTTTTTGTTAAACCAAATTTGATTTTAAAAGATAGTTTAACTTGTTAAATTACAGTGACTTGCCTCAAATTTTAAACTAGCAATTAGAAATATAAATCTATAGAAACTACAAAAGTTAGTTTTTATTTTTTCCTGCCAACTAATGATTCTGAATTCTTACAAGTATATATAATTCTTTATACTGACTAAAAATATCTTTGTGTATTAACAGTTCATTGCATGTCTGTTTTCTCTCTCTCTCTTTTGTTTTAATATATTTATTTAGTCCTATGGCCAAATGGTAGTGACAATAAGAAATGCTAAAGTTCTCCATGTTATTGACGGCCACAACAAACACTAGGAGGTCCTGAAAGGAGGGAGATGCCAAGGGGAAGGAGAATGAGAGGAAAACAGAAACTGAAGAGTGGGAAATGATTGAAAAACTCATCCAAGAAATGGGAAGGAAGGAGGGAAAGAGAATTGATGGGGAAGTAGGAATAAGGAATCCTCGCTTCTCCAAGGCAGCTTGGAGACAGTGAAATCCAGAGTCAGAGGAAGAGGGAGTAAAAAGCAAAGAAAATTGAATGGGGTTACTGGGAGAAAACAGGGATGATTTGAAAGAGAAGATAGAAAGAATGGGAGTGAGAGGAGGAGTGGCTGCCTGGAACCAGACAGGGAAACACAGGTAGGGATTGAAGAAGAGAGACAAGCGGCTTAGGAGGTTGTACACCTTTAGTTGGAAGCTTTAATGATCCAAATAGAGAAGCTAATTGTCTTTGTCATCTAAGGTATATATTATCTGTGTATTATAGTTGAATTTTTTCCCCTAGTAGACTATCCAAATTGAAGCTATTTATATCTTTTATCTATGCCTTAATTATTTTTAACTATAATATTGTATTTTAATCTACCAGAGAATCTTTTCAGAATTTGCAGGAATTTTTTTAGTTTTAGTAATTTTCTTAAGATGACCAAATAAGATTGTCTCAAATATTTTTTATTTACAGTCATGCGTTGCTTAATAATGGGGATACATTCTGAGAAATGCTTTGTTGGGCGATTTCTTCGTTGTGTGAACATCCTAGAGTGTGCTTACACAAACCTAAATGGTAGAACCTTCTACACACCTAGGCTGTATGGTACTAATCTTAGAGGACCACCATCATATATGCAGTCCATCATTGACCGAAATGTCATTATGTGTCGCATGACTGTGTTCAGAGCAAAGATTATCTGTAAATGCTAATGCTACACAGTGAATAAGTTGTCAGAAGAGTTAGTGGTCAGTGTAGAACTTTCTCATAGCTTGATAATACCTTTGTCATTGGTTATGACAAATGATTTAGGAGAATGGAGAGGTCTCAAACTTTAGAAGCGTAGGAGCATGTATAATTGAGGGAGGAAGAATCCTTGCCACATTTTTTTTCTGTTTGTCATCAATATGCTCATTGCCACCAAACTGACTTTAACCTAGGTTAGTCCATCTCCCCACACCACTAGGACTTGTTAAGTATTGCTAGAATATACTAAGAGAATAAACTGCATATTCTGTTTGCCTCGCTCACTTTCTAGGGTTCTTTGTTTGGGGATAACAGGGTTATCACTTACTGGTGACTTAAAAAAGCACAATCGTCTTTTTCCTGTGTTCAGTGGGAAAGGGGATCGTCAGAGGAGTGGGCTGCTGTGTGGCTTGGTCTAGATACTTTGCAGTCCGAATGGGGACCTACCATAAGAAGTGTTTGAACTCTTCCACATAGATACGCAAATGGCCCACACTGAGCGTTAGCTCCTCAACGAAGCCCGAAAGACTTTCAATGAGCTTTTTGCCTCGAGTATGAAATAGGTTGTCTTTTTTTCAGTATTGGCTTAGAGATTGTGTTTGCATTTGTTTATTTCTTTTTAACTGGAATTACTAATTTGTCAGTGAGCTAGACGGCTTGTATCTGTAGTACCTTCTCTTTTGAAAATCCTATTACCTGGGAAGCCAGACAGTAATCAGAAGGAGCTGACAGTCGGAGGTCGTGAGATGGTTGAGGTATTCAGACGAGTCTGAGGTGCCGATGCTCATCTGCTGCCAGGACCAGCTCATCTTGGGCCTTTTCTCTGAGAGGAAAGTTGAGATTATAGCAGGCATGTTAGAAGATGACCCTGGTCTCCTTAAGTGAGGTAAAAAATCTTCTCCCTTCAACTTTCTCTTAAATATGTCTCCAATTTAAAAACTTGGTTTTTTCGGATTTTAATTCCAATACATGCATATTTGAGGGCAGGGGATAAACATTTTCCCTCACTTTTTCCCCTCTGTGCTCCACCCTTTGTAAAATTTTTCGGGAAAAGTAATAAATGTACATTATGAAAAATTCAAATCTTACAAAAAAAATCATAGTCCAAAATAAAGCTCCCTTCATTTCCCTTCCCAAGAAAGAGCTATTTTTAACAGCTTATTGTCTACTCTGCAAAGATAGTCTGTTTAGCCTTTTTTTTTTTTTTTAAAAACACAGATATTTGGAGCTGACCTGGTGGTGTAGTGGCCAAGTTCACACACTCTGCTTTGGTGGCCTGGGTTTGTGGATTCAGATCACAGGTGTGGACCTACACCACTCATCAAGCCATGCTGTGGCAGGTGTCCCACATAAAAAATAGAGGAAGACTGGCGCAGATGTTAGCTCAGGGCCAATCTTCTTCACCAAAAAAACCCATAAAAAACAACAAACAAGCAAAATACAAATATTTTGTGGATCATTGTGTACCTTTGTTTTTTCACTTGATATATTTATACATGGGAGCAGATTCTTTCTACGTATTTCAGCTCTTTTTGTGGGCATTCGCCATTATATACAGCTGCTACTGGGGAATTCCATGTTATCTAGGTAATATGGAAGTGTAGAAGATAATTTCATTTTAGTAATTTTCACTTTTTTTTTTTAGCTTTTCCCTTCTATCCCTGCATTTTTTAAATCTTTACAGAATTCCTAATGCTGACTGTATTTTCTATAAGTCTGTACTCACCAAGCCTAATACTGCTCAGGAGAGCCCTGGGACCCTCCTGGGATTTGTAAGCCTAGGGTAGGCCATTTGCTCTCCCAGCTTCTGCACTGGGTCTCTTTCGGTGCTGAGGTTGCTAGAGATCTGGTAAACCTTGGAATGTCGGTTCTCTTTTGGTCTTCTTCCTGTAGGTTCTATCTCCTTTTAGGCTTCCAGTGCCCCTCAGGATCCTGAATTAGGAAGACTCTCCCATCTAAATGTACAGTGTGAGGGCATGATGGTCAGGGCATGTCCACAGCATGGTACCCTTACATTTTATGGACCCTACCTAGTGATCCCTTTTTATTCAACAACTCTGTGTATGTAAGAGGAATATTAACCATTGTACGCTCTCCAGTGTTGGCTTATGGTCACTTGCTTTATAAAAATGGGGAGGGGGTGTGGGACATACTTCCATTGTACCCAAGTAGCAGAAACGTTCTGTACAAATTTTATTTTTGAAAAGTATAATTTTTATTCATTTAAGACTATTACCGAAAGATCAACACATTAGGCAGACAAAAATATATATTTACTTAGTTGATAAATTTTTTAGAAAACTGGCTGACTCAAGTTATTCTCAGTGTTTTTTATGAGTTGTTTCTAACTTGGTAACTATTCCTTCAGTTAAAAAATTCTTTGAAACAAACATTCAAATATGCTTGTGTGGGTAGAGCCTGAGCATTAGAAATAGATTATGAAATTTTTTTATAGTACTGTTTAAATTTGTACAATACCTCAGGTATCTATAATAAAAATATAAAATACAGGGAAAATTCTGGATGCTGCTTTGATGAGGTTGCTGGAGAGGGAGTGATTCTAGTTGGGATTCCTGGTTATTTCTGTGGAGAGCAGTTGCTTTTTAGTTCCATAAAGTCTTGATACCACCAGAGGGAGCTGTTGGTAGTGAAGTCCTTGAATGAAGAGGTTGGTGGTGAGGGGAGGGTACAGTTAGTAAGCAGCTTGTGTTCATCTCTGAGACACAGGTCATTGCCTTGTCTAATTTTTAATCTCACTGGCTCTTCTCCCCACAAGTATTGCCCTTCCGTGTTTCATTTCAGATTTTCTTCCCAATACATTGACCCTTTTCTCTGTTCAGTTTTCCCACATCCTGCTTTCATCCTACTAACAATTGTTCCTGTGTTTATTTTCTCGTGTCTGTAAAGTTTCTGAAACTCTCTTTGTGTTAGAGTAACAAGTAGTCTTCCTTGGCATGGTATTTGTTAACCGAGCTAGTTGTTGTATTTCGATAGAAACTGCATTTGAAACCTAAATACTTCTGTTTGGTTTGCTTTTATAATGAAGCTGTAAAGATTTCCGTCTGTTCATCTGGGTTATAGAGAGTATTAACAAACAGCAAAGAAGAGATACTGGCTTGTCCTTAGCATCCAAGCTAATGTTGTTCATATTGTCTTATTAGAACACCTGGAGAGTGCAAGTTCTAACTCAGGTATACCAGCTGCACAGAGAGGTGAGTTTGTCTCATTAAGCAAATAGTCACCAAAGGTGTGAAATTCTAGTGTGGTGGTGCATAAACATACAGACATTGGAGAAATGCACTGGACAGTGGAATAGACACCAAACTGTGGCTTTATTGTAGTTAGAATGTGTCTTAAAAATATTTATTAAAGTAATATTCAAATTTTTTAGGATTTTAATAGTTTCAAAGTTTCTAAAAATAAAATTTAGCTCTTTATTTTTTCAGCTTAGTGGTAGTAAAAGTTCTTTTTAAAAGGAAAACTTATGAGGCTCACCCCCCACCTCCCCATCTCCATATTATCAGAAGCTTTGGTGCCAGTCTGGCATGGAAACAGAACATTGAAAAAAAGGACCCTTTGGCTTTCCTGTTACTGATGGTAGAAAGAAGGTATTTTAAAAAAGATAAGTCAACTGGTGGTTTTTTTTTTCATATGTTCTTCCACATTTGATTCGCATTATTTTTATTTTTGATTTTAGGGTAAAACTAGGGAAGGGAATTATTCACAAAGTTTGGATTGTAAATTAAAGTCCTGAAATATAAGCAGCTAAAACATTCTAAAGTAAAAAGAATGGGAAATAAAGTTGGTTAAAATACAGTGTATGGTCCTTTCACTATTTCCATTAGACCCCACTTTGATTCCCTGTCAGAGAGCACACCACTGTGACATCACCAAAAGCGCTCAGCCACTAACTGAGAACCTGGTTTTGGACAAATCAGTGTCTAAAGCTTGACTCTTTACTATCTCTCTTACCTGACTTGAAAAGGACCATTCTTTTTCTAAGTTACAGTTAAATTACATCATCAAAAGGAGTGTTATGACGAGTAAGAGACGTCATCCATATTTTTTCTTTGTTTTTTCTTTTGTTTTCTGTCTGTGTTTTCAGCAACGTCAGTTGATTACAGTTCCTTTGCAGACAGATGCAGCAGCTGGATAGAGCTCATTAAACTGAAAGCTCAGACCATAAGGCGCGGATCAATTAAGACAAGTAGGCGGATGTTTCTACCACGTTATGATCTGAGAAGCGTATCCCTGATTTCCCAGTGGGGAAGGCTAGACCTTACTCCCAGTAATAACATTGCCAATCAGCCATGTATTGGAGTGTGAAAGCTGCAGACTCTAATGGTCACTTAGCAAAAGTTACTGAAGGGCCTTTAGATTTGTTCATTTTAACGGTAGAATTGTGTTCTAAAATTTTACTTTTTGTGAAGGTATTCTTAAAAGTATATAAATAGATATTATGTCCTTCTAATGGAAGGAAATTATGAGCTATCTTGTTGAAGAGACTTCCAGGACCCAAGGTACATGTAGTATATGGCATGTCAGTTTCCTGAGAGTGATACCAGAAGGCTAAGAAAACGAGAGATTTCCAGAGAGAAAGTGCTTAACTCTTATCTCACGGCTAGAATCAGGATCATTACTTATATGTTCTTTATACTCCATGTGTTTTGGTAGACTTTGAGGTAAACGTATTTGAGTGAAAGAGTTTACAGTATATTAAAAGGGAAAGAGCTATGTTTTAGAGGAAAGACTCACAGGATATGGAACCAGCCAGATCTGGTTTTGAATCCTAGAAGTGCCATTTTAACAGCTGTGTGACCTTGGGCAAGTTATTTAACTTCTCTGCCCCTCAGTTTCCTCATGTGCAAAATGGGGATGATAATACCTATGTTGCTGCGTTGTTGTAAGAATTAGATATATATATTCTGGCTTATAGTAGTTCTTTGACAAGCAGTAGCTATTATTATTTATGTTATTTTATAAACAACTTTTAGACAGCCAGGATCATTTGTTAAGTTTTTAAAATTATGAGTTTGATCAAAAAGGTTTGGGAAAGGAACCTATTGTAACTAGTTAACATAAGGTTTATCTACAAGTTGACAATGATGAAGTCTTCTGAAAAAGATGGAAAAAACTGCACTGGGAAATGTAACAACTTTCACACTCTCTTTGTAATAATTTGTTCCTCCAGCAGATAATTTTGAATGCTGTACCGCTTTTTCTTTGTCTTCACTTTGTAACGATCATTGTGTGTGTGGCTACACGGCATCAACATTTTCTTTTGCAGGAATGCCATTTTTCTTCCAAAAGACTTCCATACCAGCATCTCCTCTTCTGTTTTTCTTTCTCTCTTTTTAATTGCATGCGGTGCATGAGCATTTCTTTTCTTTCGTGACATGGCTTAGCCTCACAGAGAGCTGAATGTTGTCACCACTTCTTTGGAAACCTTAGGGAGTAACTGAGTTATCCACGTCTGATCTTGAGGCTTTTCTCTCTTTCTCTGATTTTAGCTGTGACAGTTGAAAAAACAAGTCCAATGGGTGAAGGAAATTTCCGGAATCGTTCTGCCGCACCTTGTGCAAATTCTACAGTTGGGGTGGTTAAGATGACACCTCTTTCTTTCATTCCGGGAGCAAAAATAACTAAATATCTTGGGATAATCAACATGTTTTTTATTCGGGAAACCACTTCTCTTCGTGAGGTAATTTTATACATGTTATTTCATTGTTTTTGTGAATTTTCTCTGATTGAAGATATTAGTAACAAAACCAAACAGGTTTCAAATTGTTAGTTTTTACTAAAAGTAACACGCAATTTTTTTCAGTAATCTGGATTGATTCTAGATTACACTTATCAAATTTGATATAGTAGCTAGTATTATCACAAGAATTATGTTGGGTTTAAACCCATTTATTATTAGAAATTCCACATCCTTATCGTATGGTAAATAAAACAGATTTATTTACGTTTGATTCGAGGTTTCAAATAGCCCTGAAAGAACAGCTTTGTTTTCTCAGTAGTTATTTGCCTGAGATATATTTAAATAGCAATTTTTAAAAGTTTACATTTATAAACAGTAAGGGACTATATTATAGATAGATGTCTATGAGGATAGTTTATGTAATTTAGCTCTATCATTTTCTCCCTCTGAAAAACAGTGAACCAAATGTGACTGGAACATGGTTCAGAATGGCAGATGTGGATACAGAGAAGTTTCATTGTTTATATTTCCCATCAGTTTATCTGAATGATGATGGGAACAATTTGATAGAGGGAGACGGTGAAGATGGAGGAACAATTTGAATTCTTCCCCTGCCGTTTATTTACTAGCTCTGTGATCATAGCTAGTCATGGGCGTATTACAGATTCTCTGAGCTTCAATTTCATCATCTGTAGAGTAAGGATAGTAATCTGTATCATAGATACCTGCTCAGTAAAGCTTGGTTGGTTTGTTCATTCATTCAGCAAATCTCCGTTATGAAGGAAATTAAAATTATCATCCATTATATTAAGACCATTTAAGCTGTTTTAATACATATTCTTTGACATGTTATCTACATTCATGTGCACATGTGCATAGTTTGATTTTCTTGTGCATTACTGTTTAGGAGGGAGGAGTCAGTGGGTTTCTCCATGCTTTCATTGCTGAAGTGTTTGCAATGGTGCGAGCTCATGTCGCTGCGTTAGGAGGGAATGCTGTTGTCTCCTACATAATGAAGCAGTGTGTCTTCATGGAGAATCCAAATAAAAACCAGGTGAGATGTAGTTAAAAATCTCTGGTGGGGGAGGCTTTGAATTTCTCCCGTGCTCTTTCCACCTCCACCCTCCTTCCCAAAAGAGAATTACTCTTCAGAGGTCTTTGATTCTAGATTCTTAAAACATGTTAATGAATTTATTAATAACCATGGTCATACATAGGTCAGATGCTGTTTTTATATCCCAGGTGACTAGTTATTATTCTTAAATGCCTCTGGAAGTTACTGTTTCCACCATCTTCTTGGTGGGTCTTTGGAATACAGTCATACGTCACACAACAACTTTTCGGGCAGTGACGGACCACGTATGTGACAGTGGTCCCATAAGATTAGTACCATAAGGCCCAGGTGTTTAGTAGGCTATACCATCTAGTTTGTGTAAGTACTGTAGGAAAGGAAGAAATTTTCCTTTTCCCTTCTAGTTTCTTCTGGCTCATCTAAGCATTAAATTGACATGAGACAGATTAACAAGAGGAAACCAACAAAAGTTTGATAACATATGTACATGGGAGAAACCCAGGAAACCTGAGTTACTCTCCAAAAATGGCTGAAGCTCTCACTTTACATATCATCCTCTCTAAAGACAAAAGATGTTGGGAGTGGGGAGAGTCAAGGACTTCAAAGGGAAGGAAGGCAATTCACAGAAGATGAAAAGGAGCAGACTTTTGGAAAACAAGTGTTTGACCACACAGAAACAGAAGAACACAGAGGGGAGCCCCAACAAACAGGCTTCTCTAGGTTCCTCCCTGTGTACCATCTAGTTCTTGGTATGCTAAGGTGATAGCTCACTTCTTGAGACAGACTTTTTTTAATCTGAATTCTTTTAGGCAGTTAAGGGGGAGGTAACAAGAAAAACTTTGTGAGTCTTTTGTTACTTAAAAATAATCAGCCTAAAATAATCCTCATGTTAAGGAGACACATTTTGGGGTGGCAAATTTTGTTCCTCTTCAGTACACTCTGTAATGTTTGCACAATGGTGAAGTCACCTAACAAAACATTTCTCAGAACGTGTGCCCGTGGTTAAGCCATGCTTGACTGTGCAGTGATGGCTGACGAGGAGAGTTAGATGCTCTCTAGTTTGGACTGTGATGCTCTCCAGTTCCAAGTGCCATGATGGGACCACACTGTTTATTTCTAATTAATATAATTCTGTTAATGGGGGCAAAGGAGTGTTGCTTAGGTTAAATTTTAGGATACATTTCTTTTATCAGTTTTGTTAACATAATAACTTACTTAAAATTGTTAAAGATTCCTTTACGAAATTAAACAACTGTATTAATGGTTTTTTGAGTTTTCTTTCCTATGAATTACCTTCTAATCCTTTGCTCATTGTTTCTATTGGTTTGTCTATCTTTTCTCTAATGACTTATAAGCCTGTGCTTTTACGGCTATACAGGACCGCACCTAGTCTAACAGAAGAATACGAGCATATTGTTGAGTTTGTGACGGAACATGTCCTGTCGTTCTTATAGGCACAGTGTCTGATAAACGTAAGTGGTGATGCAGTGGTCTTTGCTCGTGAATCTGAGTTAGAAGTGGTGTCAACGCAGCAGCCCGCTGCCAACTGCCAGCCAGCGTGTACCGGAGGAGAAGTTACGACCTGAAGAAAATGAGAAAGAGCTCAGCTAAATGAAATCCATCTGTCTCCATGGTTTTGTCATTAATTTTCTTACTAGAAAAATGAGCTTTATTGGAGATAATTAAGAAAGAATTATGGGTGGATTTGATTTGTCTGGAATCTCTTGGAGGCATAGAATTTTCGAATCTTGATGTTTTCTTTGCCAAGCCTAGACAGTCAGGCCCCATGGAATCTCGACCCTGCAATAAGGTCAGATAAATTTCTCAGAGAACCATAGCAAAGATGGAAGCTATTTGTAATTTATGTTGATTTTAATAACATCCTAATTTAAAAGATGAAATGGTAAGATTATCAGCAAATTAGGATAGCTACCCTAGTGTAATTTAGACAAACCAAGCAAGAAATTCACAAATTGTTAATAAATAAATAATCTGATTTGAGGAATGTGTGGGGAAAATGGAGAAAAGTTTTCAGAAGAGTATGTGGGTTTTCAAACGTGTTTTCTTTTGATGAGGAATTTGGTAACAACTGGAAGGGAAAGTGGTTCAGGAAAAGAAGTGAAAATTCTGCAGTTTATATCTGTAATATGTCCTAACTACTGTAAACGGAAAAGTAATTTATCAGAGCCAGTGTCCCTCTGTTCAAAGTTTTAATAATGTCTCTAAGGAGGCAAGAAAAAAATTACCGTGTAACTTTGTTACTGGCCAAACTTCAGTTAGTGTTTCATTGTCTAGAAGAGGCTTGACTTCAGCTGGGAAGAAAAGGTCAGTGAATTTTGTTGAAGTAGTTAAAATATAAGTGATCTGGTAGGAATATAAAATTATTTTCTAATAAAATCATACTGCACTCCCATCAAATAAGCAGAATTCTAGTAATATCTTAGGGATTTTTGAAGGTGAGTTAGACTGTATTTGGCATAGAATTTGAAAACGTAACTTGAATGTAAATATGCTACAAAATGATGAATGTATACTTAGAAATACTTTTTTGGTCAATGCCAAATACCTGTTATAAATGAACCTTGAAAAGTACATTCCTCCTTTGCACAATAAAATTTCTTTATAAAACTCATGGTTTTGCTCTTCCACGATAACAAACTGCTCTAAAGATTAGGAGTCATTTCCTTGTTATCACAGGTGTCAATATTTTTCTGTATTTTGTTTATAATTTTATTTTTTAAATAAAAAGTTTATAAAGATGAAGTGGAATGTACCTAAATCGCTTTTTTGCCTCCTCGATGTGGTACTCTCTGTAGTCTGAAATCACTTTCCATCTGTTCATTTCCATTCATTCCTTCAGTCAACAAATGTCTGTGGTGTAGCTACTGTTTGCAAGGCCCTGTCTTAATTTTGAGGAAAAAAAAAAGATACATATTTATATGTAATTGTGGCATTTTGGTAGGTAGGTATTCATTCAACAACCATTTATTGAATGCCAGGGCACAGTTATAGGCAGTGAACAGAACATGCCTAAGTTCCTGCTCTCATGGAGCTTATTTTCAATGGCTACACAAGTAAATAATTTGTAAAATGTGGTATATAGTATTAGAACAATTGCTAATGTTTATTGAATGCTTACTATGTGCCAGGCAGTCTAATAAATATATTTTTGTGCTAACCCTTTTAATCTGTACAGAAACCCTGTGAGATAGGTACTATTGTAAAGCCCCATTTTATAGTTGAGGAAGCTGAGTAGAGAGTTTATGCGATTTGCCCAAAGGTACAGGGAGTAGTCGAGTGGAAATTCAAGCACAGGCAATCTGGCTCTGAAACCTCTACTATTAAGTGAGAAAATGCTTGTAGCCTGGGATGAAGGTAGCTTTCCAGAGGAAAGGATGTTTAAGCTCTGTCCAGGGAAAATAGATAGTTCACTGGAATTGACTATTTGTTCATAGTTTTATTCATCCGTCCGTCCATCCATCCATCCGTTCGTCTATTCATCCATCCAACAGCTATTTTGTGATTGCCTAGTATGTTTCAGAGTCCTATCTAGGCAGGGGAATAATTATATAACTGTATCACTCACTGAGTACGTGTTTTGTGCCATATTCTGTGCGTATACATTATTACTAATTAAAACTAGCCAGGTGGCACTATCTTCATTTTGGTACGAACAGTTGTATACTCAACAGTGGCCCAGGCTGACTTCCAGAAAAGCTGGAGTTTCTTTAACCACTCAGGCTTGCTGGCTGTCTGCTCACACGGGCCATTTGTTCCTGCGGGCTGCATTTGAAACACAATCAGCCCATGTCAAGACTGGCTTCTTCCAGAAAAACCAGTGTCACCCTCTGTTGCCCCAAGAGCTGCTGCTGTTCCCCTATGTGTGGATTCTCTCAGAAACATGATCATTTTAAACACACGGGCTGGGACTTACTCTTGGAAATATCCTGAGGCCACTTGCAATATTTACAGCATCCCTCACATCTCTTTCATTCTTCATTGCTGCCCCAAAGGGTAAACTACACAATTTAACCAACACTTTGTGAATTTGCTACGCTCCCTGTCCCACTTCCTCCTCCTCCTCTTCCATAATCCATTACCATCTGGCTTTCATCTCCTGCTCTGCCACTGAACTTGAACATGCCAAGGATGCAAATATTGGCTTGCAGTGTTGCAGAATTGGATAGCTGACAAGCTTTTTTATGCGTACGGATATCATTTTTCATAAATGCATAAATGGGATCATACAATTTTTAAATAGAATGGTTTTATTTTTTACCTTTTTGCCTGACTTTCTCTTCTTCCCCATCACATCCTTCCCAATCCATGTTAATAACCTAGTATGTATCCCTACATATTAAAAATCTAATGAGGTGTAATTTACATTCAGTAAAACTAATTTATTGTAAGTGTACAGTTCAAGGAGTTTTGACAAATAGATTCAATCGTGTAACCAAGATAAGGAACATTTATTTCCCTCACCCCAAGAGAGTTCTCCTGTTTCCTTTTCAGTCAGCCCACTTCCCTTTCTGTGTAAATGGGATCTTGTGCTTGGTAATTTTCACTTAATATAATGGTTTCTGGATGCATCCACAGATGGATGACATTTTTGCCTATTACGAATAAAGAGAGTTTTTTTGAGTTCACACTTTTCTCTGGAAATTGAATTTCTGTTCTGTGGGGTTGACTTTTTCTGTTGATAATCTGCTACATGTGTGACAGAATTTCCCCTTATGTTGTTGTCCATCCTTGCAGTCTATGGTAGCTTGTATCATGTCCAAATTTTTAATTTTATTATGGACAACATGACTTTCTTAGCTTTCCTTAGGTAAGATGATGTCCTCTTGCTTTTGGGGCTATCTTGAAGGTTCATCAAACTTATGTCCTGAATTGCTCTCATCTGGTGCCTCCCATCAAGCTTCGTACCCTTCATTATTTCTTATTAGATAAATACCGTCACCACTTAGCCACTTCTCGCTTGAGTCAGATACCTGAAGGAGAGCCAAAGCTTATATACTCTTTCCACTACACCACCCAGTCTCATAGAACGAGATGCATAGAAACGTGGGTGCATGAAAATGTACGTTGAGTGAAAGCAACACACTTATTTACAAACACTTTTGTAGTAGTTTTTTTTTCCCCAGGGGAAGATCTTTCATAGGGTACTTTGAGAATCTGATCTAAACTCTGGACCTTTTCCCCAGAAAAATAAGCATACATGTGAAATTTTGCACACTACTTCAGGAGGTTTATTGGAAGCCCATCATTGACCCCAGGTTAACTCTAGTATAGGATGAATGGAGGGGAGTAAGGTACCAGGCCGAAGGAAACATTAGGAATGGCTGAGTAAATACAGTCGTAAAAGTGTGGCTTTTCCTCAGTAGGAAAGTCAAGATGTTTTTAAGATTAGATTTTTAAATATTAAAAAAAAAAACCTGTATCTGTGGTAAGCAGAAAAATGACCCCCAAAGATGTCCACAGCCTCATCTCCAGAACCTGGGAATGTATTACCTTACATGACAGGAGAAACTGCATATGTGGTCAAAGTGAGAGACCTTGAGATGGGGAGATCCATGGTTATCTGCGAGGGTCCTAGAATCTACCAATCACGTGTATCCTTAAATGTGAGGGAGGGAGTACAGGAGTAGGTCAGAGATTCTGTGAGAGGTGGACTCAAACTGCCATTGCTGCCTTTGAAGAAGGAAGAAGAGAGCTACGAGCCCAGGAATGTGGGTGCTTCTGCACACTAGGAATGGCCCTCAGCTGACAGCCAGGTAGGAAAACGGGTTCTCAGTTCTACAACCACAAGAAACTGAATTTTGCCAACAACTCAAATGGGCAAGGAAATGGATTCTCCCCTGGGGCCTCCAGAAAGGAACAGAGCCCTGCCAATGGCTTGATTTTAGCGAGACCCCTATGAGACCCCTGACCTGTGGAACTGTAAGGTAATAAACTTGTTTAAGCCACTAAGTTTGTGATAATTTGTTATGGTAGCAATAGAAAACTAATACAAATTCTTTTACATTTAAACTGTAGAGATATATAAAGTTACCATATAGTTGTGCTATTTATGGTAACAGGAAATGCTTCACAAACTCAGGGTACAAGCACAGTTCTCTCTCTCTTATTTCTCCAATTAACTTTTTGAACACCCACCAGACTAATCAGCAGAAATCCAGACTCTCCCGCCTTTGAGGTCGTCTCCACTTCTAGAATTTTCCAAGAACTCTAGGGACTCAATGTAGTCCCCAAAAGTTTTGAGTTCAGCTTCCACACCCAACCTGCTGGAGTTACCACCTTGGTACGCTGTTGCATATGCTTCTCACTGCCACATGGTGTCGCTGTTGGAATGGATTCCACACAGCAAAACGGAAGATGCTGGTCTTCCCAGTGATGGCGACAAACTGGCCAAGACTCGTTCGTAGCTTTCCAGGATTGTTCAGTGGGTAGACTTCTTTCTTCCATGCCTACTTCATTTAAGGAAGCCTGCCAAGTTCATTTCCTAGTGCTCAACCCAACTGTCAATTGAGTTGTGAGAGTTTCCTATAAATTCTAGATAGCATGTTTTAAAATGAGATATGTATTTTGCAAGCATTTTCTCTCAGTCTGTGGCTTATTTTTCATTCTTTAAACATTGTCCTTTGGGGAACAGAAGCTTTTAATTTTGATGAAGTCTAATTCTTTTTTTTTCTTTTGTGGTTTGTGCTTTCTGTGTTTTGTCTAAGAAATTTTTGCCTAACTCAACATCTGTAAGATTTTCTAGAAATTTCACAGTTTTTTGGTTTTTTGTTTGTTTGCATTTTCTCCCCAAATCCCCACAGTACATAATTGTGTATTTTAGTTGTGGGTCCTTCTAGTTGTGGCATGTGGGATGCCACCTCAGCATGGCCTGATGAGCAGTGCCATGTCCATGCCCAGGATCAGAACCGGTGAAACCTTGGACCGCCAAAGTGGAGCACGTGAACTTAACCAGTCAGCCACTGGGCTGGCCCCACAGTTTTTGGTTTTATGTTTAGGTGCATGATCATTTCAAATTATGTTTTGTGTATGGTGTGAGGTATGGGTCAAGGCTTTTTTTTTTGGCCATATGGCTGTTCAATTGCTCCAGCGCAATTTGTTGAAAAGACTAACTCCTACGTTGGATTGACTTGACATCTTTGTTGAAAATTGACTGACCCCGTATGTATGTATGGGTCTATTTCTGGACTCATGTGTTCTATGTATCTATCCTTTTTCTAATATCACACTGTCTTGATTCTTGTAACTTTATAGTAAGTCTGGAAATCAAGGAATGTGAGACAAAACTTTGTTAACTTTCTTAAAAAGTTTTTTTTGATAATTCTAGTTCCTTTGTTTTTTCCATATAAATTTTAGAATCACATGTTAATTTTTATATGAAAAAACCTGCTGTATTCTTTCTGTTGAGGTTGTGTCAAACCTTTAGATCAGTTTGGGGAGCACTGGCAGCTTAATGTTGAGTCTTCCCGTCCATGAAGAGGCCATTTCTCTCTGATTATTTAGGTCTTGCTTGATTTCTTTCATGAATATTTTATAGTTTTCAGTACACAGATCTTGCACATTTGGGGAGGGGCTTCATTCCTAAGTACTTCTTGTTTTTTGTTTCCGTTATAAATGGTACTGTTTAATTTCCAGTAGTTATTTTTAGTGTCTACAAATATAATTGATCTTTTACATTCCTTTTGTATCCTACGGCCATGTATTGATTCTAGTTGCTGATTGGTGTGATTCTTTGGGGTTTTTCT